AAAAAGAGGCACAATGTAAAATTAAAATTGCATCTTTAAATATCCATTAGAAGTCATAGCTGAAACCAAGAGTTCCTATAACAGATGAAACATCTACCTTTAACTTTTTACTTTTGTCACGATTGGGTGCAGACAACATGTCAAAGCATATATTTCTTAAGTGTAACTACTTTTTACTCAAGTAAGGTGTCATGTATCAATTTGTCAACACTGCCACTGGTCAAAATTTTGGTCTGTATTCTTTGTGAATAGAAGGGTTACATTTTTCAACTATAATAACGTGTCTTGTTTTTTTATTTCGACTATTGTTATTTATTATCAGCGGTCTCGGTCTCGGTCTCGGTCTCGGACCATATTGGTCTCGGTCTCGGTCCGCCTTGAAGGGGCTGGTCTCGGTCTCGGTCTCCGTCTCGAATCTTCAGGTCTCGGTCTTGGTCTCGGTCTCGGACTATCTGGTCTCGACTACAACACTGCTGAAGGGCCCCGGGAAATTTTTGATTCCAGAGATGCTCTGTGGTGCAATTTGAGGCGATTCCTGGCCCCATTTCAGCAAAATGTTGTGAAGATTGCAGGTTTTTTTTTCATTATCGCTTCGGTTTGCGGTAACGCCATGTGTTTTTTTGATTTTTTGTTCATCGGTTTAAAATTGTACTCTTGTATTTCTTAATACAAGCCTAGTTAAGTTTCTTCTGTTCTTCACTTGATAACCAGGTATTTTCGACTGCATAATAAATTTCTTGCATGTTATTTTGGAAAAGGAATTGGATAGGCTTAGTTTGTAAACTGTTTTAAGGATGCGTAGGGAGATCTGTCCTGAGGACTAATAATGCGGAGTGCGATTGTCTTTCGGCGTGGGGTCGGGGGCCTGCTTAAGGGCCCCGGGATTTTTTTTTTGATAATTGGATGCTCTGTGGTGCAATCTGAGGCGATTCCTTTAAGTTTCTTCTGTTTTTCACTTGATAACCATTTTCGTCTGCATAATTGTTTTCGTGCATTTTATTTTTGAAACGGAATTGTATAGACTTAGTTTGTAAACTTTTGCATGCTTTCTAATGTTTTGTATCAAGTTTAAATTTTCAGTTTATCAATAAGATAAGATTTTCTACGGAAATTTTCTACCGAAACTGACATGTTTTAGACTCCTTGAAAGCGCGTGGAAGAAATGCTGGCAAATTGTTCTTACGAAAACACACCCCTTTACTAATAGTACGGTCCAAAGAGCAGCGTACAACGTGTATGTCGCGCTCAGACACGAGCGTGTTTTTCGTACCGGTACATACGCTCATAATGAATCGCATTTCATAAACCGATATACTATGCAGGGTTACGTATGGAGTACGTACGGTGGGATCGCGGTTTATTTCGAAGCTTCTCGAGTTCCCAGTACTGTGTCATACGGCCAGTACACAATTTTTGCAGGCCGCTGATGTTTAATATCGGCGCCGGTATTTTTGTTAGAAGGTTGCCCTCCTCCTTCCCTCCTTTTCTCTCTCCTCCCCCTCTTTTTCCCCCTGTTTTATTCATTTAATTTTTTTGTGGACTAAATTTGACGGGGGGCACGTGCCCCCGCGGCCCACCCCTGGATCCGCGCCTGAGTTAGCCCCATTTTGAAATCACTTGACTTCCCTCTCATGTGCAAAATATTGAAGAAAAGTCTCCTTTAAAAATTGAATTGAGTCTGCAAACTTGGTTGGTGAAATACTGAGGACATTCTCTTTGCCCCAGTGGAATTTTTTTGGAGAAATTTGCTGGCTAAACTGTGAGTAAAGTGGACCTGATTTAGTTTTGCACGTTTCAGAGCACTCCAGAGCCCTGTCTGGCATCTAACAGTCATGTACATGTATACTCGAAGTAGTGCTAGGGGAAACTTGTTCGTCCAATTTAACATAACGTCAATGTAAAAAAACCCAGTGTTATTCATCGAGGCACTCTGTACTGCAATAATTTAAATGATTCTCTTAAATCGTTACCCTCACTATCTGTCTTTGTCAAAAAGTTAAAACTCATTTTAGTGAATCATATTCATAACTTGAAATGTTAACGGTGCATTAATATTTAGGCCTTGTCTCACACTTGTCCTGTCTGTCTCCCGTTGTGTTTTGTTTGTCCCTTATTACAGTACTTTGGTTGTATGTTTGTCCATAGGTAAGGGCACAAAAGCGTCTGCTTAACCTTATACCTAAATGTTGTCATATAATCTTACACTTTATTAGTAATCACTGTGTACATATTACTACTGACCTTTTTAAATTTATACATGATTGTACATAATTCGTCACCGTTTTCACGAACAGTCACATAATATGTCAAAAATTACCATTTTTTCGATTTTTTTTCCACACTATTTTGCTTTAAAACATTGTCATGATTGTACTTAACCATTTTGACATGTTTCTGTAAGCATTACATCTTAATTTCCAAATAACATTAATGATGCAAGGGGCAGATATCTCGAAAACTGAGTTTTGGATTTTCACAAACAAAGAGCCACATACATTTTGGCCCCTTGAACGCATACAAAACATGTGAAACAGAAAGGGCCAATATGCAGGAAACTTGAATTTTTGTTTTCACGAAGAGCCACATATCTTTACTAATTGATTTTTACTAATTACAGGGTAACTAATTAATACAGCAGTATTAATTTTAATTACTGGCTACATAAAATTCAGCTCTCATAGAAAGTAAAGTTTTTTTTATTGCACAAAGTTGTTGCAAAGTAGCATTTCTTGCAGTTTTAAAATACATTGTATGAGAAACTTCTTTTGCAATTATCTCCAAAACACTTTTCTTCAAATTCAACAAAATAGTTTGTGATCGTTCGTGAAAACGGTGACGAATTGTAATGAATGGCATCATAATGAAATAAATGTTACAACTAAATATAAGTTGTACAATAGCCCATCTCTTTGAAAGACGTTTGATGGAAAGATTCCCATATCTGGCCATCACTAATTTTCTAATCAGTGACCGGTGACCTATTAGCCATCAGAAAGTGATAATATGTCCTAAAAAGTTAAATTTAGCATGGAAAATATTGGAAGTATTTGCTGAGAAAACACATTTTCAGACCAGTCTCATACGGTTTGTGCACAGGGTGACAAGTGCATGGCCAGATATGGGAATCTTTTCCTTTGGATAAGTTAGTGTTCTCTTCTTGGATCTCACAGTTGGCGTCACTTATTGACGATTATACATGTATTTGGGACTATACCGCTTGTTATTTTGACATGATGACACCTGTTTCATTTGTCACAGCAAATTGAGCAGATGTATTTGCGACAGTTGCTTTCTGACTCATGGATATTTTGATCTGCATTGTGTGCATGTTATTATAATGTAAATGCACATTATGATGTATTGTGTACTCATATATGATATGGGCTTATTGGGTCATTCTATAAATTTGGGGTCCAAAGTGTGACATTTTTCCCATCCCTGTTACCTTGGTACTTTGTAATTTGCCATTCAAGCGTCATTAAAAGTGACTTCAAATGATTGTTTATTTGTTGGGTAGGTAGTTTGCTATTCATAATCACGCTTGTAAGATGACTGCATTAAATTAAGGAGTGCATCAGAATTATACAATCATAGATGTCAGATGTAACAGGGACGGGAAAAAAAGTGGACCCCAAATTTATAGAATGACCCTACTAGATATTGTGTGTCATTTGTGTACCGGTGGGTGTGTGCACATTATGTACTTGTGAACACGTACAATTTATATGATATGGGCTTATTGCATATCATTTGTGTACATGTATAGTGGGAGCATACGTGTGCACATGTGCTTCCACCGTAGTTTTGGGGTCTAGGAGTAGACCAAATTGACATCTTGTCAGAGTATTGAATTAATTGTGGACCAGAATTTTGGATAAACACATCCATGTCATGTTCCGAGCTTACCGTCTAAATTTGGACTTTTGTTAAATAAAAAAAAAAACCACTATATATAATGCATTGTTAAGAAGAGTTGACTCATGTCAATGTGGCTTAGGGCCTATTGAAAATGGCCTGACTGCAACATTTTAGTTGTCTCAACTAAAGTCTGGAGTTATTTTGGGCACTACAGCAGCAGACGAAAGTTGCATTTCAGTTGTAGAAGAGCACAAGAATGCAGGGGCGAGGTTGCTCACATACATAAATGTACAGTATGTACGTATTTCAGTGTTAAAGGGAATATGCAATGTGTGCAAGCATCAAGAAACAAAACTACCAAATTATTATGAAATACTTTACTGGACTGTTAGTGAATGACAGTCTAAAGCATCCTGTAAAATCATGGCACCTGGTTTACTGTCATTCTCAAGAAAAGTGGTATTTTTGTATCAATTTTTGTGGCGACCAGCGTTGGAAAAAACTGGCTTTTTTCAAATACTGCCCCCCAATTTACCATACTCACATGTAGTTAGTCCTCATTTTGTTTGCAATCAATTACACACCTACATGAACGGGTACAAGCCAGCTAGACTGTTTTCCTGTCCTGACAACTCCCAGACAATTATAAATTGCCCTGTTTCATCTTAAATGGGGTCAGGGAACCAGACTACAGGAACATGATTGTTTTTCTCAGTTTTTCCAGCATCTACAAACACAAAACTTCAAACCAGTCATGTAACACTAAAATTTGCTACAAATAACCCCCAAATCCATCCATTTCTGAAGATTACAGCAAAAGCAAAAGTATATTCCCTTTAATTAAACCATCCTACACTCGTGTGACAATCTGTCACTGATCATATGGCATCATATGGGTACAATTGGCGGGTTAACATGGCTGCTACACAACCTGTACCGGTATTAATTATGGTCAACCAATCTATCAAACCACTTAAACAGGCTTTGGCAGTTATATGGTGTAATCCTGAGGGAGTTCTGGTAGTTGGTGACCAGCCTGAACAAAAGCTACTGAGAGAGTTCCAGGTCAGGTTTTTTTGATAGTTGGTGACAGTTATAAGTATAGGAGGGTTTTAATAATAGCATTATCTTCTGTTATTCAGACACTTAATTCAACATGAAGCCTGTTGAGGTTGCATCTTCCGTGGCAGTTGGCATTTTCTCAGCTGCAGGACTAGTCTGGGGGCTTCAGTACTACAGCAGGAAACGGCAAGCAGCAAAGAAGGCATTTGGCCGTGAACTGAGGCAGGCAGAGTACTGTTTTGCTGAGGACTTCTGCCTGTGCAACAACGGCTCATTTGCTGCCGTGCCTCGTCCAATTCTACAACTGCAGCAAAGGTACATCCGTGGTAAACTTTAAACTATATCTCTAAACTTTATCTCATGTGCATACATGTATGTTGGGGAAATAGTTTGTGTTATATACATGTAACTGACATACAGATCCTTGTCATTTGATTGGTGGAACTCGCATCACGTGACATTCGTTATTGCTCCTATTCACGCCGGCGCTCAAAAAGTACTATCCGCCCATAGGGAATTGGAAATACTATTCAACAGTTAGGATCAGTCTTGTTCCATGACGCGGTATTTGTGTGCAAATGTATGCTGGTGTGCGCGTTCAGCGTTGCGGGTAGCGTGTATTGTTCCAAAGAGCCAGCGCTAACAGAGTTGGGTTCAAACATTATTGTGAAGGGGTGGTTAGGAAGAGAGAAATGCATTTTCCACCAAATTTGTTATGAAATAGAAGTTCAAATATATTGAGTGGCTTTAAATTGTGAAATGGGAGGAATATTATCGTTAAAATCGTTAATATCTGGACTTTTCCAGTTCACTCGGCTTCGCCTTGTGAAACAGAAAAGTCCAGATTTTACCTTGCGATAATATTCTTCCCATTTCACTCTGAGCCGCTCAATATTTGTTTACTGTCATGGGACCATGCGATCATTCAGGAATGTGTTTGCATGATTGTTCGATCCCTTGTTTACAACAGTCTAACAGAGCCATGAATAAGGCGATTGATTAATTGCAGTGCGATCGACCAATGATCATACCAGTGTGGTTAGCGCAGCATTTTTTTTAAAGTGTCTCATTTGAAACTGACTGAATCACAATTCAGGTACTAAGTTTCCTCTCTGAAGGGTGTCCAAAAGGTTTTGCGACCACTTTTGAGAACCCATGCGGGAAGGACACAGTGCAAAGTACAGTGCAAAGTACATTGTACGCATGACTTATTTGACACTGAATGTGCACAAAAATCCATAGCGTCTTCGCATGAGCATCAGACAGGGTAAGCAATGCGTAAGAATGGGTCTCCTGTTGGTCTCCTCCAAGTGTCCCTTTGTAACGGTTGAAGGGGGTATTAAGTTCAAAATTTGGCTAGTTTGAAATGCTTCAGTGCAAGACACTGCACACTGCAAATAGCAGGTGTGCCCTTTTATGAGGGTTTCAGTGTATAATAATAACAGCACTTTTGTAGCGCACAGTATCTGACAAAATGCCATTCAAATTTTCAATGGCGCTGGTCGTTGCAAAGACAAAGTCAGTCCAGGAGTCAAAATGCCAGGTTGAAGAGATAGTCTTCAGCTGTCGTTTGAAGGATGATGGATAATTTTGTGTTTTGAGGTCAAGAGGTAGTGAATTCCATAGACGGGGTGCAATATAAGAGAAGGCTCTGTCTCCGTAGCTGGCAAGGCGGGATATGGGTACATGGAGTGTGAGAGCCGAGGACCACAGACCAGGCCTCACATTGGGAAGGTGTATCAGGTCCTGGATGTAGATTGGAGCCAGTTGATGAAGTGCCTTAAAAGTGAGAAAGATGATCTTGAACTGAATTCTGAACTGAACGGGCAGCCAGTGAAGTTGAGGAAGTATTGGTGTGATGTGGTGGTATTTCTTGGTTCCAGTTATCAGGCGAGCAGCTGCATTCTGAACTGACTGTAGCTTGTTTATGATATGCTGTCCAGTGTGTCCAGTTAACATTCATTTGAGGGAATTTTTGCCATATGGAAGAATAAACTTCTGGTAGAAACTGCTTTGTTTTTTTCACATACATACATGTGTTTGAAATTGCAAATGTTCCCATATTTGAAGCAAATTAGAAAACTAGTCATTGAGGTCAATCCAGTCTGTGGTTTGCAGCAGCTTCTTATTTTTCACTTTGCTTCATCCTAGACTGATTGCAGAGCGGGAGAGGAAGCCTGCGTTATGGTACAGGAGGCAGTATGATCCCAAGTGGTTCCCATCAGAAGGAGGACACAATCGCTATGCTCAAGCAGTTATGGCCGTAGCCGAGTTTGTCGGTGCCAAATCTGAAAATCTGGTGCTTGTTGAAAATACTACAACAGGTACGTACATGTGAATCGAGACATAAAAGGTAAAGTAAAGGGGACGGAACTGTGTTCAGAGGAACAGAGTGTCCATCTCCCTTTGAAGCGATTGGGCCAGACTGGAGTCCATGAAATAATAATTTGGGAGGCTAATCATCCTTACTCGCAGCTGGTATGCTGAATTGCGAAGGACGCGGCTACAACGTGGTCGGGCCGCTGGCATGTAAAGGCGCCTATGGCTGCCGGCCACATCGACCCATATATGACCACGGAGCACAGCCTGAGATCGAAAGTGTTTGATTTTTCTGGAGGGAGGAAAACTGGAGGGCCCGGAGAAAAACCCTCGTGGCACGAGAGAGAACCAACGCACAACTCTACTCACATGCGATCCGCGGCCAGGATTCGAACCGTGGTCACCTTGGTGAGAGGCGAGCGCTTTACGCACAAGCCACCCATGCCACCCAGAAATGCTGCTATGGGGGTATCGCCACGCCACACTCCTCCACAGCGAGTCAGTAGAGTAATTGAGGTAAAGCGCCTTACTCAAGGGCACGCATGGCCACGGTGGGGCTCAAACCCACAATCTCATGATCATGAATCCTGTGCCCTACCGGTAGACCACATGTGCCCTACAAGACATGCTGACTGCAAGGTTTGTCTACTTAAACGCTTATAATTACCCTCTTCCAATTGTTCAAAATCAATGAGGCACTCGTGGGGGATTTGAGAGGATTCAGGCTATATGCCTTTAAAGGCATTCAGCCTCAATCCTAATTTGAAGTGTCAGTTGAATTGGAGGATGCATTGTGTCAAGGTTTTATCTGGCATTTTTTATGTTCAGCCATGCCTGTAGGCCTACATTGCACTGCTTCGACATTTTCAAATGAGTTGGAGGATTTTGAATGATTAAGGAAGTGGTTACCCATCCACTGAACACAATCAAGAAGTGACAGATGATTTTAGAGGAGTGATCTGTGAGGCAGTATCCAATTTGCAGGCATTTGAAGGATTAAAGGTTGCATTCTAGCCAGAATCCATTATATTTTAGATCACAATTTGGATGTACCTGTACATTGTACATGTCGTATATGTCCGTCGATTGTGGCAGAGGCACATAAATTACATGCCCATGCATGCAACCTTTCCTCAGATCCGCTGATTTCCTCGTTTTGTACTTCACATTATTGCAAATTGAAAAACACTGTACAAAGTCTTGTATGGTTTGGAATTTTCTCGTTTTTTCCCCCCAAATTCCCAGTTGCATGCCTGCATGGCACTAGTCTATGTAATACGCTGTGGTCTATTGCATGTTGTTATTATTATTATTATTTATTCGGCCAACAAATGAACAAAAGTAATTATAGATCCGCTGATTTATTAGGCAAGACAACCGCTTCTAGCCCTCTAGATTTTAACCAATCAGCGGGTCCTTTCTATATGTCTTTGGTCATTCACTCGTTGAGTGTCCTAGACAATGGATGAAAAAAAGCTGTGTCACACACTCTGTATCGGCTGTTGTTGTATTACAAAACACAGCATTGGAATTGACCAATCAAACCATTTAGTCCTGATTTGGGAATGAAATGAAGTCATGATTTAGTAAAGTCGACTCCGATTGGCTGGCGCGCGGCTTGCATATATCTGCATGTCTAGACATATCTGGCGTTATACAGGCCTTGGCTCCATGGATAACAGGTGGTACTCAGACTAGCATGTCATCGGATAAGAAAGAAAAGTTGGCAGCACCGGAGGGACACACGTGAATGGGAGGGGTTGCCCTATGGACCCCATGGATGAACAGCAGATGGGGGCTTTTACATGTCACCACTCTTGAGTGTTCCAGTGGGGGAGATGGGGTGCCTGAGCACACTGGCATGGTGCGTACATGTACGTGTTCTACATATATAACCCCCGAGGACCAACACACAAAGGGAGAACAACAGATCCTTTCAGTCCTCGGGAGTTGGGTCTTTTGTTCAAAATGGTCGTCCGTAGTAGGTTTGTGTGCTTAGTCTACGGGAGAGTGTTATATTACAGGGACAAAGGAAAACACAAAACATTGTCCTCGGGAGTGTAGTAAAACAAGATGCGTGTATATACTGTGCAAAGTAGACATATACCAAGTATTTTATGTCCACAAAACAACCCATGGTGTTCTTCGCTGCTGTGAGCATTCTAATGTCCCTTCCAGTCGTCTCCCCTAACTTTCTCTTTGGAGCCGCTGAGGGGGTACTTGTGCACATGCACTCAATAGAGGTGTCATTTTCAGGATGTTTGGGATATAGGTCGTCTTCCTTTTTGTCTCCGTAGGAATCAACTGTGTCTTGCAGAATTTGCCATTGACTAAAGGGGACAAGATTCTTCTGACTACACACGGCTATGGATCTTTCATCAAAACAGTTCAGTACGTTTGTGAAAAAACAGGTAAACGTCACGTACCGTTTGCACTCAATCAAACTGAGGCATACATGCAAGTCAAAATTTGTATTTTGGAAAGCTTAAAGAGGTTGTGGAATGCTCGAAAACATTTCCGTCATTTTTTGGGTATATGTAGCCTAAGGTGTGATGAAAAAAAATGACTATTGTTTCCGTCATAAAATGAGTACAAAAGGTACTTTTGAGAGCTGTTTTTTAAGTCCTGTCATGCCTGTTTCGACCTGAACGTGCAATCTGTGTAAAAGTCGTTGTTGCGGGCAGCAAACAAAACACAGTAAATCGTGACGTAATAAACAGGACTCCCGATGCAGAGTAGCATAAACGAGTCCTGTTTATTACGTCACGATTTACTGTGTTTTGTTTGCTGCCCGCAACGACGACTTTTACACAAATTGCACGTTCGGGTCGAAACAGGACCTGAAAAATAGCTCTCAAAAGTACCCTTTGTACTCATTTCATGACAGAACCAATAGTCATTTTTATTTCATCACACCTTAGGCTACATATACCCGAAAAATGACGGAAATGTTTTCGAGCATTCCACAACCTCTTTAAAATTACAATGTGGATTACATAGTTCTGACTTCTACCCATGTAGAGTAGTGGACCAGTGTACAAGCTGTGTTGAACTCTGGTTAGTGTGAGCTGGGTCCCTGAAAATCTGGGAGTTCAACCTGGGTCCAACACACAGATTTTTGGAAAGTGCGAAAGGGCCTTATGATGGATTTTTGTATTCACAAGACAAAACAGTATCTCATGCATTGATGGTTCGATTTAAACTTATAGCAGTATGTATATGCCGTATTTTCATTGTTAGCGATGTTCATCCTGATTTGATTGCCAATGCACTTATAGGTTCAGAGGCCGTTGTACTTGAGATCCCCGTGCCCATTGAATCTGAGGATGACATCGTCAAGCTGTATGCGGATGCATTAGAGCAACACAGCAACATCAAAGTAGCTGTCATAGACCATATCACATGCCCAAGTGCAATCCTGATGCCCATGGAGCGACTAGCTGCATTATGTCAACAGAAGGATGTACTGGTCCTTGTTGATGGCGCCCATGCACCCGGACAAGTACCTCTCAATCTGGAGCAGCTGCCTGTAGACTTCTATGTCGGTAGGTTGACAAATTGGGCCTACATGCATGACATGTATGTCTATTCATTGGCTCACTCGATCGCCCGTAGGGGAGTCAGGTTGGCATTCCTCGAACAGCCATAGCTGTGGCCTCATGGTTAAGGGCATTGGATTCGTGGTCTGCGGGTAAAGCTGCAGGTTGTGGGTTCGAGTCCAGCCTGAGGTTATGGTGCGTGTGCCCTTGGGCAAGGCACTTTGTCACTCATTGCTTCTCTCCACCCAGGAGTAATTTAATGGGTACCTGTGAGGGCAAAAATGGTTAGTGTGATTGAATTAGCTTCCTTGCGCCTAACAGGCAGCATCAAGCCATATACTCCCCAGGGAGCTGAGATGGTATTTGGAATGTTTCATGGGCCCAATGAGCAGGGGTAATAATGGTGCAGCGCCTTGAAAACCAGTCCTGGTGGATACGTGCGCTTTACAAATACCCACTTTTATAGCTCTAGTTTTGTAACTTGTTTCTTTCTGTTCTCCCCATATTAAGGCTGTTGCAATGCATGTTCATTTCTTCCTGCAGGTAATTTACACAAGTGGCTGTTCAGTCCAAGAGGTTGTGCCTTGTTATGGGTACATCCCAGCCATCACGATAGCATCCGACATGTGATAACCTCACACAGTACGTATGCGCCTACACTAATGGAGAGGTTTTGTTTTATTGGAACCCGGGATAATATCCCCTACTACTGTGCAACTGCAGCCATCAAGTTCCACCATGACCTAGGTGGCCTGGTGAGTGGGCTGCCTTTGCTGTGTTTGTTTGCCTTTACAGCAGCGGTGCAATTGACCTATCGCGGTAGAATTGCGTCAACGCAGCTTGTGGAATATTGTCCAATTACATGTGGACGCGCAACGCGCAAAATCTGAGACAAACAAAACTTAGCGTTCACAAATTCCATAGGGTTGTCGTTGAAGTTTTCTCCGATAAATATGGAATTTTAATTGGACTGTTTAACGTGTTCTTAGTTTGGACATTGTCATTTGCTTTAGCATGATTTCCATGTCATTGTGGTTAATAGTACATACAGTCAGTGTGACAGTTCCCGATCATCGACAGTTCCGGATCACTTGATTAAATACAAATTAATTCAAGTGCAACCAAAATTTGTTTTCGAGATTTTTTCCCAACAATTTGAAGGTCTATCATTTTGCAATTGTCGGGTAAAAGAAATTTTTGAAATCGCTTAAACATTACCCACGATCCAGTTCGGCGTCATACTTGCTTGTTTTGGGTCTGGCCTGTGAAGGAAGCCCGTAATGGTAAAACTCTGGTTTCCTGTGGAACGTAGCCAGCATTTATCATTTATTTCCTTCACTATATAAGATTTTCTTGTAATGTAAGGAAATAATCTCAAGTATCACTAAGTAATAATGATTTTGGCATTTGAATTTGAATTCGCCGAACGATTTTTATCCCTTTGCTTGAGAGACAGTGCGGATCACCCATGCACATGATGCAGTTTTAATTGTGTGCAGATTAGATGATGAAGGCGTGACACACGACGCGCCCACTGTGAATGATAAATTTGTACAGGCACAAAATGTACCAGGTATAGCGCAGCGTGCGTGATCCGGTACTGTCCAAAGTGATCCGCAACTGTCGAGTTCAGTCCTGTACAAAAGCCATTATTTATTTCCCTTTAAGTTGAGTCTGTGTGAACATATTGGGTTTTAACTTGAAGAGGAGGAATTTTACAAGATGATGTCACTCGGACACGGAAACCCCGAAAATAGGACGGGTGTACAGCAGTTTGTATAAAAAGTGATGCGGTACTGTCGAAAGTGATCCACAATATGTCCTGTACAAAGGCCATGATTGATTCCCTTTAGGTTGAGTCTGTGTGAACATATTTGGTTTTAACTTTACTTGAAGAGGAGGAATTTTACTGCGAAATGATGTCACTCGGACACGGAAACCCCGAACACAGACGGGTGTACAGCGTTTTGTATAAAAAGTGATCTGGAACTGTCCCACTGATAGTATTATGCGCCTATCAAATGTTTACCCCACCCCTCCCACCCCGCGCAGCCCCAGGTCCGATGTCGGGATTTGGACACGTTTTTCATGCCCCAGGATGGGGATTTTGGTCACTCAAATTACATTGTTACCACTGGCGTACTACATGGAAATGCATTTACTTGTGCGCCCCATGTATGTATGTCGGGGCATGGTCACTTAAATTTTGCCCGAGGGGTGGGGATTTTGTCACTTCAAAAGTGACAATCACCACGTCTTGGGTGGGGCAGCCCGGGGGGGGGGGGGGGGGGGGGGGGGGAACAATTGATAGGCGCATTATTTCTGCACCAGGATAAATTACCCAGTCATCACGTACTTTAGTTTGATTGCTCATTTTACCAGTGGTGTAGAGAGAGTTCTAATGTTTCCACATTTAATCTCATCAGGAGGCTATCACAGCATATAACGCCAGCCTATGCGGCTGGGCCGCAGACATGCTCGCCAAGGCTTGGAGCACAGAGCAGTTGGCCATTCCAGCTCACATGAGGGCGCCCTTCATGGCTATCGTTGCCGTCCCGGAGACCGATGCCTACCCAGCGTGCCCTGAAAGTTGTGGCAAATTGATGGGGGCTGTGTTCTCTCACAGTGGAGTGATTGCTGCATTTTCACACTTCAATGAGAGACTCTGGTGTCGACTTTCCAGTCATGTTTATAATTGCCAGGATGATTACTATAAACTTAGGGATGCTGTGCTGCAAGTGATGCAGATAGACCAATAATTGATAGGAAAGGCATGAATTGTAGATAACACTTTAGATTAGCTTTTCATAAACTGGTACAGGGAAACGCCGCTATAACGAACATAGCAGGATCCACAGAAATTGATCACAATAGTTATCATTCGGTATAGGGATTTAAAGCTGCTAGTGTTTCGGTACTCACTTTTCAATAAGTAGCGCCCTTCAGAACTTCACCCTGCACGCCCTGGTAGTTACTGAAAGACGACTTTGAACACGTGCCTACTAGTGAATTATGTAACTACTACAGAAATGGGAGAGACTTTCCCCTTTTATTCCTTTTGGAAATAATAGCCACTTGTCACTCTTCTTTTGACATTGGTCAGCAACAGTGTTCAGTACGTTTTGTACTTAAAAATCAGGAGCCAAGCACAATGTTCAGAATAGCCGAATGTTCGGTAAAGAGACGTTCCACTGAAGTGGAAACAGAGTTAGACTTTTGGATTAAATTATAAAGAAGCCCACCTTTTGTTAGAGATTGAAAACCATTAATACGTTTTGCGTTTATAGTTTTTTTTTTTTTTTTTAATATGATAGACATGTACATGTATACCTTCAATAAAAAAAAGAATTGATCACATTTACCAATAATTCTGTAGTCATGGATTAGAGAATCATATAACACCCAAGTAAATCCTTGTCATTTGATTGGAGGATTGTAGGTCACACGGCATTCATTACTCGAACCATTGCACGGCCTACGTCATAACCGTGCATTTTTGGTTCCATTCACCGTGCATTTTCGTCCCATCCCTTTTGATCTATTGCACGCCGTCACCGCGTGCATGCTCAGACGCGCAGTAGCTCGGCACTATACGATCGTTGCGCTATTTAGACCATATATCATACTGCTGTTATAGCAGTACAAAACTTGCCTTTGAAGTTGATGCAGTTGCCTTGATGATTTTTGTGCACTGTTTTAAGAACTACAATGTTGAGTTTCATTATCGTCAATGATTTGACTTTTAAACCTTTAGCCTTGAACAAGCTGAGAAAAATAAGTGGACAATTTGGTGAGTTTTGTTTGTTCTTGAAGTTTTATCCTCCAATCGAATGACAAAGATCTACTTGGATGTTATATAAAAAAAAAATGAATGTTTTGCATTCGTGCAATGGTGAGAATATTTTCATTCGTTGAAAGATTGAATGTTCCATTCAACGAGGCGAAATGGAACATTCAATCTTTCAACTCATGAAAATATTCTCACCATTGCACTCATAAACATTCATTATTTGTATAACATCCAGTCATACTTTCAAGATTTTCTTGAATTACCAAGGTAAACTTTGCATAAATATACCATTTTCAAAGGCTTAGTTAAGACTGGTTGAGGGAATATGGTGATGCAATGTATTCCAATTTTAGTAGGTGGGTGGACTTCTAACAAAAGGACTGTGACCAATAATGCATGTTACCATGGAGATGATGTGTATACTTATATTAATTAAACAAATTAAATTAAAAGTATTTTAAATTAGTATTTGTTTCTAACTCGCCAAGACTTCAAACCGCTTACTTTTACTTCTTTTATGGTGGAGACTAGTGCCAAGTATGAATCTGAAATGTTACGTCAAATGGATGCATTAATTGTGCAGCGCACAAATTTATGTTTAAACAAAACAGTTTAAATGACCAAAACAGTTTAAATTTCTAGTTGCCCTGCCCATTCAAATACCTTGCTGCTTGTTTTTTTTTTCTCAATTTTATAGTGCCTTTTGCATTATAATTCACTCGAATCTCTCTTTTACCGAATCTGTATTTTTTAATGCCCATTTGTGCTTTTAAAGTTTTAACTGCTTGTATAGTTCTATATTCTTATACTGTAAGCCATGTTTTAATAATGTCCATTTGTAATGTCCTTTTGTATTGTCTCTTCTTAAATTGTGGCATCAGGAGATTAACTCGATAGTAATTTAGTTTACTTTTTTAAAATCCATCAGGGGTGCTACTTTTTTTCTCTCTTTTCTGTTCTCTCTCCTAACTGTATGTGCATGTTTTTGTTTTCTTTACTGTTCTTATTGTCTGTACTTGAATTTTTACCTGTGAAATTAATAAATGAAATGAAATGAAATAAATGAAATGGTTTAGATTATAAGACATTTAGCAGATGTCTTTTTTTGTTCACATGGTTTAGTTGATGCCGCAACGATTTGATCAAAAGAGTTTTTATTTTGCATGGTTGATTTTGGCTTGTGTATTCAAAGGAAAGTGTTTCCGGTTTTCTTCAGTCATTTTCAGCGTAGTGAAATGTATTCCATCTTCTATTAGCCCAGGGTGTTGTATTGCAATTCACTTAAAATCCTTTGCATTATGTTTCTTTATAAATTGGATTGTTGTATTTTATTACGCGGCTCGGTTTTAGAAGTTGGCACTTCCAGATTTTAGAGGGGGCAGAATATTTGCCATGTGAACGGCTTAATTTTGTATATTTTTAACACCACCTCCCCCTTTTCAATAATGTAAATAAATTTGCCTGAATTAAGATTCAATTAGTGGCATACATGTATTTTATTTTATAATTAAAAAAGGACAAGTCAATGCGACATACTTTTTTTTCGTGTTTTATTTTAGCAGTGACATGGAGATGTATTTACAGGTACACCCATTACGTGCACTCAACCCCCCGCCCCCCCCCCAAAAGAAAGTTTGATAGAAACAGGTTATGCAACCCACACTTTGTATTTCATGCTTGTGTAATATGCTCATTTTGCAAGCTGTCGTCAATTTGTTTCTGCATACCTGCATTATCAAGGTCAATGTCGTTGGTTTCCCCAGCACATGGAGAAAATAGCCAAAACCAAGTTTACTTTTTAACCCTATCATGCGGTGTAGCGTGAATATCCGACTCCATGAAATGTGGACTCATTGGTAGTATTGCGCACGCGCGAGTACGATACTATGCTATTTTTAGGATCGTTTCGGGAGAGTGACCCGTCACGTGCAAGGGATTAACCAATAAAAGGGAAAATGTGGTCCGATTTTCATAGGAGTCGGATTTTCATGCGACACCGGGATTATTTTGACAAGAACGGAACGAGGTGTGGGATTACTTTTCACTCGACCTCAAGCCAGGCGGGTTGAAGCCATCACCCTCGGGCAGCACACTCATATTTCCAGCCTCGCTCCGTGTGTGTTTCATCCGTTTTAAGTACATGTGTACAGCAAAACTTTCCCGGTATTATACGTCATCCAGCGCGAACTGGTCAAGACTCGACTAGGGGTGTGCATTTACAGGTAGTACAGGAACCGGGTACCCAACTGAAAAATATCCGGGTACCCGTTTAATAAAGAAACCCAACGCCAAACATGCCCAAATTCAATGGTCCGCACGATAATACTACCACATCGACGCATCAATACAGCAAGAAGCGTGTACAGCGAGCTTTACAGTGTAAACTGAAGCTTTCGCGCGAGTCATAAATGTGAATACGTTTTGTTTCCTATGTGGCCTGGTTTTCAATTAAAAATTCCCCACAAATACTTTAAAACCTTTCCGTTTCATTGTCTGAGAAGTAACTACTGTAATTCATTTGGAAAGTTGGTTGTGGGTACCTGATCCCATATCTAGAACCAGTTTCTGACATTAACGGTCGGGTACTCGGTTCCGATGCACAGCCCCAATTAAGAGATTCATCACTCACTACATTGTACTAGACTAGTACATTTACCCCAGCACATGGATATTTTAAAGATAATGTCCACCAGTACAGCTAATAAACAGACACAAACACAAGTCAATGATGTTACTTGAACATTTTATTTTCCCATTTTCACTCTTGGCATCGAATATGCATCACTTTTTCAACAGTGATTTTATGTTTTAACACTGGCGGTTAAATTTGAAGCATTTTCCGTTGGATTGGGTTTCAGGATCCTTGAAGACTACTTTCATTTATAGCATGATCTGTACAGTTCCGGGTGTGTCCAGTTGCCACTTATTCCCGCACAGCATACTTGCGCATTGGGTACAGGCGCTCCTTGCGTTGTTGCTTCTTGTTCTTTCTCTTCAGGTCGGTCTTGGAGAGGGCTCGGCGCTTGGCTCTGGTCAGCTTCCTGCGCAGGTCCAGTGGCTTGTACTTCGTGTCCTTGTAGAACTTGCGCAGGTTGTCCTTCTGCGTCTCATGGATGACTGTTAACACACGGGCAATGCCTTTCCGAACCACCCGGCTGTAGGTAGGGGGAAAAAAGACAATGTTGATCGTTTCTCAATTGGGTTCCTCAGGACTACCCTGCTCAATCCAACTGTGCCTAATTTTTAGTTGTCTGCTGGATCCAACAGTCCCACTTGGTGTTATTTGTCAGTACCCAACAGAATCCAACTCTGAATATCCCTATGATATACTAGGAACCATACCCATCCTTGCAAATTCCTACACCATATGGGGAACTGCACACACATTTGATTCTGGAGGTGTGCCGACCCAAAGTGTAAGACTTTCAGTTTAGGAATACGGCACCCATCCTGACAGGTTCCAACATAACATGTCATGAGGGTTTGATGGGTTGAGTTCTGTTAGGGATACAATGTATGTATAGATATTTGTACAAGGGGTTTACTGCTCAATCCAACAGGCTCCATCGTGTTTATGATATAGTTGGACCCTGTTGGATTCAGCAGGGTTAGGGTTAACACTGCCAGGGATGAGAGACAGAGTGATACCATCATACCAGGGTAACTGATACATGTTCCTGACTGAGCATTTTGTGGGGACCTGGATTCATCCCCCCAAATTTTATCACCTGAAACAAATATTGAATTTAAAATTACAAACGGGAAACAGGTTTTCCGAATTGTGGACAAGTTAAAAAAACAACAACTTGGTTTTGCAACAAAGGAAATTTAAGTTTGTTACGGGTCTATTTGCCAACAATACAATGGATAGCCTGTGGCAGTTTGATATTTTAATCTTGGAGACAGTGTGCTCCACTCTATGACACGTGCCCAGTGAGTTATACCTTTAATACTTCCGGACTTCGAATGTTTTTCTACAGCAGGTTCAAAAAAAAAAAAATATTTGGTAATAAGAAGCCGATTCCTGTAAAATCTTCAATCTGATTATTTTTGCAGTCCATATCGTAGAAACAACTACGGTACGGGGTGCTATCATTCAGGGTTGGCGATTTTTTTATTTAAAGAAAAAAAAAAAATCAGACCATTTCTGAAACAGCAAATGTTATATACAACGTATCCTGGTTTTGAGTGAACGTGGGAAAATTGGTAGCTAGCTCTGACATGTCTGATGAAAAATTGGCTCCCTTTTGTTTTCTTTCACAAAAATTGTTCAATTGGGAGGGGGGGGGGGTGTTGGGAAGGGAAGAGGGGGAAGGGTTTTACAACACGTGTGAGATGCTGGCACTTTCATACGTTTCCTTTTGAACAAAATATTTGTTGGCAAATGTTGGGCCAAATCGCTCCCCCACCACCAACATGCTGGAAAGGCCACTGAATCAGAAATGGAATGACCATTTAAGTGTACAGAAGTGAGCATATGAAACATCTTACATTTTGCAGAGCTTTGAGGCCTGTCCTCCAGTGACCTTAGCGACCCTGAGCTGGGACAGTTCTTGCTTGAGCTGTTTGAGCTGGTCCTCAAGCTCCTCCTTCTTCTTGCCTCGAAGCTCGTGGGCCTTGATCTTAGTCTGGTAAACAAAAAACCAAGGATTTCAAATCAACAAAAAAATGCTTCTGAAGCCAATATCACATCAATAATACATTTGGGTAATTCTATGTATAAATTTGGGTCTGTTCTTTCAAATTTCTGTTACAACTGACAAGTACAATGTATTAGCAGCATGTATACTGATAATGATATTGGATTCCATCACGTTGATAAGAAATATTTAGACCGTTTTTGGTTCACCCCAAAGATGAGACCCTTCATCAAAACAAATGCGGTGTTATCTACAAGATTAAATGTCTTGATTGCCCTGTAACATATGTGGGCGAAACGAGCAGATTGCTGGGCACCAGGTTCAAAGAACATTCCAACATGAAGCTAGCCCCTTTAACAGCGGTTGGTGAACAATCAAAGATCACCAACATTCCATCAGCTTGGAAAACGTTCAAGGCATTTTCCCTAGCCTGTTTGATTTTTTTCTTTTACAAAATATTTCACAAACAACAATATGCATACATGTAAAACGTGTATAGAGCCTGAAAGTGGTGCGCTTCAGTACCCCTCAAAAAGGAAAATTAACGTGTAAAAGTCAGACTTTTTTTAATTAGTTGATTTCTTAAGAAAATCACCCTCGGCATTTTATGGAAACTGAAAATCACATGATGTGTGAGAGAAATATCGTGCCAAAAATTGACGTCTCACTTCCGAAAACTTCCGTGCCTCGTGGAACTCGTTCAAGCATGACAATTTATGAAATAATTTTGTGGCGGTCATTGGGTAAAAACTTTAACTTAAACAGGAGACTCAAATGTCTTTTGGGATGGGCAATTATTTTGGTAATCCTTACCTTTAGGACCCCTTTTCTATATAAGGTTAAAAGACTCACCAAAACAGTTGACTAAATGACAATCAAATGTGACATTCTGATATTTCTTGGCACATTTGAACATTTGGCATTGGCAATGACTCCTCTTGAATATCAGCAGGTTTAATTTTGTATAAAAAGGGCCGGGCTTTGATTTATGAGGGGTTAAAGACGACGATGACAAACAGGAAATATATTTAAAAAGCAAGATGGCGAAATGCAAAAAAAGGTAGGAAAGTCACATTTTCTTTGAAAGTGCTTTCAAAATTATTACTAACATGAGTTTGTCTGAAGAAAAAAGACTTCTTTTAGCCAGCAAAAGTCACTGTGGTACTGGACAGTCATCTGCAAAAGTCAGTTTTGAACAGAACTCGTACAAAATAGAGGTGTCCTAAAAGTAAGGATTACCATTATTTTGAATAAACTTGAAAGATCTATTTTCATTTACAAACAAATTTAAAAAGACCGTTGATAAAAACTCTATTAAAAACGTGGGAGCAACTATAGAATGCAGGGCCACGCCGAAGCAAGGTTTTTTATTTTGCCTGGAGGCGTGGATGGAATAGGAGTAATAGATATGCAAACCTGCAAAAAAGTGCTAAGTACAGCGAAGGAATGCACTGCACTTGTCTTCTAAGCTTCTCATGAAGGATCGGAAGGGAGGGCGTGCTTGTAAATGTGTTGGGGGCACTGTCTGGAGCGGCGGAGGCGCCGAGTCTTGGAGTCACAGAATCGCGGAGACGCGGGGCACTGGAGTGGCCGCAGTGGCGGAGGCGCGGAGTCGCAGAGACTCGCGCCGATAGAGGGCGCAATTTTCGGCGGAATTTTTTTGAGAACGAAGCATCCATATCCATTTTAAATGGGCGCGCAAATTAGGAAGGGAGGAGGGCGACGGGGGCACTGTCTGGAGCGGCGGAGGCGCGGAGTCTTGGAGTCGCAGAATCGCTTTAAATGGGCGCGCAAATTAAAAAGGGAGGAGGGCGACGGGGGCACTGTCTGGAGCGGCGGAGGCGCGGAGTCTTGGAGTCGCAGAATTGCTTTAAATGGGCGCGCAAATTAGGAAGGGAGGAGGGCGATGGGGCACTGTCTGGAGCGGCGGAGGCGCGGAGTCTTGGAGTCGCAGAATCGCTTTAAATGGGCGCGCAAATTAAAAAGGGAGGAGGGCGACGGGGGCACTGTCTGGAGCGGCGGAGGCGCGGAGTCTTGGAGTCGCAGAATCGCTTTAAATGGGCGCGCAAATTAGGAAGGGAGGAGGGCGACGGGGCACTGTCTGGAGCGGCGGAGGCGCGGAGGCGCGGAGTCGCAGAGACGCGTACCGATAGAGGGCGCAATTCTCTGCGTGACGCGGGCGGGGCACTATACACTGGAGTGGCGGAGGCGCGGAGTCGCGGAGTCGCAGAGACACTAGACACGCACCGATAGAGGGCGCAATTCTCTGCGGCTCCACGACTCCACGATCGATTTTCGGAGGTAGGTCGACTGCGGTTCCACGCCTCCACGCAGCCGTACGGAGGCGCGGATGTAGAGTAAAGTGGCCCTGCATTCTATAGTTGTACCAAAACGTGACCCAAACGAGCCTAATTAAATCAATTAAAACAGTTGATAAAATTATATACAAATTGATGCAGTTTTGCTTTCTGAATTTAGCCTAGGCCTAAGTAATGATTTATTTCTTCCTGTCCTTTCATCTTTGTCGTTGCCTAATTTTGTGACTCGCTAGCTGGGCTACTTAAGGAATAGTTTGACTAGCCGGCCGCTGTTTTGACTAGCATTTGGCTAGCGGGCTACCGCTAATTTCGAACCCTGAAGTGAAGTACACAGCAAGCCAAGGGCCTACATCATACATGTACATTACATGTACAATGTACACACACATTCATACATGTACTAATACTATACGGACGAGGTTCTATCTTTGGGGCAAAATGCATTTAACAGGAATTTGAAGTGGAAATACTTCTTCTTAAAGTATCCTTGTTTGTTATATAATACAACTGATGTTTTATTTCTGTCATTGTCATTCAGTTCAACATGATGATGGGGGATTTTTCAACCGTTTACGATTACTGACCATGTTGAGTGTAGTCCGAGGAATAAAAGGCCGATGAGGTCAATGAACTTACTACCCGTCGTGAATCCTGACTTCCTCAAGTGTTAAAATAGGTGATGTTGAGCAGGGAACCCAGCGATTAAAAAGCAGTCTGGGATCGGGCATTTCTGTTGAACAAAATGTACACAAGATAGCGACCGCAATCAGACCGAAAAGGAGGAAGTACTGTGTTTCCTCTGCAATCTCTCGTTGGAATTGTGCACGAATCTCTGAGGGAGTGTCCGTCAAAAATCAGGCATTACGGTCGTTTATTCACCAATTTTTACACAACATGTCAAAAAACACTGGAAGGACACAGTTTCGCAAGGTGGACGTCGATGAGTACGACGAAAACAACTACCAAGATGAACAGACAGATGAGGAAGGGAAGGGACCGGACGAAGCTGAAGTGCAGAGCTTCCTGAACCAATATCCTTTAATTTGACTGTCTAGAATTAGAAAGCACTAATTGTATACCAATTACCATGGATGACACAGACGCACTACATTAGGAAAAAGTTCCGTATTCGATCGCCACTTTTTTCAATTAATTTTCTAGCGCCAAAAGTTACATCTTTTGAGTTTTATGGTTATTCCTCCACTTTCCCTCCTCTACTTACTCCTAGAACTATGAGGCTCCACGTAGTGGAGCCTCATAGGTTCAGAAGCCCGCAAAATTGTTGTCAGCACAAAACACTAATTAAGTACAAAAACGTCCATCCCAAGCAGGCCGTTTTCCACAGAACCGCTGCACAGTTTGCCCCTAAACTCCATACAATACCTCATGACATACTCACGTTATGTGCACCCAACAAACATCGGTGAATTCTGTCTGTTTTTCGGCAAAAATGATGAAAAATATGCCCTTTCCGCACTGAGCCAACCTAACACTTGAAACGAGCACGCGCGCAGAATGATCGCAGTCATTTTCGGGTTCGATCGCTCGGAGCGCGCCGCGGGGGGTACGTACTTGCACTTGTACGCATGTGCATACTATCGTTCCGCTCTACACCATACCCCCCGCGGCGCGCTCCGAGCGATCGAACCGAAAATGACTGCGATCATTCTGCACGCGTGCTCGTTTCAAGTGTTAGGTTGGCTCAGTGCGGAAAGGGCATATTTTTCATCATTTTTGCCGAAAAACAGACAGAATCCACCGATGTTTGTTGGGTGCACATAACGTGAGTATGTCATGAGGTATTGTATGGAGTTTAGGGGCAAACTGTGCAGCGGTTCTGTGGAAAACGGCCTGCTTGGGATGGACGTTTTTGTACTTAATTAGTGTTTTGTGCTGACAACAATTTTGCGGGCTTCTGAACCTATGAGGCTCCACTACGTGGAGCCTCATAGTTCTAGGAGTATCCTCTACTCTCAGTCACACCCTCTCCTTTCCTTAATTTCTATTTATTTATTAGTCAGTTACTTCATCGAGATTCGAACCTCTGATGCTTGCTTGATACACGAGACTCTTAACCGCTAGGCCGTGCACGATCGCTGTTGCAATCATCAATCTTTGGACGTATTTGAAGTATCCATTGAAATAAACTAAATATTCATGAGAAAATAAATATTCATACAGTCGTTTTCCTAGTTCCGGATTTTTCCTAGTTCCGGATCGCTTCAAATAAAAACCTACCTCTTTTGGATTAGTCTCCAATAAAACAAATTCTGACGGAGTGCATTTTGAAAAGGAATATGTAAGCTTCTTGATACCCAAAGATCGTTTTCGATAAAATCCTTAGAAAAGGAATTTTGGCCAGATTTCCGACTCGCACTTCAACATGTTTGGACGGTTTAAAGAAAATCACGGCAGCTGCGAATCGACGATAAATTTTCACCTAGGTATATCTCTCGTACCGTGTGGTTTCGAATATTTTTTTCATTCACTACAATCGTATAAACTCTTCCATCGAATGTTTGTTCAATCAAAATAAGTTGTAGCGTCTCTGATATTTGAAAATTTGCAAAAGAAATGATCGTATGCTTTTGCCTAGTTCCTGATCGCGCGTGCACTTACCACCCAACTACACGCGCGTTAATCGATTTTGTGTGACGTATTCTGTGCCGTGTGCAAGGTTTTCGGTCCGTGCGTGAGTTCGTGCCGTTGCACTGCAGACAAAAGTTTCAACATTATTTACGTTAATTCTCTTTTGAAAATTTGCTGGAATTCTCTTGAATTAACTATTTTTGGAAAATTAAATAATACTTTATCAGAAAATGTGCTTGATTTGGGGTGGTTCTGGCTGAAAACTTGATTTTCTCGCGTGATTTTTTTTTTCGCGCGAATCAGTTTTTGATCGATTCGGAACTGATTGAACCGATCCGGAACTAGGAAAAGCGGCATCGGTACTTTTGACGTCGTAAAGTCACAATAAAAAGAGCTTAAATTTTGACAATTATTTTGTAGTATCTCCATCACTCAAGGTAAACTTTTAAACCAATGTCACTTGAATTCGTGGAGTAGTTGAGCCGAAAGCAGCCTGAATGATGTTTGCTATCCGGAACTAGGAAAATGACTGTAATGACGTATTGCACTATCATTGGCAGGCTCATGCGACGTTATGGTTGTTGATGTCATGCGTATAACGTACCGCTGTCTTTCAGCCACTACAATCAGTTTTGACCGGCTGCTTCAAGTTAGTTCTGCACGACCATGACGACGTATGCATCCAAAATGTGATCTAAAAACACATTTTGAGTAAATTGTTTTCACCTTTACACAGCTTCCTGGATTTCTCTTGGTTCAAATGACGGAAAAAATTCCGTACCCGGACGTCACTTTTTTCAATTAATTTTCTAGCGCCAAAAGTTACATCTTTTATGGTTATTCCTCCACTTTCCCTCCTCTACTCTCACCCTCTTCTTTCCTTAATTTCTATTTAATAATCAGTCAGTTACTTCATCGGGATTCGAACCTCGGACGCTTGCTTGATACACGAGATTCTTAACCGCTAGGCCGCGCATGATCGCTGTTGCAATAATCAATCTTTGGACGTATTTGAAGTATCCATTAAAATAAACTAAATATTCATGAGAAAATAAATATTCATAATGATGTTTGCACTATCATTGGCAGGCTCATGCGACGTCATGGTTGTTGATGTCACGTGTATAACGTACCGCTGTCTTTCAGCCACTACAATCAGTTTTGACCGGCTGCTTCAAGTTAGTTCTGCACGACGTATGCATCCAAAATGTGATCTAAAAACACATTTTGAGTAAATTTTTTTCACCTTTACACAGCTTCCTGGATTTCTCTTGGTTCAAATGACAAGGTGAGGTGACAATTAATATGTTTGGCAGCAGATAAATTAACGATCGAGTACGGAACTTTCCCCCTACATTATTCCGTGTTCCACTCGCGCTCGCAAGATAACTAATAGCCTTTCACCCTAACTCCCTGATTTACTAGGAACCATACCCATCCTGGCAAATTCCAACACCATATGGGAAACTGTGCACACATATTTCTGACTTTGATTCTGGAGGTGTGCCAACCCAATGTAAAAGACTGTCAGTTTAGGGGTACTGCACCCATCCTGACAGATTCCAACAAAACATGGCTTTGGGGTTTGAGTTCTGTTAGGGTTAAATTGGTCCATTTCATGAAATGAAGACACATGGTTTATGATCCCATATGCCTTTAAATGCAGAAAAAATCAAATGTATTCTCTTCCTTGTGATGTCTAGTTATCATGTAAAAATACCATCATTTCGGATCAAGTTTCTCTAAGTAAATTTCTCCCCAAAATTTTCTGAATGATCCATGGCTTCTAATATTTAAGTGTACAAATACATGTACATGTACACGTATTGTAATGATTCATTTTGGGGTCATATTTTGTCATATGGGTAGGCAGGCCTTAGGGCTACAGTGTTTAAGTACACTTTTGTTTACCCTGGCCGGTTTGGAATGTTATATTGTCCTTGTTTTCTGTCCCTCTATCTCCTCTCCCCTGCCAAACTGTCCACCCTCCCTTCCCCCCCCCCCCCCCCGACCCATTTCTTCTCGCATCCTGCAGTCTTGTCTGGTCATACTTTTTCAATTTCCAATTTTGTTTACTTTTTGATATATCTCTGCTTTGTCATTGTACTTTTGTTCATTTGTCGGCCGAATAAATAATAATAATAAAAATAATAATAATGTATATTTTAATGAAAGGGTAAGTGAGTCAAATTTGCTGTATCCTCCTTAACTACTCATTGGCAGCACAAAGAACTATGAAGAAGCTTTGAAAGCAGTATTGAGGAATCCTCCGCTAGGATCCAAGAACCCTGCTGTAAAGGTACAGCACCTGATGTGCCATTTTTAAATTCCCCTTTATACACATGTACACACAATTTCAGCAAGAAACCTTCACATTTACAATGTATATCTGTTTCGTCACCGACACCACAAAGTAACACTCTACCGTGTTAAACCATATTTTTTTTCGATTTTCAGTTTTTTTGATTTTTAAATGTTATTCATCAAGGCCTACCATTGCACGAAGTTTCAAAGCTTCAAGAGCTTTACTTTAATAATTACGCTAAGTATCCATGGCAACTTTTGCGCAAAAGTGACAATTTTCGTTTTCACGATGTAACACTCAAGTTCCATTTACCATTGCAATGCATGGCGCGCACTCTGCTCATAAGTGAGCAAAAACGTTTTCACGAAGTAACACTCTTCTTGTAATAAGTTGTATGAGCGCGCGCGCGCTGACCTGAAGTTGCACTTTCCTCGTGTTGAATATATTGAAGAGTGTTACTTCGTGAAAACGAAAATTTACAGTTTCGCAGCCTTTTCGGTTTCACGAACTAACACTCATCTTTTTTCTCTTATTTCTTGTTTGTTTAATACACAAACGGGTGAAAAACAGCAGATTTAATAAATTCAATTCATCAAGTGTCCACAACGAGAAATCCAACTGAAAATACTCTGTCGTTTTGACGCAAAGTGTTGTTTTAGAAGGCGTTCAACTTTAGTAGCCGTTTTCTCCGATTGCTAGTTTTTACTGGTATGTAGATGGGTGTTACTTCGTGGTGTCGGTGATGGTTTGTTTACATTGTACATGTTCATGTATGCGTACTAGAGGACTGGTTCTAGTTATAATACAAGACAAAAAAATAGGTCAAACATTTAGAATCAGACAGACAGATTGTCTGAAGTTAGACTGCAAATTTAATCAAGGTGTGATTTTTTTTCCAATGATTCTCATCGATTCTCGCAGTTTTTTTTGGCACAATAATATGAGGCTCTCTGTTTGTGTTGGGGCTACATGGAAAACCAAAACAGATTTCACGTTTATGTGCATTTTTTTTTTAAAGGAGACATGAATTATATTTTTTTTGGGGAACAGATTTTGTGCAACTTTCTACTCCTCTTAAATGTCAGACAAATATTTGACATCCCTTTTTGGTTAATTTTATGGAAAAGTGCGCTTCTTTTAAAGGGAATATACAACATTTGCAAACATCGAAAAATAAAACTACCAAGTTTTTGCGAAATACCTTAATAGGATGTTGGTAAATGACAGTCTAAAGCATCCTGTAAAATTATGGCACCTGGTATACTGTCATTTTCAAGAAAAGTGGTATTTTTGTATCAATTTCCAACGCTGATCGGCCGATCAGCGTTGGAAACAACTGGCTTTTTTTCAAATACTGGCCCCAATTGACCATTGCACTTGTTTACAATCGATTACAAACCCATGAACGGGTACGAGCCAGCTAGACTGGTTCCCTGACCTTACAATTCCCCAATGTATGTTAACTGCTCTGTTTCTTCTTATATGGAGTCAGGGAACCAGACTACAGGAAAATGATCGTTTTTCTTGGTTTTTATAGCATTTTCGAACCCAAAACCTCCAAAAAGTCAGTGTAACTATATTTGCTTTATATTTCCAACCCCCCAATTCCATCCATATCTGAAAATTACAGCAAAAGCAAATGATGTATATTCCCTTTAACATTTAAAGTTGTCCATGCTTTTTATTTCCGGACAACTGAGGGCGCTGTTGCTGAAATGTCATTTCAGGAAGACACTGTTCAGTTTTGGGTTTTCCATTCAAATTGTGAACTGAAAAATTTGCTTATTGAAAATAGTTGTGAGAAAAAGTTTTATCATTGGCTTACTACCATGTACTGACACAACGACAAATCACCAAAGCGAAGAAATTTTACGACAGTGAAATATCCAAAATTCGGGCAAATTTTGGTGCTGAAATAGAGCACATTGAGGTTTCTGCCTGAAATGACATCAGACTTTTGCTCATGAATATGGACATTTGCATCAGCATGAAAACCAAAAAGAAAGCAAAATACCCTTGAAAATGGCAAAACGAAAATTGAAAATAGGGTTTAATGGTACATAAAGGTACAGTTCTGAGGATTGCATTAAAAGATTACATTACATGGCCCTTTAATGGATTATGCTCGCGAAAGTTGCAGTTTAAAACCATGTACATGACATCCTGTATACAGATATTCCTGTTATTTATATTTCGATTTGATTGATTTTTTTTACGCCAGGATAAAGCCTTTCAGCTTGTCATGAGAGTTCTAACTGCCTTCAAGACCAATGACGTTGAGAAAGCAGTCAACGGCCTTGATCCTGATACCATTGATGTCCTGATGAAGTTCATCTACAAGGGCTTCTCCTATCCTACTGAAAACAGTAGCGCTATCTTACTGACATGGCATGAAAAAGTAAGTAAATGTATATTTTCAATGAGATTTTTCTGGATCACTTGTGTATTGGTGCTCAATGATCAATAACTCTCTATTTTCCAAATTACCCTACAACCAATGATTTTGACTATTCCTAAAATTTTGGACTCTCAATACCGTGTATGAGAGTCCCAACACTAAAGGTATTGAAAACATGCAATACAGTCGACTCTCGTTAGTACAAACTCTGTTAATACAAATTCTGGTTATAACAAACATAAAGCCTTGGTCCCGACTGTGCATTTATGTGCACAATGAATGGGAGTGATGTTCCTCTTAATACAAATTTCTGATATAACAAACAATTTGGCTAGGTCCAAATGAGATTGTATTAATGAGACTCGACTGTACAAGAAAATAGACTGGCATCTGAAACAACCAGTCCAACAGCGCTTCAGTAAGCATCAATCGACTGTGCCAAAAGAAACATGTGGCATGGTGGTACTGGTCTCTATTTCAAAAAATTTTACATATTGAGCCACTGAGCCACCAGACTAATGAAGAGATCAGTCTTTTCAAACAGTTGGACCATGTACCAGTCTAGTCTTTGGCCTCAAATTGATATCACTTGACTTCCCTCTCAGCTGCAACATAGTGGAGAAAAGTCTCTGTAAAGAATTGAATTGAGACTTCAAACTTGGTTGGTGAAATACTGAGGACCTTGTCTTTGCCACATGAATAGTTTGGAGAATTTTGTCTGCTTATGAGTGAGTAAAGTCAAAGTTGGCCTGATTTTGTTTTGCATGTTTTTTTAGCACTCAAGTCCCAGTCCGGATTTTGACATGATCCGCAGTGTACCCTTTTCAAAAGTCTTTTCATTTTTTGTTTATTTCTGCAGGCTTATGCCGTCGGAGGCCTTGGATCCATTGTGCGTGTTTTGACCGACCGGAAAACAGTTTGAACAATTTGTAGATAAAAGCAAGCTTCTGGGTGTAAATGAGACAGGTGATTGATGCATATTTACGTACGAATTAGATAATGTTGGAGAACCTTACAATATGAGAGATGGGAGAGAGTTTTTAAGATAAATTGTAAATGTCAGATGTGGTGAGAAATTCGTTTCCAAAATCATGGTGAAATGTTTGTCACAAAAGACACCATTCCAAAAGTACAGGGTGAGTAAAAAAAACCCATAACTTAAATGTCCGAACAGTTGTTTTAGTGAAGTTTTGCAAGTAGCACTTTCGAAATGTAGGATATGAAAGCCCAATTCATAAGCTTTCTTTTAGTACAAGAATCATTCAAATCACTCATGTACTTTTCAAGTTGCGGGATTTTAAACACAACCACCATTTTAAAGATCTGTCCACGGATCACAAAAAGGGGAGGGGGGGGGGGTTCTTTCAGCAAAACGAAAACAACTCACACACACCCTATGTGTATTGTTTTCGTTTCGCTGAAAGAACACTTACCTTTTTTGTGATCTGTGGATAGAACTTTAAAACGGGGGTTGTGTTTGAAATTCCGTCATCTGAACAGTACATTGAGTGATTTTAATGATTCTTGTACTAAAAGAAAGCTTATGAATTGGGCTTTTATATCCCAGAGTTTGAAAGTGCTACTTGCAAAACTTCACTAAAAAATGGTCCGGACATTTTGGGTTTCATTTTTTCTTGACTCGCCCTGTATATATTTTTTTCAGTATAGTCTTGTCTACTTCAGAGCTGTAATCAAGTCAATCACAACTCAAACATAAGTCAAACATTAGTCAAATCATAAGTGATAACTTAAGTCAGGTCAATAAACAATGACAAAGGAACGCCTCATACATTAGAATAGCTTTTTACTTGACTAGGGACTGGATGGCGTGTGATTGACTTGTGATGGACTCAATTACAACTATGGTCCAATTTTACACGCATTGAATTTCACTAATTTTACATACATGTACATGTATGCATGTACAGTATTAGAACCGACTGAATTTCGGGCTTGCGGTATTGCTTCGGTGTAGAAAAGTGAAAATAAAATGACATTTTGTAGAGTTTTTCGCAGATTTTTTCATGGCCATCAGTAAGAAATGTGCATGCAGTTCTATTTTTAAGTGTGTCATTAGGGCAAAACCCAATATAGAGATTTCCTTACGTGATTGTCACAGTTTTTATTTTAAATATATTACTCTGTCCTTTGACATACAATTGTCAGAATGCACAGCTACCACCAGTTACCCATAATAAAGTGCAGGCTTACATATTGTATTATGTATTTAGTAATCCCCAAATAAACACCGCAACATACAATTTGCATTTATTATTTTTTTTCTGATTTCCCCAACTCTGCCCATATTAACAGAAATCTTGTGATTTTGAAGAATAAAAAAAAGAAGAAGTCATTTAATGTATCCATTTCAAGCCTAAATTTTTATACAAAATATACTTACTCATATTTGCAGGATTATTTTGGTAAATTGTGCTTTGAAATTCATCTCAGTAAAAACGGTACTTTTTTAGAGAATACTGTAGACCCATGCAACTTTTACGCATGTTTATGTATTACGACTTATGTAATTTTTCTTCAGTAATTCCCGGAGATTGCCGTATGCAAATATACTGCAAATGCGTCCTTATAGTTATGTGCGTTTGTAATAATTACAGTAAAATAATATTTTGAGGACTTCTGCCTATTAGTCCATCAGCCTTGGTCCAAAATTTCGGCCACCGGTATCAAATGAGGGGAATAATCGTCATAGCGATTTTTGACAAGGTATACACCTCCAGAGTTGGAAAATATGTGATAGCATTGCAGCGGTGGCAGCTTTTTAGGTGTTATCATCTTTGTTTTCAAAATGTCCATGCTTGTTAACCACTCGATGGGCGGTGTACCTTGCGCTTGCGCAGAATAATCATTTATACCCTGATTTGATACTGACCAAACCCCCAGTAGTCAGGTGGCATATGGTCGAAATCGTGACCGACTGGTCCAAAGCACCAAACTTGGCAGATAGATTCTTATAGCCCTAGAGAAGATATTTAGAAGGGGTGACACCTGAAATTCTTTTGGGAAGGGTGCCTAATTTGCATAAATCGTTAATCCCTGCCGTGTAATATATTTATTCCCATATTTGGGTAATTTTTATTTTTTTATTTTTTTGAAAAGTGTATTTTGGTGATTCTACTTGCATATTCTTACTTCAATAACATTTTGTAAAACATATAAGTGACTGAATAATTAGCAGGACATAGTAAAGAACCAAAATGGCTACTATTTTACCCTAAAGTTACGCGCATTTACCTTTTCCTCAGATATCATCAACTAGTCTCGCCAAACGTGGGTATTGATGAGCTTCAAATTCACAAAGTTACTTACTGGCATAGTTACCCTAACAAAAATAAGTGGGAAATCAAGTGAAAATTGATAACATCTTGATGTTTAGCCCAAAAGACCAAAAATGGGGAGAAAATGTGGTGTCCGTAAATTGGGCTAGTACGGGAAGGGAAACGTGGGGACTTGAACAAGTTCAACGAAATCCCCTAAATCAGAGATTATATTGTTTACAATAATTTTGTCCACGCCAAAACGTTTTCTCAACAATAATTTTGGGAATTTCCTTGAACTTGTTACAGTGTTCCTTGTTAGGCAACCCTTCACCTACCTGTTAGCCCAATTTATGGACACCTCGTTTTTTCCCAGTTTTTGTTTTCTGGGATAAATATCACAATGTTATCATTGTTCACATGATTTTGCATAAGGTTTTAATATGGTAACTGTACCAGTAAGTTACTTGGTGAATTTGAAGTTCATCAATGCTGATGTTTGGCAAGACTAATTGATGATATCTGGAGACAAGGTAAATGCGCGCAATTTAAGGGCATAATAGTAGCCATTTTGGATCGTTACTATATCCTCATAATTATTCAGTCACTTATATGCTTTGGAAAATGTTATTTAAGTAAAGATATGTAAGTAGAATCCCCAAAATACACTTTTCAAAAAAAATAAAAAAATAGAAATATACCCAAATATGGGAATAAATATATTACACGAAAGGGATTAACGATTTATGCAAATTAGGCACCCTTCCCACAAGAATTTCAGGTGTCACCCCTTCTAAATATCTTCTCTAGGTCTATAAGAATCTATCTGCCAAGTTTGGTGCTTTGGACCAGTTGGTCACGATCTTGACGAAAATTAGATCTAAACCACCTGACTTACAGGCTGATGGCCTATAGATGATGAAGTTAATTAAATTAAGCTGTTAGAATACGACTGCCAAAATAACCAGTAGAGGGCGGTATGTGGTCTGTTCTTTCAGCAAAATAGCTTTGTATGGAAGTTTAAAATGTGTAAATATTAGTGCCAAGGCTCATTTGGACACGACGAAAGTATCAGCAAAAGGGTCAAGAAAATGGACGAATCCTTCTTGGAAAATCCGCCTTCCAAAAAAAATAGCACTGCCTCGTGTTTTTTTTTTTAGCCTGGACGAAAAACTATTTTTGTTTTACTTGGTCCTTTCTTGACAACATCCAACCTCTGATTTCGGGTAGTTGATGGAACTATATGTTTCCAAGATATTTTATCTCAGTAACGCAGTAACGCGGATGGTCATGTACGCTTCCGTAGTAACCGGCCACGGCCACGCACACACCGCATCGAGCGCCTTGTACATAGTACATGTACATGTACATGTACATGTATTGCACAGTAAAGAAAACGATCGACTTACGTAGCCTGTATGTGCGTGTGCAGTGCGGTAATTTCCGTCGAGTCACAATTAGTTCGAGTCCAAGTCCGAGTCCGTAGCCCCGAGTCCGAGTCGTAAGTCAAAGTGACTCGAGTCCGAGTCCGAGTCATTAAAAATGTGACTCGAGTCGGACTCGAGTCCGAGTCCGAGTCACGAGTCATACAAGTCTGGGTAGAGTCATTGTCAAGGTTTGTTTGGCGAGGTTCAGTCATAGGTTTTAGGTTGGTTGTGTCAGTATACTTACTGACACAGTGACGTCTCCATGCACAGGAATTTGGTAAAGAGGGTTCATTCAGATGCTGATCGGCCTAATCAGCTGCTGCGGCAGTAATTCCGAACTTTACCAAAACGGACATCGCTGCGTGCTACTAACAGGAAAAGTGGAAAATAATGACGGGGAAGATGCTTCTCTTGTCGGTGCTTCTTGTTAGTTCCATCACGGTGGTTCACTCGGGCAAAATAGAGACAACTGCCGACTGTATGGTAAGTCGCAACAAATGTTTCTTTCGTTCTTCGATTCACTTGACACAAGATCTATGTTTTTTTCCTGATAGAAACAACTGCGGATGAACATAGAACTAAACAGACCTTTACTCTTCCTCAATTAAAGTGAAAATAACGACGCTACGAATACGCAACTTATCGCATCTCCCCGACGCACACTATCAATATATTAAACATTTAATTGATATCTGGCCATACCGATTTTTTTTTTAAGTAGCTTATTATTCTTTTCTTTCAGAAAGCTGCATGAAATAAAATTAGTATCATAAAGTAAACAGTCCAGTCCACCCCTTCTTAAGTTTAGCTCAGTCAAACTATATCCTTTGAAATCGGTTGAGTATGAATTTCACCTCATGTATCTGACAGTTTTACTCGTCAAAAACGAGAGGGCCTAATAATGCTTCTATCCTTGCAGGAACTTTTCAAAGTTTGCAGCGGATTGATTCATCATGCATGTTACATTTTCATTGACGAAAATTCGATAATCGATTGGAGTCATTTTCTACAACAAAAGTATAGTTCTAATTAGTATCGTCATTTCCTATGCTTAAGACACAGGCGCTTGTTAGAAATCTTCAGATTTCGAGACGTCGGTAACAGTTTAGCTAATAACTCGCGCATGCACCTTAATGTACAACGATGTAAGGATCTTGATCAGTTTCACTGTTTCTCAAACTACGTTGGTATTTTCGTTGTTTTTTTTAAAAACATTCATAACGAGTAGTGTGTTATAAAAGGGACACGGTGCTGGAAAAAGTATTAACGATAAAGAAGTGCTTAAAGTAACTGTTTTTTCCCAAACTACCCATACGGTCCTAAAAATATTCTTACATTTAACATGAACAAGTACAAGTTGTTGAGAAAAAAGGTTGCGGAGTTGGTAAGCACACTGTGCGAGGGTCGGGTAAGAATCGAAAGGAAGGAAAATTCCATGTTGCAGGCCCGTAGCCAGTCTAGTGTGAGGGTTGGATCTTTTTTTTAACAAGAGGTGTACTTTTGTCAGTATAATTGGATCTTTTCACTAAAATGTGTACGATTGATATTGCAACTTCTAGTGATTAAAAGTGCGTATCCAGGATATTGAATTCTTAATAAAGGCCAGTTAAAGTATTTCAAAAAATTGACAGGGCCAAGGCCAATCTAGGATTATAATTAGGTAATAACATATTGCGGACCCGGTCTTCACCGCGTGGTAATGCGTGGGTTGGGTCAAAAAATTGACAGACTGGCCTACTAGGATAAATGTAAAGTTTTGGACCCATGTTGAATTTGAGGTGGGTCTTTCTTTCGCCTGGAATACCCCTCTCCCGCTTTCCGGCCAGTATAGAGAGTGGAGCAGAGTAGATAAGTGCGGTACAGTGGAGCTGAATGGGGTCTGGTAAAACTCATGGCTGGAATTTGTGGACATTTCGAGTGGGGTAGATGGTGAATGGGTTGATTAGGGTGAACGGGCGGCGAATTTTCTTTTCCCAAACGAGACTTTCATGATACGTACGGCAGGTATCCCGCAGCAAGTTTAGGTGTGCAGTGCGATAGCTCAGTCGATACAGGGTTGTGAAAGGCACCGCAAGGTTGCGGGTTCGAAACAAGGTTTTGCACCCGAAATGTTTTCTTTTGCAACCTGAGGCTTCGGAGGGTTTTTTTTTAAGGGAAATTAAGTCCGAATTTCAAAACCATCGAATTCCTTTTTTTTTTTGCAATTTTTTTTAAATTTTCTTCCCATGTTTTTAGAAAAGTAAAGTCCAAAACGCCATAGCGCTTACCCCCTTTTCTATGCGGAAGTCGTTTGGGAGAAAAAAAAATCGCTAAGGGTATGGGGGCTGGGTAAGATGTGAATTGAGACGACAAGTGAAGTTGTCTGTTGCTGGGCTTGTTACATAAGTTTATTGGTTGAGTGTTTGGGAGTATAGGGATTGCAGTTAAGTTAAATGATTTAAATGCTGAGATATATTGGCTGGTTGGTGCGGTTTAGAAGATGAACTTCAGGGTAGAGAGCAGGAGGGTAAGGCTAAATTTGTAAAAGTTTGACAGCGGCACTCATTCACGGCTGGGATTAAATCAAATGTTCAGATTAACATAGACTAGTTCAAAATACATACTCGAATTTAAGTCGTTAATTGGCCGGTTTTGTTCATCCGCCATGCGCAGCGATTAGACATCGCAATGGCCACCTACGGCCTTATACCGTCCCTGGCTTCAAATGCAATAGTACCGTACTAATGCTAGGTTTACACATTCCCGCATTATTGCAACGAATACCCCGATCTATCCCGAATAAAAATCATTGATGGCATCGCGAGAAATAACTTAAGAATAAAAGAGAAATAATCAAAAACTAGGTACGAATTGGAAGCCGAATCAGACCGAACCCAGCCGAACGACTGCGACTTAGTGCAGAATAAAACCAAAGTTTAGCCAATTTGTCAAGAATAACATACGTATAACTCAAGAATCATCCAGAATTATCCGGAATCATGCCGGTTTAGTGTCTTCGTTATACTCTTACACTATTCGTACTCTCTTGATACATTTGTAATGATCCGGCATGATTCGGGACTGTTAACACCAAACAATAACTCCACGAAACTTGTAATAATGATGTAAAAATATCCAGAAAGCTGTAAGAATATCCAGAATTAGTTACGAAAACAAGAACAAACTAAGAATTGATTTTTTTCCAGAATCACCTCGACAAATTTGAATATGTCCAAAATGGTCGGGGCGCTTCCCTTTTAATTTGGCCTTAATATAGGCGTTGCATGTGGAGTTCCTTGCATAAGCTGCTACAGTTGTTATTAAACTTGATAAAATAGACTGAGTGGTTCGAGATTTGTATCTTCGGAGATTAGTTATCAGAGTATTTGGATCCAAAAAGGATATGTTGACATGCCCAATAATTTGCAGGCCTTGGACTTGAATACACAGTTCGTACATTTATCAGCCGCATGCGTGACCAAACACTCGTAATCCAATACTCATTTGAAGTGCGCAGTCAGCACAGTTTGATGCTTTGGCTTAAAGGCACACAATCATTTGCTTTTCATGATTTTTTTCGTTTCCAATAATAACACCACTCACAATGCAAAGAAGATTGTTCAAACCCTAGCCTGTTGAATTTTCAGCTCAGCGGATATTACACTTTTCGAGGAAATAGTGAAAAGCCAGGCACAATCTTTTGATCGCGAAATACAATTTCGTCCATAGCACTCTTTATTTCCAAAAATCGGTCAATTCACTGTTTGTTGGAAATTACCTTTTTTGGATTTCTTCCAAATGAAAGCGAGCCAGACGGAATAATTTCAGGGGGTGTGTTGTACCAGTCTGTTCTTAGTCCGATCTTGTATCCGAGTGAGCTTTTTGATAATAATTCGATACTCTACTTTTGTGCAAATGATATACCTTTATATCTATTGTTATCTACAACTAAAAACTGCACAACGGCTGCCCCACTGATGCACACACAGCAAATGAATGAATGAACCTGAAAACTCAGCATGAGATATCACCTTTTTGTTCCATAGATGTACTTGTCGAAGTACGGCTATGTACGACCCACCACCGAAGGCGCTAACATGAACGAAGAAGATATAACAGCGGCCATCTACAAATTCCAGAGCATGGCTCATATTGCGGAAACTGGTAAGTTTAACGACGATATTGCATACTGAAGCGGGATCCTATTGGGCTCTTGACCGCCAAGCTAATCGAGCAAAACACAAGAAAGGGGGACACAAAAAAGATTTCTAACTTTGGCGGAAGATCTAATTTATTTCGCCAAGCGGACTCTGCGGGCAACTCCCACACCGACCTCAGAACTGCAACAGATCGATTCCCAGACAAGCACAGCTTTACAAAATGTATTACAATGCTACAACTTAAACCCAACCCTGGAATCTAGCCAAGCCTTAACCCGCATAAGAACAATAGGAACCCACTTAGGCAACCTATTTATAGAACCTTTTTTCGGAGCGCGCGCTGGCAGACCCCAAACCAGGTCAGCGCACCTGTGGCCCAACCCGCCAACAATGCGCCGTCAAAGCCCTTCAGCGGTAGTCTATGTAATAGCCTATTTCGCGTGAACACATTTGCTGATTAATTAGGCAAAACCAAGTTTTTATTCTGCCCTAAATCGCATTCATTCGGCTAGGTTTGGTCTGATTCGGCTTCTAATTCGTACCTAGTTCTTGATTATTAATATTTCATTCTTAAGTTATTCTTACTTAAGGGCCCCATACCCCACGCAGTAATTTTTTTGGACACACTTTTGGGGACCATTTTTTTCCGCCCCCCCCCCCATTTCAAAAACAATTTGTGTTCTGAATCCGCCCTTGATCGGGGCTAATTTCTCCCGATGCCATCAAGAATCATTTTTATTCGGGATAGATCTGGGTTTTCTTGGCAATAATTCGGGACTGTGTGAACCTAGCATTACCAACTTGTCAGGCGAATTTCATTGGCAATCGTTTTCCTTTGAAATTTGTTGGCCAAAATCCGGTATTTCTGACAGAACGAATCCAAATCCCGGAGAACCCTCGTTGCCTACTTTTTAGTCTGTTTTGTCATAACACATTTTTGTGGGACGTGGTTTTGTCTCGTTTCACGGATATGACCCTAATATTTTCATGAAAAAAAGTTACGCCTACAATGGCCTACATGCTGAGTCAGACGTGCCATTGTACAGCGGTAACAAAGAGTCTGGGTCTATGTCCTTTTTGCCCTCAGCCATCAAGTTGCACCTTTTTTGTGCCGGTCCTAGATACATAAATCACACCGATTGACTCACTGACAGTCACTTATGATCGTTTTTTTTTCAGACCAGATCTGTTATAATTCGGTTTCATCTTCTATTTGTTCATAAGATGTGTGTTTAAAGGCATTGTTCTTACTTCACTTCATTAGGAGAAACAATAATAAAGTTTACAAAAAGGCCTTATTGTGAATCTATAATTCCAATCCATTGGTCATTAGTCACATCTGTTTTCGACCAGTCCACGAATCTGCTGCCTTCGATTTGTGATTTCAATATATTTTGTTCTATATTATATGATTAATTATCCAAATTCCTGAAAATCGTCCGTGTGGCTAATATGTACAGGTTGACCAGGCCAAAAACTTTTTCGAAAACAAATCAACTATTGTTACCGGTTCGTGCGCATCAAGAATCTATAAGTAAAAAGGTCAGTCGGGAAGTAGAAAGAACGCCAATAACAAAGATGGCGGACTTACCGCAACTTTGCATTAATTTTCCGCATAAAATAGAAAACTCTCATTCAATGCAGGAGCAGTAATGGAAGAAAATAATTATACCGTGATAATATAGAGTGGGCCTGTCTTTGCTATTTCATAGCTTTTCCTGGATTTAAATTATTTTCATATTATATAGTTTTACTATCTTTTTATAAGCCTTTTATGCCGGCTGCTGTATTTTGAATTATGCACGGCCAGATTAACTTGGGCGTTTCATCCGAGGACACTGTTCACGGGAGCTAGTTTCCAATAAAATCAATGACCTCATAATGAGTCACATAAAGATATATGGTGAGTCATAAAAAAGAAACCAAAATGACAGCGCCATATCGTTGATTTTGAAAGTGCTCTATGCAAAACGCCTTTCACAAATTGGTCCTGCCATTTGGGCTTCGTTTTTGTTTACTCGCCCTGTACATGGTTTACCGCAAACCCGGATCCGCGTCTCTAAAGACTTTGTGCTGCAGGTAGTTCAGAGAAAGTTCCCTGCGATTTTGATTCAGTGGCAATGCTGCTTAAAAAAGGGTGCGGGTTTTCTTTTCATGCCGCTAGACAAAACATTGCCTCAAACTCCGCCGTGACGCATTCATATTTCGTTCACTTCAGGCGGGAATAAACCTTCACTGATTTTCTTCGTGCTGGCAGCCTGGCAGGTATCTCAGAAGGAGTTCTTTGTTATTTAAATTTGTTACAAAGAATGCGCATAAAGCCCGGCGCACACCTTTCCGATTTTAATAATCGGACCACTGGGCCACAGAGGTGTGCGCTGAAAATCAGGCAATCTAACCGTACACTAGTCCATTTTGAGCAGATTCGCTGATAAATTATGCAGGACAACCGCATCTTGACATCTGGATTTTGACCAATCAGTGAGTGCTTTCCATATCGGGTCTTCGGTCATTCACCGTTGTCGCGTCATAAATGGATAAAACAAAACCTAGACAGAGCAACAATACGGAAGCTTGAATTGGCTTCCGCGATACCGCGTTACTGTGATAATTTATCACAGAAATCCGGAAATCAAAGATAATCCCTTCCTCGATACCGCGTTACCGTGATAATTTATCGCAGAAATCCGGAATTCAAAGATAATTCCTTCCTCGATACCGCGTTACTGTGAAAATTTAGAAATCCGGAATTCGCAGATTTTGTTGTCCAAGGTCACATTTTTTGATAGGTAGTTGGCTGCTTAAATTCTAGCCAATTTTGGATAATATTGAAAACTTAAAGTAAAATGCACCATTTGAAACTCAAAATATGAAACATCCTAAATTTGATGTGATGAACTTTATAAAAGGATCGAGTATTCACATACATGTACTTTGGAATCATTGTGCGAGTGTTCGATCTCATTTTGGGAATTTACCACCCTGGCGATGGTAATTAGCACCAGACAATAGCGCAGTGTCAAAAATCTTACATACGTCTAGACAAGTAAAGATGCACTGGTAACGCGGCATCAAGGAATAGCTATCTATGAATTTTTGTTTATTTAATACACAAACGGGTGAAAAACAGCAGATTTAATCAATTCAATTCATCAAAAGTCCTCAACGAGAAACCCAACTGAAAATACTCTGTCGTTTTGACGCAAAGTGTTGTTTTAGAAGGCGTTCAACTTTAGTAGCCGTTTTCTCCGATTGCTAGTTTTTACTGGTATGTAGACGGGTGTTACTTCGTGGTGTCGGTGACGAAAGGTTGTGGTAACGCACCCTGTTTTAGGCCTATTATGTTACGCGATACGCGCCCAGGTGATGTTGTATTACAAAACACTGCATTCGAATTGACTAATACGATGTTTAAGCCCAATCGCCGCAAATAGCAATTCTTGAGTAAATCGGGAAATGGTTCTTGGCTGCCTCGGGATGATTCTGTTAGTTCAGTAAAAGATCGTTAAAGATCGGGAAGCGCCCCGACAATTTAGGACATTTTCAAAATTGTCGGGGCGATTTGGGAACCGATTTAAATTCTTGTTCTTTTCTTGTACTCGTAACTAATTCTGGATATTCTTACAGCATTCTGGATATTCTTACAGCATTCTTTCAAGTTTCGTAGAATTATTTTTGGTGTTAAAAGTCAAGAATCATGCCGAATCATTACGAATGTATAAAGAAATGTGCAAATATTATAGGAATAACTTACGAATACGCTAAATTGACATAATTTTGGGTCATTCTGGATGATTCTTGAGTTATTCGTAACTTATTCTTCACAAAATCGCTACGATTTGGTTTTTATTATGCCCTAAATCGCATTCATTCGGCTTGATTCGGTCTGATTCGGCTTCTAATTCGTACCCAGTTCTTGATTATACTTGTTTCATTCTTGTTATTCTTATAAACAGCGAATCGGGGCTACTTTCTCCCGATGCCGTCAAGAATAGATCTGGGTCACGTTCGTGGCAATAATTCGGGACTGCGTGAACCTAGCATTACTAGCTAACTTGTTAGGTGGTGTTGATTGGCAGTCGTCTTCCTTTGAAATTGTTGGGCGAAATCCAGTATTCTGACGAACCCCAACCCCGGAGAACCCCTGGAGTGTACTTTTAAGTCTACTATCGTCATAATGCATTTTTGTGGGACGTCCTTTTTCCCTAATTGCAAACTTTGCAATATCCTGACTGCCAGAGGCGAACTTACCTTATTGATCCAGAGGCGGCCTTACAATATCAGGAATGTAAAAGGGTGAAAAGAGTTGTCCACAATATGGCTCTCCAAAAGCGTGGAAGTTTTCATTTTAGATTTTGTGTTAGAAATTAATATACATGATCTATTTCCCCCCACTTTTATTGGCTTAGTGACAAAAACTCTAAAAGAGTAATTAACATAAACCTCCACAAAAGGTTTAATACCAAATGGCCTAAAACCTCAACGCGTTTGGTTTTGAACATGTTTCATTGGAGTTTAAGTGGTGTTTTGGATACGAGCAAACCTCATGAAAAGCAAATGATCTTATATCCGTTTTTCATCCCGAAAATTGAATTTCTTTTGAAATGATATTTTTTTTGTAGCAATACAAAATTGATTTGCTTTTGAATGAGACATTTTAAGGCCAAACAAAAACTTTGTCCTTGCGGGGTAGACTGGTTACCGTCCCATTATCCGAATCGATGAGTAGGATCCGGGAATTAGTCTACTGACAATGCGGAAAATGCATGTTGCAAGAGCAACCCAAAATAAAGGATTTTTTCAGATTGTTGCAGTCGACCAAAATGAAAAAGAGGTAGGGTTTCTTTGGTGGGTGGGGGGGGGGGGGGGGTAAAGAACATGTTGAAAACTTGTTAGGAGAACAACTTGAAGAACAATGACATTATATCTCGAAGATTTAGGAAAACCTGACATTTTCCCTTCGTCGTGCAATATATGAACTCTACACTGTGAGTTAAAAAAACGAAACCCAAATGTCGGGACAATTGTTTTAGTGAAGTTCTTAATGCGTCACTTTGAGAATCAAGGATATAAAAGCCCAATTCATTCGATTTCTTTTAGTACAAGAATCATACAAATAATGTACTTTTCAAGTTACGGAATATTAAACACAACCACCGTTTTAAAGTTCTGTCCACGGATCACCAAAAAAGGTGTGTGTTCTTTCAGCAGAACGAAAACAATTCACACACATCCCTATGTGATTTGTTTCGTTTTGCTGAAAGAACACTGAATTTTTAGTGATCCGTGGACAGAACCTTAAAACGATGGTTGTGTTCAAAATTCCGTAACGTAAAAAGTGCATACTTGATATGAATGATTCTTCTACTACAACAAAGTTTATGAATTGGGCTTTCATATCCTAGATTTTGAAAGTGCTACATGCAAAACTTCACTAAAACAATAGCCCCGACATTAGGGTTTCGTTTTGTTTTTTACTCAACCTGTATTCAATATATCTGTCTATTGTCGTTGAATAATGGTACAGCGTATTAAGGTGGTTGTTTGTCTACAGTAGCAATAATGTCGCCAAACCAAATTCAAATTGTTTTAGCTGCGCAATTTCGAATACCCAATATACTTCAAAATTCGGACATCACAAAATGAAATTTAAGCTTTGCCCGGGTATGATGAAAATAAAGGTAACATTGTCAACCTACAGTTTATGTCTGAAACAAACTTTTTTTCAGCTCATAACGAGCATTATTTTGCGCACCGAAGGGGGATGGCTTGTTCCATATTACTTGTACATTTAAAAATAGAAATATTGAGGACGGCACGGTATGACGTCACAGATCAGAGTTATGTTCGTACCGTGTTTCATGTTCATTCCATGCATGTACCCGTTTGGAAGAAATTTTGAGTTTGATTTGAGGCTTTTAGTTTCAATTTCAATTAATTCGTTCTTCTGTTAACTACGGTGGTTAAGGTCAAATGACGTTCCAACTATATGTTTATGAAGATATTGTCGACCAGTCAGAATGAGAATCATAAAAACAGGCTTCGTTTCATCAGTTATCTTTTTACGAAATAAAAGTCACCGGTAATTTGATACCTTATGGCTTCTCGATAGGGGTAATATGCACACCTGGACATTAGGGTTGTTTCCGCCAAGCTTCAAGTTCATCCAAGTTCATCCTAACGACTCTGAGAATAAATTGGCAAGAAAATTAATGAAACATTTTACGTTAGGGCTTATCGTCCAAACACCTTGAAGGGTCTCATTGTCCACTTACTTGATCCGTCGGTTGGCCGGCCGACGAACCTGTTGCCGTGAAATTGGTCATAGAAATTCCCTTATTGTGACAAAGAACGAATCCAAACCATGGGGCACGTACTAACGTCTTATCAATTTATCAGACTTTATTTTTGGCGTGTAATTATATCTGGGGGTGAGAAAACTTTCGCCACTATAGGCTGTCTGTGGCGCCAGGTTGTACTATTGTTAATCATTAACAAAGAGTATACGTGCTTTACCGAGCTTGCAAATTCTTTAATATCCTCAGGCAGAATTGGTCTATTCTGAAAGGTTTGACCCACATATTATAATCCCACGAAATATCAGACATCTCACTGAAATCTCTCGAGCTAGAATTACTTGAGCAACTGCATGATGAAGGAGGAAATAATTTGAAAGGTTTCTATAAACAGTTGGGTCTGTATCATTTTGTTGTATATTCATTTTAGCATATTTAATTGTGTACCCATTATAGTTGTAATTATTTGAACTGATAATATCTTGCCTCTTTATTTCTTAATAGAATCTTTCCAATCAGACATTACAGAGTTTCTTTAGGAAATTATTCGGATAGTAGTCTTGTCTTACGTATGGAAAATTAAAACGAACGAACAAACAAACAAAGACCCCAACAGCCGAAACAGCAAACAAACAAACAATCAACCCAACGCCCCAAAAACCAACCAACAAACAACCTACAAAAGAAACTGAAACAAACAAACAAACAAACAAACAAACAAACAAACAAACAAACACCCCAACAAACAAACAAACAAACAACCCCAACAACCCCAACAAACAAACAAACAAACAAACACACCCCCAACAGAAAAACAAACGAAAAACATCGAGCCCCAAAGAGCAGGGGAAACATGACAAAAAAGCTAAAACTTAATATCGATTTTGTTTAATCAGAGCCCTTGCGTATTGTTTATACAAAGGCAAGTGTGATGAAGCAACGAAGGCGATGATGAACATGCCTCGTTGTGGCTTCCCAGACTTCGATGACGATGACGTGATGGATGCAAAGAGAAAGAAACGCTACGTGCTGTATCATACAAAATGGTCCAAGACGGATTTGACCTATCGCGTCAACTCCGTGACACCTGATATACCCGACCCATCGCTTGTGAAAAACACTTTTGCCAATGCCCTTCGAGTGAGTATATATGTACTAGTGACGCTGAACAAACCCCGAAAATTATCTTGTGTGTGCGATAAGAAAGAGGTATGGGGATATACAACGAAACGACGTGGAATAATATCAGCTATATGTATCGGTATATTGGCACAGTCAATCTGTATATCCGTCCGCAAACGAAGGAGGCAGAAACCTTCAAAAGTGGACAAAAATATATATACACCAGAGCCAATAAATCCCGGACTCTGGATCACATCTGACCCGATACTTCTTAGAATGCCGAATCAAATGAGCCCCATATGTTAATTGGAAATTAATGCAACTGTTCCTCAGTCTCTTATTACTTATTATCTCCTGCAATTTGGTATTCAATTTTGTCATTGTTGCCTCTAAGGTCTGGTCTGAGGTCACCACCCTGACATTTGCCAACGCTTCTTGGGACGAAGCTGCCGACTTCGTCATTAACTTCTATGGAGAGGGCCATGATTTAGACATAGAGTCCGATGGACCAGGAAGGGTTCTAGCGTTCGCCCTTTTGCCTGAGGATGGTAGATCATTTTTTGATGACAATGAAACCTGGAGCATCAATGAATCTCCCCTGCCAGGTAAATGGATAAATACTATATGCAACACAAAACAAAATGCCTTCTTTATTTTAGGAGTCTGAAACCCATTGAAAAAGCTCCAGTTATGACGTAGATACGCCCTAGACTAGCTAGACTGTTTCCCAGTACCGACGAAGTTATTGAAGGGGCGGGGGGGGGGGGGGAAACAAGTGAACGCAGGGAGGACTGAATTATTGTCAGCCGGCAAAAACTTCGAAATGTTGTTTAAGTTATTACACCAAAGGTAAAGATTCGATGTTTCATTCATAGTTGCATTGGAAACACACTCTCGTCAAAAAAATGGCCCGGTTAGGCCAAAAAAAAAAAGTCTCCGGTTTCTGGTATGTGCGCGCGTCGCCGCAGCCATGCGCGTCAGCAAAATGAAAAAGGTTTTTTTTCAATACAAGATGATGTCTCAAAACCGCCAAACTCACTGGTTTGACTGGAATCCTGCTGCTGCACAATTTTAACGTGTTTTTAGATGGGGTTATGATCGAGAATAAGCTTTATGTGGCCTCTCTGGACTCCCATATATTTGCACTAAGTTTAGTCGGGCACCATTTGCAGTCATCAGCCGACATTTGAAGCAAAAAAAAAAAAAAAGGTAAAAAAAAACAAAAACAAGGCGCGTCGCCGCACCACTTTTGGGGCAAGCTCCATACCAGAAACCGGAGACTTTTTTTTTTTGCCTTAACTTATTCTTTATGATGGGACTTGCGGTTTTGCCGAAGTCAATTGAGTGTGATCGCCTGACTGATAAGGTTAACGCACAACACCTCTGGCCAATGAGGTTTTATATAGAATGGTGGCCGGACCACTTTAATGTGCTGGTAATGGCTGAGCCTGCGTGCTGCCAAATTTACCAATGACATCCCTACATTTTCTCGTGCAAGTAGGACCCATTTTCGATCCTAATTTTATCAAATCTGCTCCTATAATAGCCCGAAAGCTAGGGAGATGATAGTTGGCTATATTTGCACGATTCCACCGATTTTTAGACTAGACGGTCTCTTTTTCTTACAAAGAATTGTGGGGCACTTTTCGTGCAAATGACTCAGCTGCATTTCATTAGTGCACATGAAATTCTTTCTTTCTTTTTTTTGGTTTTTACGATATATTAAATCCACTTCATAGTATCAAGAATCGCGGATGTGAATAACCCACTGATCATTTTATCCTGTTTTTGTAGTTTTTGTGTTCTTACACGAGTAATGACTTTGTTCGTTTTTATAATTGGGACTTTCGAAATAATTTAGCAGCTTACTTTCATAGTGAGAAAAGGAGTAGTAGGCCCCTATACTATTGAAAGTAACGATTCTTCATTTGCGATTTGAAACAGGAATCGACCTGTTCCTTGTAGCAGTGCACGAGTTTGGCCATAGCCTGGGTCTGCTGCATAGTAACATTACGGGTGCGGTGATGGCACCTTACTACCGGTACGATCCAAACTTCAGGCTCCACGAAGATGATATCGCCGGCATTCAGGCTTTGTACGGTGATCCTAATATTACTCGGCCGACGACTCCGATGCCAACCGCTACCAACCCTGGTAAGCAAAATTAGTTTTGTTACGCCCCAACTAAGGCATCGTCCCAATTACTTAGTTGGGACATTGACTATAGACCATTATCATATTTTTCCCATTCAAATCAACATAACTAAAGCGAGGCTGGAAGGAAAACATAGTCTGGTTCCTAATTTGCACAATTTTTTTTTCATTCAGTACCGTTCTTTGATACAGGGAACATGACTGAAATGGTCCATGAACATGTTGCCGTCTTGATTTTTTATTTCCATTCAAATCAACATAACCAAAGGGAAGCTTGAAGGAAAAAATAGTCTTGTTTCTTTTTGCACACAAAAATTATCATTTAGTACTGTTATTGGATACAGGGAACATGACTGAAATGGTGGCAGATGTCGCGGACATCTGGATTTTCCCCATTTAAATCAACATAACCAAAGCGAGGAGGGAAGGGTAAAATGGTCTGGTTCTTTTTTGCGCAAAAAAACAAATAATCACTCAGTTCTGTTATTAGAATACAGGGAACATGACTAAAATGGTGGCAGCATGATAAATGTTTATAGACCATTGTCTAGTTGCGGCCATCTTGATTTTGTCCCATTTAACGTAACATCAACGTAACCAAAGTGAGGCTGGAAAGAAAAAAATAGTCCGTTTCCTTTTTGCAAAGAAATGGTGGCAGCTTGATAAAGGTCTAAAGGGCCATTGCCATATTCGGGTCGTGAAAATTTTTAAGATGAACAACAAAAATCGTTTTGTTTTAGTTGCGTTTCCTCTCTTTCTTTGAAGGGTCACCTTTTCAGGTTGTATGTGGGAATTTTACACACTTAAACTATTTAATTCAAAATAATTATTCAATTGTATGCGACAAAAAAGAAAGAGAAAGGCAGGCGCGGTTCTAGAACCAATATTTTAAGGGGGCTAGCACGGTGGATGCAGAGTTTTTTCAGAGAGGCGTGCTGAAATGTTGACCGGTTATTTTTTCCAGACACTTAGGGCTCCGAAAATCAATGGGGGGGGGGGGGGGGGGGGGGGTGCTCAGGCCACATTTTCAATGAGGAGCGCCAATAAAATTCTAAAATCATTCACACTATATTAACTAATGCACCCTTGTCAAGGCTATTTCTTCTTTAGGGTGAGACCGTTCGCATGTACATCACAATCCTTCTTTTTGCTAATGCAATTTTTTTTTTACGGAATTTATTTTTTTTTGGGGGGGGGGGGGCTAGACAAATTTTTTTGCCCCCCCCGTAGAACCGCGCCTGGAGAAAGGGCGACCCCGTTTTAAATGCCACATAATTGGGTTACGGAGCCTGCGGAGGGGTCCAGAAGCTCAAAGACAAAAGGGCGTACTTTCAGACTCTATTGTGTTTGATACTTCTTTTTTTTTAATTGGCGACGATTTTATCACTGAAAACGGTTTTGCTTTCAATTAGTTGATGACCTATTCCGGTGACATCCAGTATTTAAGGGGAAGTCTACCGTCAGAAAAATACTATTTTTAGTTCAATTTAGCGTGTAGATTTCACACGTTGAAAAGTCTATTATAATAATTTAAAACAGCAGAAAGCAAGACTTTCAGTACAAATGTTTACTGAACATATAAATTAAGTTTAGTGTTACACTGACGTTTAAATTTTGTCCACAAAGGAATCATCACAAGGAGCCATATTAGGCGTGGGAAGGGTCTCCGAAAACGTGCAAGACTTTGCAAGTGCAATGTATACAAATGTATACAATGTAAGCCATATCCGGCCGACGGGAGTGTCGTCGAGAACATTGCTATTCAGTACGTGTGGGTCAAAATGCCATATGCAAATATAGCTCAAATGTTACGTGACTGGGAAGTCCCTCATGCTTACACACAGTTTTCTCGAGCAATTTAACTGACTAACCCTGTCTTGCAGTGGTTGATAATAACTGTGGAATGGTATTCGTATATATTCAGCGCTTTCATGTAGTTGATTTCTTTCTGGTGATGAAACCAAGGATCCCTAAAAACGTCCCTATATAGGCACTGTAGGCCGAAAGCCTGACAAAGACCTGTGGAGAGAAGACAATGAGAAGATATTACAGTTTAAGAGGTAGGAGGAAAAGCCCAGAGGAATATTCTGAGGAAAACTTACGGATATAGGTGGGGACTGAAAACCCAATCCACATGTTGGCCCAGGCAGGTCACAGCGGATTCCCCGTGTATGTACTTTCTTTTCATAATTGACCCTAACGATTGTGACCCCAACCTTTGTGAGAATGGTGGGATATGTCTTGATAGCTTCAGAAGGTACACTTGCATATGCGTCGATGGATACACAGGTGTCAACTGTACAACACCTCAAGGTACTATAGCTGAAAATTATACAATTGAAAAATCTATTCTTCACCAGGGCCCACAACCACCTCTGAAACCACAACCACACCACAACCAACATCCACACCACAACCACAATCTACACGACTACCATCCACACCACAACCACCATCCGGACAACCAACATCCGGACAACAACCAACAACCAGCCCAGTGTCAACCACAACTGAGCCAACAACCATTCCTAGGCGAACAAGCACACCACAATCACAATCTACACGACTACCATCCACACCACAGCCACCATCCGGACAACCAACATCCGGACGACAACCAGCAACCAGCCCAGTGTCAACCACAACTGAGCCAACAACCATTCCTAGGCGAACAAGCACACCACAATCATCAACCACACCAGGGCTCACAACCACCACTGAAACTGCAACCACACCTTCATGTACCGGGGAGCGTTGCGAGACAGAAATCGATGGTAAAAACTCGTTGAAAATTGAATGTGTATAGTCCAGTGTATAGCTAGAGGAATAGCTCAGAAGATGTGTGTATGTAGGGTCGGCTCTTACTTTTACCGAAAGAGAATTTCTCGACGTCAACGAATAGTCATTGTGACGTTCACCGTACAACCAAATTAATTTGCACCTGTTTGCATTGTAGAACATGCAAATAGAATCCTTAAAATCACTTACACTAAATTAAAACTAATTAAAGTGTATACACAATTCAGGTTTCCACTTTAACTGCCAATTTTCAACCTTAAATGCATGAGTTGTACATTAGCCAAGCATATTTACTTGATCATTGCATCCGATGAAGTTAGCGTGAAGTTGTTGCGAAAGCTCATTCATTCGTATACATAGCTCTCTATGCAGTGGCGTAGCCACCGGGGGAGCGTGGGGGGACCGCCCCCCCCCCCCCCATGAAACCTTGTCCCCCCCCCCCCAGTCGCCCCCCCCCCCCCCCCTGAGATTTTGAGTTTCTAAAAAAATTATCATTGATCTTAATCTAAATAGTCGCGAATGATCCACATGATGAGCACTGAAAAACGCCCCTCGACCGGCGACCGCGGACCAGAGCTGACAACCGGCGTGACATAGCGCATAATGATAATCTAAAATGCGTATAAACACCCACTGCACTGCTCGCTCACACCACGGAACACGTATTATAGACAGGTGGCCCGTGGGTCACACAGTTTCAGTCAGCGATATCACGCGAAGCGGCCACGCACAAACGTTTTCCTTGTCGCCCCCCCCCCCAGTCGCCCCCCCCCACTGAGATTTTGAGTTTCTAAAAAAAATTATCATTGATCTACATGACGCCATGGGCGTCAATCCTGGGGGGGGGGGGGGACACAATATCAAAGTTCCCCCCCCCCCCAGATTTTTGAACTCGTGTCTCATTTACAGGGCCCTAATATGTACTACAATGTATCTTTTGCTTTGAAAATATTGGTTAAAGTGGTCAGAAATTGCCTCAGATAGCACCACAGAGCATTTAGAATCCAAATTTTTTTCGGGGCCCTTAAGCGGGCTCCGAACCCCACGCCTATAGCTCAGAATTCTGGTATCTGATTCAATGACTCCAACCTCGAAAACAATGTTCACAAAATTGTCTTATGCCTTTAGCTGAGAAAACCTCGAAAATTATGTTTAAATTAGTATCTTTTGTGCTAAGATAGTTATTGGTTAAGGTGGTAAGAAATTGCCTCAGTTCACACCACGGAGCATCGAGAATCCAATTTATTCGGGGCCCTTAAGGGGCCCCCGAACCCCACGCCTATAGCTCAGAATACAGATAGCTGGTTCAATGACTCCAACCTCGAAAACGATGTTCAAATGATTATCTTTTGCTAAGAAAATATTAGTTAAAGCATGGAGGAAAGTGGTAAGAAATTGCTTCAGATCACACCACAGAACATCTAGAATCCAATTTTTTCGGGGCCCTTAAGCGGGCCCCGAACCCCCACGCCGTAAGGGCTTCGCGCTTCGCGCTCGCATCTGTTCTGATCAAGGTATGTCCCCCCCACTTTTGAAAAGCGATTGACGCCCCTACATGACGCCCCCCCCATGAAATGTTCCAGCACCCCCCCCCCCCCCCAGCGCCCCCCCCTCCCCCCCCACTGAAAAATTCCTGGCTACGCCACTGTCTCTATGTCACTCTGGTTTTTCTGTCGTTACTTATAGAGTTTCACATAATTGTATACAAAACTAATTAACCATAAGTTAGTAATCAAATAGTTTTTGTATTAAATCGGTATCCCCTTCAGAGCCCGGTTCAGGCGGTCAGTCCACCATTGCTTTAGTACTCCTCATCGTTGGCTGTGCTGTGCTTATTCTCGTGGCGGCGTGCATGCTGCTCTGCATGTGTCTTCTCGTTTGGAGGCAACACAAGTCACTTGCTTACCGTGACCACAGACAGTGGTCGGGTGTGCCAATCCGGAACATTCCTGATCTGAGCAGAGAGTATGGTGATGTCCCCCGCATGGCATATTTCTACGAAGAGGAGGAAAGGATGAGTCGTCTGATGCACGTCATGAGACGCTCTCCCTACCTACAGCAGGTAAAAGGCAATAAAGGCACAAAGGAATATTGGTGAATTCCCTGAAAAGAATAACAAAATAATAATGTTTTAATGTTTTTATAAAGCGCATGTATCCACCAGTTTTGGTGCTCAAGGTGCTACATCATTATTGCCCTGTTCATTGCGCCCATGAAACATTCCAAATACTATCTCAACTCCCTGGGGAGTATACTGCCATGGTTTACGCAAAACAGCCAGAATCAACCGCAATAACTATGCCCTCACAGGTACCCAATTTACTGCTGGGTGGGGAGAATCAATGAGTGACAAAGTGCCTTGCTCAAAGGCACACTTACCATAAGTCCATGGCTGGACTCAAACTCACAACCTGCAGAATTACCCGCAGACCACGAATTCAATGCTCCAGCCCACGATGCCACGACACCCCACACTTCAAAATACGAAGCGGCAAATTAAAAATAGGGAAACACTAGCAACGGAATTCGTTGCTCAAAAACGTTGCTCAAAGTAACGAAAGGACCAGTACCAAATTCCCTGTCAAATTCCACTGTACCCGAAGTGGTATCGACCAGAGTAAAATCCTTCACTCATAAATACCTCAGACAGTTTAGCTATTCCTATTGGTCGAGAGCCCGTCACGTGGCCGGTCTTAAACGGATGATAAAGACATGGCTAGCTGGTCTTAAACACTTTTCCAGTGTCACAATAAAATGTGGACTCCTAAAAATCCAGTGCCTCTTACCGTTTTATTGGTTGAACGTTCACAATCCTCACGTAGGCATGCGCAACACTATACCAGCGAGTCAGAATTTTATCCTTACTTTAATTCCAGGAATCTCTGTCTGTCCGTCTGTCTGTCCGTCGATTATCTCCAGAACCGGGCACCGTATGAAGTTGAAAATCGGCGTGTGTATTTTTCGGGACAACAGAATGTGCAGTGCCAAGTTTGAAGTTGTTTGGACCAGCGGTTCTCGAAAAAGCTGCAAAAAGCAGTATTTTCTGAGGCAAACGTGGCAGTATATAACTTAGAACATAACACCCGCACGCACTGCCGTTCTTTTCAATTGTTTACGTCATGTTTAAGCTAAAGTGCGCGTGCTCGATATGACGCAAACAATGCAAAAAGGACGGGCACGCGCACGTGCATTGTAGGGCGATACATTGTCCAGTATGGGTGAATACTAATGGTCAATGGGTGAATAGCACTGCATACCATGTTTTCGTATGTACACGGGCACATTATTTTTGCAGTCGACTGAGCGACCATTGTAGGTGGTCGAACTTCAAACTTGGCAAAAATTTTGACGTAAGTGTGCGTTCAACCTGTGAAAACAACACCATTGAATCGCGTGCGTTGTTTGCACGAGCAGTTCTCCAAAACTCTGCAAGTAGGCAACCTATACCACCGGCAAAGCAATTTGCGTTTCCCGAACATGCACATTTTAGACGGGCACTGCACTAGGGAGTCAGAATTTTATAGTTCTAAATTCAAAACGCAACACCCCAGGTGCGTTCTGCGCGACATCGCGCAAAACATGCTACGCGCGCGTCAATCTCCGTAAAAGGGTTGTTTACATCTTAGGCCGTGTCCGAAACGGGCTTCCAGAGCTACGGCTACGTCTATTGTCAGCGCGTCTCCGCGTATTTCTAATGGAGCGAAGACCTAGACCTAGCTCTAGACAACAGATTCGGATGCAGCCTTACTCACCAGCTGAACACTCCATTATTTTGCTAGAGGGATGTTTAAAAAAGCACGAAGTGAACTTGTTGAACAAAATCGGGATTTTTTTGAACGAATTATTAAATTTTTTACCGAAAAGTGTTTACGAATGGGAATAAATATGTGCTCGGTCGGTATTTATCACTCTGTTTAAGACCGCTTAGAGTCTGGGTGCTGATAATTACCCTCGACTCCGGCTCGGGTAATTATCAGCACCCAGACTCTAATAAGCGGTCTTCAACAGAGTGATAAAAACCTCCGGAGCACACATTTATTCCCTTATTAAAGGTGGCACAGCTGGGATTACCCATTCACGGGGACCTCGACGACACGAACACTTACCAACCGGTTGTGAATGATGGCCCGACCGTAATTTAGGGATTCACGTGCTCCGTGCACGCAATTCAATATACGAAACGGCAAGTTTAAAATAGGAAACAATAGCAACTGAATCCAATTACGAGACGAAAGAAGCTGTGCATAGCTTTTCTCTGCTTGCTCAAAGTGTATGGAAACGTGAACAGGTCAATTGTTATGCACACTACTTAAGATTCTGAGCAATTTTGTTGCTTCAAGCGAAAAAAATGCACAGAAAACAGATGATCCGATTATCTTTAATGTGTTATGTTTTTATGAAAGAAAGGTCGATTGCGAACCACAATTTAAAATGGTTATTATAATGCTTTTGTTTCTCTGTCTGTAAAGGGTTTACCGGGCCAAGAGGAGTTTATCCGGCCCTACATAGCAACAGGAATGGAAGGGCCGTACCGTCAGGATCGTCGCGTGAGTAATTAACAAGCTTATAAATAATGCACACTGCAGGCATCTTTGTTATAGTTTGACGGATTTTTGTTTGTGGTTAGGATTACATCAACAAAACTATCTATTACCCTTCACAGGGGCAATGCTAAGGAACCATTCTTTTCAAATGTGCATCTGGGCATAGCGGACACAATTAGAGAGCGCCATGGTTGCAGACCAGTACAACTGCCCTGGACTTCCCAAAAGTATCAAACATAACTCACAACTCTCCAAGGTGTTTGAAACACGCATCATATTAAAGCTTATTTCATCATCTTTCATTTTCCGTTCAATTTTTGGGGTGTTAACCAATAACTTTCAGGAGAGAATTTTATCCAAAGATGATCACCCAATCGCCATTTTGAAAAAGGAGGCCTACGCCCCATTGCCCCAAAAAACAGATAGCCTTTTAGGGCCTAATTTCGTAAGAGTTAGACGAGTTTCGAATACGAGCTTGCAGTCAAATGGACGGCTTCCACCTTCCCTTTTTACAAACCCTCACGTTCATGGCCCTCGCAGTGAATATGAGGGCGCACAAATCGTGATTTGGCCAGCGTAGGCAATTTTAGGCCTAATTACTGGCCTGCCTTCATATGCGAAGTGGGCTAAAAGATTATACTAAATCCAAATAGCCTGCTCCTCCATAATAAGAGTTCTTCAACCAACGGCGAGAAATAAGATGGAAATATATTAATTACTGGTTTTTTTTTTCGTGTTAATCTTCTGGGTGCAGACCAGTAAATCGGTCCGAATTTGCCTGCGCCGGCCAATCACGATTTGCATGCCCTCAAAATCTTCGGTATTTGGGCATGCTGTGGGCCATGCATGAACTTGAGGGTTTGTAAAAAATATGGGTGGAAGCCGTGCACAGGACTGGGAGCTTGCAGTTCTGTGTAATTTTGATGAAATTTGGACCCTAAAAGCGCTCTATTTTGCAATGGAGTGTAGGCATCGTTTTTCAAAATGGCGATGGGCTTCAGGACTATTTTCAGGGGTGATCATCTTCAGATGGAAATTTCTCCTAAAAGTCATCAGTTGACCCCCCAAAAATTGAAAAGCAAATGAAAGATGATGAAATAAGCTTTAATTTGATGTGCGTCTCGAACACCTTGGAGAGTTATGAGTATTTTTCCCGAATTTTTGAAGTGGGAGCATTTACCATTGGGGTCTATGGAAGTTTATTTACTGGTCTGCTACCTTCTGCCGCTGCCGCTGTAGTTATAGTGGTTATACATGTATGTATGGTGTTGGTATTTTAGGCAGCGTACTTGGACAGCGTATTTTCATTAGATACAGGGTTGCCGATGTAATTTTAATCGATAGTCAATCTCTTTTTATCTACAGGCCGAGTATGCAGGACGTGTGGTGCGCAATCCGATGGCCATCTAAAATACATCGCCAACGATTCCCTTTGATGTTCTGTACTCAATTCATATTTCAGATAATGTTTGTAAGTTGACAATACTTTGTGCAGTGCCTGATTTGATGACAGCGTGTTTTAATATCACAGGCCTGTCTTCCTTCGTCTCTATTATTCACTGTCCTTTCAGACAAAGCTCGCATCTTTAATTTTGTTAACGACGAGTGCCTAATGTCTATACCTATGTTACCCGAAAAAAATATATTGTGTTATCCGTAAAAAGAAACAGCTAACATTAGCGGTATGTTTGTCCATAATATTTACATGCTAAAGTAGGCGGTTTGTTTTCCAGTAGACATTTAAGAACCCTAGACCAAGTAATTTCAAGGTGTAAATACATAAGCTTTAATAAAAATTCAATATTGTAACTCGGAGATCATTATTCCAGCGGTTTATTGTGTTAGGGCAGGGCAGGGTATAATGTTTATGAATATCGATTATTGGTGATTGGGCCGTTTCGTATAAAAAGAAGTGGATATTTAAGTTTACTGTAGTCGTCTACTCGGAATATTAAATAGTATCTTGTAATTTGCTCAGTCATTTACATCCATATACTCTTCTTTATACACTTAATTGGTGGTAAATGTAATTTGACGTAATTATATCTGTACATGTATCATTCCCAAGTAATTTTAGTATTTGTAACATGGTCCTTCTTATTATATTTTTGTAAGCAGGATTTGCCTGTCCTACAAAACTTTTGCACGGATTCAACCAGAATGCGAAAATAACGAATCATAATAGATTACGACCATTAAGAAAACAGTAAACACTGTAAAGAAATATCATAATTGAAACATGAACACTCCTTTAGCGCGCCGTGAAGGTTCATTTACATATAAACATTAATGTCTCCCTACTTGATGGTCAGTGTTGCCACAAATGCGATAAAATGAATTTACAAAGGTCATGACTGATCGCCTATCTCCGAACAATGCAGAAATTCTTTTGGAGGTAAGAAGAGCATCAATCAATTTCAAAAACCCAATATTTTGAAGATTTGGGGCAAAAACAGTCGATTTGGGGGAAATAACTAACACTTGTGACTGATTTAACCCAAAATGTTCCTCGTAATTCATGTTTAAAAGCACATCTGTCCACGAATCGCATGGGAATGTGTTCTGGGGTACCTTAGGCATCTCTCCTGCAAGTTTGAAGCAATTTCATTATTTGGCCAAAATTGACAAAACCAATGCCAACATGCCTATACCCAAGGGCAACCCCCACTGAAGTTTGAAACCCAAATCTCATTTCTAGCTCAAATCATCATCCGGAAAACATTAAATTTAAACTCACTACGGTGACCCTGACCCTTGACCTCTTGACCCTTAAACCAATCCCAACTTGCCTGTACCCAAGAACAACCCAAAACCGAAGTAAGACACAAAAATCGCATTTTAATCTCAAGTAATCACCCGGAAACCATTACACTTTAACTCACCACGTTGACCCTGACCTTCGACCCTGACCCTGACCAAAAATGGACTTTTCTCAAAAACAACGCAGAAAATCATTTGAAGGTAAAGAGGAGCATCAATCACGCGCATTTTTTGTCGTATGTACCTCTAGGAGCGATCAATCAAGGTCACCCGTAGAGGTATGTACCTCTAGGGGCGACAAATAACGGTCGCCCCTAGAAATACGTACCGCTAGGGGCGATCAATAACGGTAGCCCGTAGAGTTATTTACCCTTGTGCATCTTTTCTGCAAGTTTGAAGCAATTTAATTTTTGGCAAAAATTGTAAAATGAGCAAGGGGTTAGCCTGACATTTTTTATCAAATTTGGGCAAAAATGGACTTTTCTCAAAAACAATGCAGAAATTCCTTTGGAGGTAAAGTGAGCATCAATCACGCACATTTTTTTGTCGTATGTACCTCTAGGGGCGATCAATAAAAGGTCCCCCGTAGAGGCATGTACCTCTAGAGGCGACCAATAACGTTCGCCCGTAGAGGTATCTCTGGTACGGTGAACCTCTAGGGGCGACAAATAAGGGTCGCCCCTAGATGTACGTACCCCTAGGGGCGATCAATAACGGTCGCCCGTAGAGTTATGTACCCTTGGGCATCTTTTCTGCAAGTTTGAAGCAATTAATTTTTGCCAAAAATTGTAAAATTTGCAAGGGGTTAGCCTAACATTTTTTATCAAATTTAGCCAAAAATGGACCTTTCTCAAAAACAATGCAGAAATTCCTTAAGAGGAGCATCAATCACGCGCATTTTTCTGTCGTATGTACCTCTAGGGGCGACAAATAACGGTCGCCCCTAGAGGTACGTACCGCTAGGGGCGATCAATAACGGTCGCCCGTAGAGGTATCAGTTTGAAGGAATTTCATTTTTTGGCCAAAATTTCCAAAAACAAACAAGGGGTTAGCCTTACATCTTTAATCATTTTTTTGCAAAATTGACTTTTCTCCAAACAATGCAGAAATTCTTTTGGAGATAAGAAGAGCATCAGTCAATTTCAAAAACCCAATATTTTGAAGATTTTGGGCAAAGCAGTCGATTTTGGGAAAAAACTAACACTTTTGACTGATTTAACCCAAAATTTTCGTCGTAATTCATGTTTAAAAGCATATCTGTCCACGAATCGCATTGGAATGTGTTCTGGGGTACCTTAGGCATTTCTCCTGCAAGTTTGAAGCAATTTTATTATTTGGCCAAAATTGACAAAACCATGCCTGTACTCAAGGGCAACCCCCACTGAAGTTTGGAACCCAAATCTCATTTCTAGCTCAAATCGTTATCCGGAAAACATTAAATTTAAACTCACCACGGTGACACTGAACCTTGACCTTTTGACCCCAAAACCAATCCAAACTTGCCTGTACCCAAGGGCAACCCCATACCGAAGTAAGACACCAAAATCTCATTTCTAGCTCAAGTTATCACCCGGAAACATTTAAACTTAGCTCGCCACGGTGACCCTGACCTTTGACCTTTTGACCCCCAAACCAATCCCAATTTGCCTGTACCCGAGGGCAACCCCTTACCGAAGTTAGACACCAAAATCTCATTTCTAGCTTAAGTTATCATCCGAAAACCATTGAACTTAACTGACCACAGACGGACGCCGAAGGCGATGACAATACCCCTCCAGCCTCTCGGCTGAGGGCGACTCCAGAATAATTGCACTTAGTCCTATCAGGAATGGAGAAACATATAATCCAAACATGAATTTTCTTGTAATAGCCAAGAGCACTTTGGCTCATGGACAAGAAATGTGGTGCAGGATGTCCCTCGTAACCATGACAATCAATTCAGAAACAAACCCAGCAATCATTAAATTGCTCTTCTAGTATAAAAAACGTCGTAATTGTCTACGCATTCTCCAGATGTGTTTCAGACAATGGGCAGGACCCAGATTGACTTCCAATGCAAACTGGTCATCTCTGTCTACGACCTCAAGAAACACATCAACAAGGTTCCTGTATAATCCGTTAACTGTATTCTAAGTAGGTTTATTCACTTTTTCTGACTAAGTAACGACATACATATTGTAAGAATGTCTAATAAAATGTGAAACTTTAAGAATTTAGTATTTTCTGATCTTAAGTTTTTCATAAACGGCTTCATTCATTCAAAGATTTCCAATTTTTTTGAACAATTTCAGATTCAAAAGACACTGCCAAATTGCTCTCGATTTCTACTTGTATAGTTGAAAATGAAAATTAAACATGGTGCTTCTCCACAATTCTGCAACTATAAATCTGATTTGTGTAAGTCCTATCATCGTGAAATTCGTTCTTGGAACTATTTAACTCAAAAATGTCAAATTGAGTTTTTTGCTACCACAAAATTACAAAACTTGGTCGAAGAGAAACTCCTAATTAAAAAGGAATAAGAAATCACTTATGCCTCTCTGTTGACATCTCTCTGCTGATTTGCATTTGTAAACGGATTTTCATTTCAAAACTAAGTGAGTGCTTCGCAGTAGGCCCTATAAACAATATGGAGGCAGTATTTTTCTGCTGTTGATGTTGATATAATCGCTTCAGATTGAAGTAATGCGCCTATTTGATTGATTCTCAAAATGTCAAGGGTCTCATTATAAATTAGCCAACATCCAACTTGTTGCAACCACAATGCGGCACAATTAAACGTGTGTTCACCGTCCATCGTGGACGTCCTATTGTCCCTCTTTTGTTTGTACTCCCATAGGTTTTGTACACGACCCCAATCGCGGACGTATGCTGGGAATCGTGGACGACATTGTTCTTTTTGTTCTCTGGTATTTTCCGTCCACGGTTTGAAGAGATGAACACGTACAACAAATACGCACCATTTACGACGCATGAAAGCCTTCTATGATATCACTGAAGATAATTGGTGGTGAAGGATTGCAGATTTCTTAGTTTGACTTGATTCCTTGATATGCAGTAAAGTTAGAGTCATCGGCGAAAGCGTGAAGCTAGCAACTCATGCAGTGCTTGCCGAAGCTCCTTGTTCCTCAGATAGTAAATGACCACATTCAGCCAACTGTTGGTGATAAAGATCAACTTAGCCGCCACGAATAGATCTGGAATGTCCAAATTATTAATAACTGGGTTGGTCACAATATAGATGATAGCCGGGGTCCAGCATATGAAGACAGTCATAGTTATGATGAACACAGTCGTGGCGGACTTGGTGCTGACTCTCTGCGGAGCGTTCTGATCACCCCAGGCAATGCTGATCTGATTTTGGGCGGCGATGCGACGTGCCTGCTGTCGCGCCACGTTCAGAATGTAGGTGTAGAGGCCGAAGATGGTTACGAGAGAGATTGCCATCAGAGACATCAGCAGGACCCAACAGATTTCGCAGTCGGGTAAACCACATTCATCAGGACCATCTGTGGACATGGTACTCGGCAAAAAAAAATCCAAATACAATTATGAAAAATGTCAAAGTCAGGATCCACGTGATAGCGACGATTATCTTTGCTGTCTTCAGAGTCATCAGTGTCGGATAGCGCAGTGAGTAGACGATGGCAACAAATCGATCCACTGTTAGGAGAATAAGTGAAAAGATACTCAAAGTCAAAAGAGATAGCGATGACACTCCCCAAACAGTGCACAGAAATGCACCCAGCACCCATTTCCCTGTTAATTGTTGTGTTAGCTCCGGGAGCACCCAGAACAGCCCGATGCAGGTGTCGGTGACGGTCAGCGAAGCCATGAACGCCTTGGTCGTTTCTTGGATGCCTTTGGCGCGACAAAGCACCACAAGGCCTATCGGGTTGAGAGTCAGAATCAAAGCGGCTGTCAGAGCTGTTAAAACGCCGACGGTAACCTCGTACGGGTCCACATGAGGTATTGAATCCTCGAACAGGTCCAGCTGAGGTATTGGATCCTCGTACGGACCCAGTTCAGGTATGGGCTCCTCGTTCGACAATTCGGTTACGTCAACACTTGGTGGATCCATGATGAATGGATTGGTTGTACAACACCAGATTTTGTTGTAGGCCTAAGTTTCAAAAGATACTGTTTCAGTGATTTTATCTCACTGCATAAGTGTTCTGGCTTGTCACTGTATTATCTCTCTTTTTCACCGTCTTGTTTCGTCACTTGCTGTCTCCATAATGAAGTGGCTTACCCTCTCTGCCTGCTTCGCCACTATTACCCACCCCTTATCATCAATTTGCTTTCGCTTGATTTGCCCTTCCATGCCGCTGATGTACACAAAACATCACGTTTCTATGGCAACTCAGCCTTCACTCTTACAGCGTCTGCCTTAATTAATTAAATTAACTAAAGCCATTTATATTTTCTCGTCCATCGATTTGTCCGATCATCTCCAGTGTACGACTTTCAATATACATTTCCTCTTGATTACATCTGACCTCTTCTGTTGGATTTCTTAATTAACCACAATATTTACCTTAGAAACCCGGATGGTTCCAGTTTTGATGAGTTGCGTCACCATGAATATGGAGCTCTCGTGAGGGTGTTACAATGCTGTTCAACAAAATAGGAGTATATCAATCCGGATATTTAGCAGGTCTCTTATCCGAGTATCAAGTCAATGATTCTTACTTAAAAAAACCCGTTGTTTAAACCTTGCATTGCCCTGTTGCAAGGTTTAAACAACGGGTTTTTGATCTTTGATCTTTCCACACCTTTGATTGATCTTTCCCCACCTTTCAATTACAGAAGGGAAATAGATATCATTTCGTTCGGTCTTGTCTTGTAATACTGCCCAACACCCCTAAATATAAGGGCCAACCGTGCAGGGTTCGGTGCGCTTGGTGAATTGCGGAGAGTGACGAGTTATTTGATTTGCTGGCTTAGGTAGTTGTGTACTGCGTCTTTGAAGTTCTGCTTGTCTTGGATTGAAGTGATGGGTTCTGGTAAGGCGTTCCAATCGACGATCGTGCGAGGGATGAATGTAAATTTATAGTGATGGGTATGAAGCTGTTGGAAGCTGGTGATGTGTGCCGTAAATTCTTGTGCCTTGAGCGAGGCAGCAAATTAGAACAAAATGAAGTACTTACTGTGGAATATCACTCCGCAGCGCGGAGGTGCACCAGTTATGAGTCTTGGGTATATTAAGTGAGGGTGTGGCAATTAAGAATGTGTCATCTGCGTTCCAACAGGCAAACACTTCCCATCAATTATTATTTCAAGTTATTTGTATTTTTTTAGCAAGGCTTTTCCTACTTGGTTTTCCATCCTACAAATGATCCAATGAAGTGGTTGTGTCGGATTAATGCATTATGAATTCCAAAAAATATGAAAAACTTAGGCCTATATGTCGAATTAAATGTTCTAGAATAATATTATGCTGTAAAGAAACTAAGCAAAGAAAGTTCCTATAGTAAAGACGGAGTTATGTTGTTGTGTTGGATTGACGTGGGCGTAGGGCCTACATGAATTCCAGAAGTATTAATAGTTAATGTTAAATTAAATTATCAAGTATAATAGTAAACTTGTACCAAAGCGGGCAAACAAAGAGTTGCCGTAGTAACGACGGAATTATGAATGCTACGCGAGGTATGAAGTATGTTACACTGTTAAAACGTTGGGCAAAATGGGTTGATATGAAGACCATTGTTGGTCAACATATCAACAGGTTAAACTCTAGGGCACATTCTTCCCAATATTTGGACAATTCTTTTCCCAAATCAACCCACAATGAGGTAATTTCAAACCAAAATTAGGTAAAATTACATTGCCTAACAGTGTTTTACCCAACATGTTTTTTAATTTTTGTATTATTTTTGTATTTTACAGTGGTATCGTTATTTTGATGCGAACTCGAAGGAAAGAAGCAGGAAAAAAAAAATAACGGTTGGCATCGGTCTCCCTCCCAAAGTTGTAAAGCTGTAGAGTGTTATGGAATTATTAAGAATTAGCCTATCCGAGGAATGACCACAATAGAAGGGCGCTATTTGAGCAATATTACGATGGTGTTTGATCTTAATGCTTAATTTCCATATCATAGGTAAGTGGCATATTGTGAAAGATCTTTTCCTGATTCCAATGTTAATTGTATAACACAGAAAAGATCATAAGCAGCTAACTACTTTTATTTATACATATAAGGAAAATATATGCTGAAATTATACTTTTATTAATGCGCACGATTCTTGAAATAATTCCGAAGAGATTGGGCACATTTTCAAATCGTATCGCCTTTTGCTACACGAGACGAATTTCACAAATTTAGGACAACTCGGTAGGTTGAAATATACTGAAACTTCAACGAAATCTAGTGGTGGTTTTTTGAAATTCAAATTGAGAACTGAGCTTTGCGATGTTCCGGGACGAAATTAAATTATCAATATCATGATAATCATGATAAGTGTTAAAATAACCCAGAAAACCTATATTTGTATTAATGTGATGTCTGTGAATGAAGTGGAAATAAATGAAGTGAAGAGAGAGATACAATAAGCATCTGTACTGATGACGTCACACTTTGTTTACGTGCACTTCCCCTACGGAGCCAGTGGGGGCTCACGGTCTACTGAGCACCATAGGAAAGCACACACTCAAACAAAGTGTGACGTCTTATTACATGTTAATACATTAACTACCCATGAGGTACATAAAGAGGAGTAACATGTAAGTAAATGACTGAGACTTAAAGTTCCAGGATACATTTTAATACTCCGAGTAAACAGATAATTATAAATCTAGCCACATTTTACAAAGCGGCCTAGTCACGACTAAAGCAATAGGCCTAATCACAAAAGAAAACATAAAAACTTAACTTCGCCCTGCCATTTACTTTCAGCCGTTTAATTGCTTATTTGTTTGGGAGGAAGTAATGTTTTGGGAGGTAGTAAATTTCTTTCTCTGATGTGCTTAAACTTATAAAAGGTGATGCTGAAGGCTTTATACCTGATGGGTTTCAAAGCGCTTCCTCATTATTACCCTGCTCATTGGGCCAATGAAACATTCAAAATACCATCTCAGCTCCCTGGGGAGTATACAGCTCGATGTAGCCCCATAAATGTGGCCTATTTACTGGACTACCTCCGTAAACATAGGCCACACATCCACATGTACAAAAACGTGTCGCACTTTGCCAAATTTTGCTTTTCACATTTAGGCTTAGTTTGTAGATTATTTTGCTTTAGAAGCATACTCACCCTCTTAATAGGCTAATCTGAAAGTGCTGCCTTTTTCAGATGTCTATTTTTCGTGAAATTTCCAGATTCATTTACACACGTTTGCGTATCAAAATTTCAACATGAGATTTCACAAAAATTGAACATCTGAAAAAGGCAGCACTTTCGGATTAGCCTATTAAGAGGGTGAGTATGCTTCTAAAGCCAAAAAACCTACAAACTAAGCCTAAATGTGAAAATCAAAATTTGACAAAGTGCGACACGTTTTTGTACATGTGGAAGTGTGGCCTATGTTTACGGAGGTAGTCCAGTAAATTGGCCACATTTATGGGGCTAAGCTCGATGCTGCCACTTCAGTGCAAAACAGCTTAGTAATCAACCACAATAACCATATCTGCCCTCACAGGTACCCATTTATAATTACTCCTGGGTGGAGAGAAGCGGAGTGACAAAGTACCTAGCCCAAAGGCACACATATAACCTCAGGCTGGCCTGCGCCTCGAGCCCACAACCTGCAGAATAACCCGCAGACCAAGGATTCAAAGCTCCAGACAACGAAGCCACGTCACTCCACAACATACGGAAGACTCTTAACATGTTGAGGTACGCATAAAAGACGGCTTAATCGTAATATCCAATATATATATAATGTTTACTCTGTGTACAAAATTACGTATAATGTTGTCATACACAAATAACGTGCTTATACAGGTAGGCATTAAAAAGGGCTAAATCGTAGTATCCAATATAATTATATAATGTTTACTCTGTGTAAAAAAATACAATTGCGTATAATGTTGTTATACAAAATCTGGTGAAATAATGATCCCCGAGTTACCATATTGAGATTTTCACAAATGTAATTACTTTGTTTGCTAATGTTCCCGAGGATCTACAGCTAAAAAAACGCTGCATATACTTTAGCATGTCAATACTATGGATAAAAATACCACTATTCTTCTTACGGAAAACACGATTTTTTTTTCTGAGTAGCATATAGGTATATAAACTGGATACAGTGAATTACTTGTCGTTAACCAAATTAAAAAGACGAGCTTTGTCTATAAAAGACAAAGGACGACAGGCCTGTGATGTTTAAGCACGCTGTCATCCAATCAGGCATTGCAGAAGGAATTTTCGTTTCAATGAAGTATTGTAAACTTATAGTAATAGTTAAAATATGAATTAAAGACACACTGAATAGTTGCCTGGTTTAATTTTACCCAAGCACGGGTGAACACTACAACTACCCAAAATTTGGTTGTCCTTTTCTCAATTGTTCGGGTTAAATTTCTGAAAGAAAGAATTTCTGTTTAATGCAACCAAAAACTTGTGGTCATACAAGACCAAATTAAATTTAGTCTGGTATGACCACAAGTTTTGGTTGAATTTAACAGAAACTCTAACCCAAACAATTAATCGTTACGGTTTTGCCTTTCACCGACGTATAAACACTGTATACTCAGTGTGTTACCTCCCGAGTGAAAGTTGGAAAAAATCACTCCGATGGGACTCGAATCCACGACCTCCTGCTTTCCAGTGCAGACGTCTGCGACGTCGGTGAAGGGCAAAACCTAATTTGATTTAGATCACCCCGACTCAAACGATTAGGTAAAGGCGAACCCAATTTTTGGTAGTTGCAGTTTTCACCCTTGCATGGGTAAAATTAACCCAGGCATTTTCCCAGTGCAGTAATACATTGACTTGAGACTGGTACAGAACATTAAAATGCAATCGTTGGCGATGAATTTTAGATGGCCATCGGATTGCGCACCACGCGTCCTGCATACTCGGCCTGTAGATAAAAAGAGATTGACTATCGATTAAAATTACATCGGTTACCCCGTATCTAATGAAAGTAATACTTAACAAAGGCTAGAACCTTCTTGACTGACATTAAGCTCCAAATACGCTGTTTAAAAACCAATACCTTACTGTTGCGACGTACGGGTTTTTGGCGCTAAACACAAAAACCAAAACCCATTATTTATTTTGACCTGATTCCTCACCGCTGGTTGAAGAAATCTGAATTAGGAGGAGGGCGCTATTAGGATTTAGTACAATCTTTTGTATTTTGTGACCTGCCATATCATAATAAGAAATAACCCCCAACTTTGACTTTTCTATAGTGACACACATCCTATATTAAAGAACACATCTTTAGCTTTCCAGTGATACCATATTTAAATGTGTAGCCGAATTTCATCCAAGGATATGCCACAGGAACTTCAACAGTGTCCCGCCGGACCTCGCCGACTTCACTTCGAAAAAACGGCTTTGAAAACAAATTACATGCGAAATGTTTCTTGGGGTGATTACATTTACAAATTATTCTGTCAAAAATTACTGCAAGAAAACGAGCAACCTAGTGTAAAATGCCCATAGGCAGGCCACGCGAGGATTGCGGAAGCTCGCCGCGTGACCTTTAAATTTCAGGCTCATAATTATTGTGTCTGCCATGTCCAGACGCACATTTGAAAAGAATGGCTGCTCACAACTGCCCAACCAGAAACAAAAATCCGTCAAACTAAACAAAGATGTCTGCAGGATGTATATCTCTGAGCTTGTTAATTACTCACGTGAGGATCTTGACGGTACGGCCCTTCCAGTCCTGTTGCTATATAGGGCCGGATAAACTCCTCTCGGCCCGGTAAACCCTTTACAGACAGAGAAAACAAAGCATTACAATAATCTATATAAATGGAGGTTCTCAGCCGACTTTCATTTCACAATTTAAAATACACATAAAACAAACATAACATCATTTGCTTTTTGTGTATTTGTTTTGTTTCAGGCAACACAAAATTTCAAAATCTTAATTATCCCATTGTTGAGAGAAAACACAGAACATCTATGCCCAGTTTTCGTCTCGTAACTGGATTCCGTTGCTAGTGTTTCCTATTTTATAGTTGCTGTTTGGTATTTTTGAATTGCGCGCACCTTTGCGTGAATCCCTAAATTGGCAGTCGGGACATCATTCACATGTCGTCGAGGTCCCCGTGGATTGATCATCCTCGCTGTGCCACCTTTAATGAAAGATTTCCTCTGGACGATACCACTTCAGGTATAGTGGACTAAAATGTGACAGGAAATTTGGTGCCTGCCCTTTCGTCACTTTGAGCAACGGTGTTTCTCATTCAATCGATAGCTTCTTGGATTCTGTTGCTAGTTTTTCCTGCTTAAAAGTTGCTGTTTCATATTTTGAAGTGTGGGGTGCCGTGGCCTCATGGCCTTGTGGTCTGAAGCATTGGATTCGTGGTCTGGGGTAATTCCGCAGGTTGCTGGTTCGAGTCCAGCATATGTAATGTTGTGTGTACCCCGTGGGCAAGGCAATTTGTCACCCATTTCGTCTCACCACCCAGGAGTAAATGGAGTACCTGTGAGGGGAGGAGGGCAGAGTTGTGATTGAAATTAGTTGCTTTGCGCCGAAATGGCAGCATCGAGCTGTGGGAGCTGAGATGGTGTTTGGAGTGTTTCATTGGCCCAATTGGCAGGGTAATAATGATGTTAGTGCATTGAGCACCTATAGTGGTGGATATGGGCGCTATTATTGTTCTTTTCAGGGGAATCACCACTGTTTCTATGTGCCTTTATTGCCTTTACCTGCTGTAGGTAGGGAGAGCGACTCATGACGTGCATCAGACGACTCATCCTACCCCTCTCATCATCAAAATCTGCCATGCGGGGGACATCACCAGACTCCGTGCTCAGATCAAGAATGCTCCGGCTTTCTCTAGGCACACCCAACCGCTGTATGTGGTCACGGTAAGCAAGTGGCTTGGTACGTTGCCTCAAAAGGAGAAGACACATGCAGAACAGCATGCACGCCACCACGAGAATAAGCACAGCACATCCAACGATGATGAGTACTAAGGCAATGGTGGACAGACCGTCCGAACCGGGCCCTGAAGGGGATAACGATTAAATACACACACTATGAGATAACTATATTTTGGTTAATATGTTTTGTATACAATTATGTTAAACTGTACTCTGTCATTATTGTGACGACAGAAAAACCAGAATGACATAGAGAGCTTTGTACACAAATGACTGAGTTTTCAAAAAAACCACACGCTATTAAACTCCATCAGATTCAATAATTAAGTAAATATGCTTGGCTTACGTATAACTCATGCATTTGAGGTCAACGTTCCCCATTAAAGAGGAAACCTGCGTTTTTGTATACACTTAGGTAGTCTTGATTTAGTGTAAGTAGTGTTAATGATTCTATTTGCCTGTTTTGCAATGCAAAGGTGAGGGAGGTTCATTTCATGCAATACAGAGAACGTCTCAATGACTATTCGTTGACGTCAAGAAATTCGTTTCGGTAAAAAGTAGGAGCCGCCCCAACATTCACAAATCTTCTTAGCTATTCCTTTAGCTATACACTAGACTATACACCCATATTGAATTTGCAACAAGTTTTTACCGTCGATTTCTGTCTCGCAACGCTCCCCAGTATGTGAAGCTTGACAGCTAAAAGGAAAAAAAGAAAGAAAATGAACACTGTAGTACATTTCGTTTGAAATATGTAAGACCCCCTTTACACAGGGATGCGACCTCTGTGCCTCCCCTGTGCGACCATAAAACAGGCCATGTCGCCGTTGGAGGCTCAAAGGAGGCCGAATGGTTGCCTAGGTCGTTCAAAGGTGGTACACAGGATGTTCAGACATCGCTAGGGACGCCATGGTCGCCGTAAATGTTTGAACATGTTCAAAACAGTCGCACAAAGGTCGTCGGGGAGGTTGCTTGCTCAAAGGTGGCTCAAATGAGGCAGAAGGGAGGCACAAGCATTGCCGTGGTTGCCGAATGGATGCACAATGGTCGGCTTAAGGTAGCCACGTAAAAGATCTGTTTTGTTGCAAATTTTACCGTAAATCCGGGCGATGCTTCTGCCTCCCTTGTGCCTCCCGTGTGCCACCTATGGCCGACCAATAGCGTGCATTGAACGATGACCGTAGCGACCACTGTGCCTCCATTCGGCGACCACGGCAAGCCTTGAGCCACCATGGCCGTAGGTTGCACATGGGAAGCACAGGGGAGGCAGGCAGGTGGCTCAGTGGACGCATAGGTTGCTCATAGCTCGACATGAAAATGCCTGAAAAACTGCAGTTTTGGTGGTTCAAGGGAGGCACAAGGATCGCTGGAGCAGTTACATAGAAACAGGATTTTCTTGGGTTTAGGCGACCATTGAGCGCCCTGGCCCTTTTATGGTCAGTCATAGGTGGTACAAAGGCAGCAGCCAGTGTAAAGGGGGCCTAAGGAATCGTTTTGCATGTGCACTACATGCAAGGGCGGATCCAGAACACAATTTTTTGGGGGGGCCCAAAAAAAATTTGATCCCCCCAAAAATGGGTTAAAAAATTACAGCGTGGGGTTCAGGGCCCGCTCAAGGGCCCTGAAATTTTTTTGGATTCTAGATGCTCTGTGGTGCGATCTGAGGCAATTTCTGACCACTTTAACCAATTTTTTTTTGAGGAAAAGATGGTGGTGTACTCTGCCTCCCTTGTGCCTCCCGTGTGCCACCTATGGCCGACCAATAGCGTGCATTGAACGATGACCGTAGTGACCACTGTGCCTCCATTCGGCGACCACGGCAAGCCTTGAGCCACCATGGCCGTAGGTTGCACATGGGAAGCACAGGGGAGGCAGGCAGGTGGCTCAGTGGACGCATAGGTCGCTCATAGCTCGACATGAAAATGCCTGAAAAACTGCAGTTTTGGTGGTTCAAGGGAGGCACAAGGATCGCTGGAGCAGTTACATAAAAACAGGATTTTCTTGGGTTTAGGTGACCATTGAGCGCCCTGGCCCTTTTATGGTCAGTCATAGGTGGTACAAAGGTAGCAGCCAGTGTAAAGGGGGCCTAAGGAATCGTTTTGCATGTGCACTACATGCAAGGGCGGATCCAGAACACAATTTTTTGGGGGGGCCAAAAAAAAATTTGGTCCCCCAAAAAAATGGGTCAAAAAAATTACGGCGTGGGATTCGGGGCCCACTCAAGGGCCCTGAAAATTTTTTGGATTCTAGATGCTCTGTGGTGCGATCTGAGGCAATTTCTGACCACTTTAACCAATGTTTTTTTTGAGGAAAAGATGGTGGTGTACTCAATGCCTGCCTTTATTGCGATGTCACACACAAAAAAAAAAATTGGTTTCGTTTTTTTTTGGGGGGGGGGGGCATGGCCCCCTTTGGCCCCCCTGGATCCGCCCTTGACTACATGCTCCCTAATTTAACAAATCGCATTCCTATCTGGTGGATATATTTCTACTGTTTTTCCGAATGAAAATCATGCAAAAATTAAGAAATTCGCGCACCGTACCGTTTTCTAATAATTCTTCTTGACAAGCCCCAACTACAATAAGTTTACAATGTAACTTAGTGTTGGTAAATGCGTTACGGTTCAATTCCCCGGAATTTCTTCAATTGATTTTTCATTTACCTGCACGTAAACGAATGGTAAGGAAAGTTCCCAGACGTGTTACACGTCCCGCCATTCTTGCAGTAGGTTGGTGCACAGACTACTTCCCCATCTGTCATGAAAAAACCCAAAATTATCATTGATATTTCACTTCGGCCATTGAAATAACAGAGCAACCAACAGCCGCAGGATTAAAGACAATTGCAGTGGTCAATTGTAATACATATATACAAAGAAGCCGAATGATTAAGGACAATTGCAGTGGTCAAACGTAATACTTATAAACAAAAGGGATAATGCACATCCAGTCAATTTTTAGGCACTCACGGACACTCAACTAAAACGAATAAGACCGAAATTCAGATATATGGTCTGCACTGTGCTGCAATCCAGGACTACATTCTTGAAAAGCCGCTACATACATGGTTAGACGGTTAATGAAATGTACAATAAGAGGTTAATACGAAATGCATATTTAAGATCAAGGCTGCAATTTGCATAGTCCTTAGTCCTCAATATGTTTGTCTACCTGCCCCTTGAGGCAGTATTCGTTTCACACAAGAGGGCGGCCTTCACCCCCAGTCCTGGTTTGTATACATGTGTATTACCGTTTACGATTACAGAATCACGGTTGATGTCGATGACTGTATTGCCGTCACTCAGTGATAGACTGCTTGACATGACTTCCTGTATGGCGACGTTTGAGGGCGCAACGTTTTCAAATGAAGCCACAGACCTCACGATAACACTGCCTTCCTCCATCCACGGGACGTGCACTGACAATACACCGTTGGTAGATGGATGCTCCTTAAGCCTCATCAAAATCTGGAGGAAATGTTTACATACACTGGTCACACTAAAGAATCTCCCTGTCAGTTGATTCCTCAAAAGATGTAATTTTCAAAGTAATGGAAATTATTGTTATCAATTAAGAATGCCTCAGAATTTGTATACAGAAATTGAAAAATGCAGAAACGACAATAATGGGTATCCCTGTTTTATTTTTAAAAGACCAAATTACATTTAGATACATATAGATCGCATATTTTTTATTCCTGAGGCTACGGCCCTCTTTTGAATTTCAAATCATTCACAATAACTTTGATCAGTTCTTCATTTGATCGGCGTGATCGCATCTGCTTTGGCACTTGTTCAGCGTTGTACTTTAAATTGAAGTCCTTTCTTTAGTAAACTGTTCACACCCATGTAATGAAATGATCGTACTTTTGTTTCATTCCTGAATAGAGATCAGAACAGATTAATATTACCGCTCGTTCAAACACAGCAGCTAATCTCTGGAATGCACTTGATGTTGGATTTTTGTAGGTCTGGTTGAAATCCAAATTAGCTGTCAACACAATCTGTTTAGACGGAAGTTCTGTACAGAAAAAAAAGACAACAAAATTAATCATCAAAACACATCATTATCTACATGTGATTTGATCTCCTAATAAGTTAGTTTATCTGTCTTTCTTAATTTTGGAAATCATCAGTGTAATTTTTTTTGTGCATGTATGTAAAAAATACCCTTTAAGCTTTTGCCTTTCAGGTAAAACCTCCATCTTTACTGACTCCATCTACAATGACTTCTTGTTCTAATGGGTTTTGATATTTTGGTTTTGATGGAGATCAAAATGCTACTGAGATTGGAAGGAATTAACAAGTGCGAAATGTACCAAATGCTTAGTAATTTGAATGAGTTGGTTGAATAAAAATAGGTCATGGAGGTTTGCAGGATGTTGGAGGTTTGCGAGTACAGTGTACGACATGATGCGTTCCACTTATGACAGTTTTGGGCTAAAACAAATAGCATTTCCTTCAAGTACTTTGTGGTAACAAATGGCACAAAATCAACTTACGTTGACAAGCACCATCATCTTGCGGGAAAGACCCGTTGAAAACATTGCAAATGCAAGTGAAGCCATCTTGGTTTATATCTGGTAGACAGTAGTGTTGAGCATCAGGGCATCTATTACTAGAGAGACACGGATTCGCATCTGCAAAAAAAAAACCAACGAATGTTTAGGTGATAAAACCTCTAATTGTAGTCACATTATTGATCTTTGAAGACATTCATTGCAGGCAAGCTGAAAAAGTATAGCGAGAAGAACTGATTTGAACGAGTGACGTATACCAAATAGTTTTTGGAACCACCCAAAGCTGCCATCAGTTGCAAAATTACATACACAGATATGTTGGTTGTTGGTAATTAAAATTCTAAGCAGTAGGCAAACGACTGTGTTTTTAGCTTATAAAGAGGCCGCTTCTCTAGGAGTTCTCAGAAGAACAGAATCGTTACGTCACACCATTTGGCAACATTCATGAGTGAGGACCATCAGCAAGAAGAATTGTTTGGAAATATCAACATTCTTAAAAATACTTAATTATAAACAATATTTATGTTACCAGCACATGTTGCTCCTGAATGAGTAAGTGGGCAAACACACTCGCAAAACTCAGCATCAAATGTCCCTCCATTTAGACAGCTGAAGGCCGATAACTGGCAATCTAAACAATGGGCAGAACAAAAAAACAAAAAGTTTTGAAGTTTGCGAATCGGAGCACTTGGTCACTGGACACTCACGGGCCTCAATCAATTAAGAAAACCACAGAGCACGCTACTGTACAAAGTAACTGCCCCAGAGGATTATCTGAACAATAGCTGGCGCAATGTCTTCGCCATTGAAGGGGGCCTTCGTGATAGAAGTGACAGCGTGCCCGGATTGGTCTATAGGATACAATTAGATACAAGATGTCTCGACTACCATAGTATTGAAACTAAAAACAAGCGGTTCCTCTCAGACAACGAATAAAGGAAATAAGCTTCTTGTAACATAGGCTGAAAGATCGCAGCCGAAACCACAAACGAAAACCAAGTATGCATCCTGAATGTACCACTGCATGATATGAGACGAGTTCTATCGATTAAATACCTTCTGTTGTAGGTTCTGCCGAGGTGCGAGCGGTTGATATTTTACTTGTAATTCGCTCAGTCGTTGGATCTAAAAAAAAAAAGTGTTCACAATGTAAGATCGTTCATTTAACAAATTAAAGCAAGTAAAAATGATGAAACACTTAGAAAATTCAATTCTGTGAAATTACCTGCAACTGGTTTTGCAGTTGTCATTTTCGCAGTCGTGCGCGGTTGCTCTGTAAATAAGAAAAGGATTCTTGTCAATACCCGACATTGACTAAGACTGAAGAAATCTTCAAGTAACCTACAAATATCATAGTATTGAAACTGAAACAAATCTATCCCTCGCAGATCGTCAACAAATGGCTATTTACTGCTTGTGATATGTTCTGAAAGATCTCAGGCCACACTGCATTCGCCAACTGACAATACAATTTTGAATTCTGAATCTGCATCAATCTTTTTGATAGTGGATGAGATTTATCGACTCAATACCTTTAGTTGTAGGTTCTGCCGAAGTGCGAGCATTTGAAACTTTACTCGTAATTCGCTCAGTCGTTGGATCTGAAAAAAAAATCGTTCACAACACAAGTTAAACCCTTTACTTGACCAATTAATGCATCCTTTAAAATATAAAAAAAAATGAGACTTAGACAATTCAATTCTGTCAAGTTACCTGCAGCTGGTTTTACAGTGGTCATTTTTGCAGTCGTGCGCGTTTGCTCTGTAAAAAGAAAAGGATTTTTGTCAATGCCCAACATAAACTCAAGACGTAAGAAATCTTTAAGTAACCTACAAATATCATAGTATTGAAACTGAAACAAATCTATCCCTTGCAGATCGTCAACAAATGGCTATTTACTGCTTGTGATATGTTCTGAAAGATCTCAGGCCACACTGCATTCGCCAAATGACAATACAATTTTGAATTCTGAATCTGCATTGATCTTTTTGATAGTGGATGAGATTTATCGACTCAATACCTTTAGTTGTAGGTTCTGCCGAAGTGCGAGCATTTGAAACTTTACTCGTAATTCGCTCAGTCGTTGGATCTGAAAAAAAAATCATTCACCTCACAAGTTAAACCCTTTACTTGGCCAATTAATGCATCCTTTAAAACATAAAAAAAAATTGAGACTTAGACAATTCGATTCTGTCAAGTTACCTGCAACTGGCTTTGCAGTGGTCATTTTTGCAGTTGTGCGCATTTGCTCTGTGAATAGAAAAGAATCTTGTCAATACCCGACATTGACTCAAGAATCTTCAAATATCCTTGGATTGCAACTGAAAAAAATGTCCCTCGCAGATCATGAACAAAAGGTCATTCACTGCTCATTATATGTTCTGAAAGATCTCAGGCCAAACTGCATTCGCCAAATGACAATCCAAGTTTGAATTCTGAATCTACATCGATCTTTTTGAAAGTAGATGAGATCTATCGATTCAATACCTTTAGTTGAAGGTTCTGCCGAGGTGCGAGAATTTGAAACTGTACTTGTGATTCGCTCAGTCGTTGGATCTGAAAAAAGCGTTCATAAGTTAGACCCTTTACTCAACCATTCACAACATCCTATAAAATTTGAGACTAAGACAATTCAATTCTGTCAAGTTACCTGCAACTGGCTTTGCAGTGGTCATTTTCGCAGTCGTGCGCGGTTGCTCTGTGAAAAAAAAAAAAATTATCGACATTGACTCAAGACTTAAGAAATTTTATAGTAACCTAAAAATTATATCAAAGTATTGCAACTGAAAAAAATATCCCACGGAGATATTGATGAATCACTTCTTGTTATATTTTCTGAAAGATAAAAATAACAATCCAAGTTTAAATGCATTTAACATTGAGAAATACAAATAAGGAAACATACCTCCAACCGATTTTGAAGTGGTCATTGTCTCAGTTGTTCCTGATTGCTCTGTGAAAAGAAATGAATCAAGTCAATTCCTAAAAATTACCATAAAGTTATTTGAGTGTCTGTAAACGTTAATGGCCTACATGCAGAGAACGATGGAAAACTGGCTCTTCCTGTGATCTACATACCTTTAGTGGTTGACCTAGTGGTCGAACCAGCACTTGTCGGCACCCTACCGTCAGAACCTGATACTGATACGGTTGCAAAAAGGGAAATGTTCCATTTAGTTTTAAAATTGTTCTACAGAGCAAAACGTGAAGAAAATAGAAAATACTTATTATATAATATTATATTATATAATATTAATATTATATTATTTTAATTCAACAAGCATTCGATGGAAGAGTTTATACGACTGTGGTGTATGAACACAATATTCGAAATCACACGGTACAAGTGATATACCGAGGAGAAAATTTATCGTCGATTCGCAGCTCCCGCGATTTTCTACAAACCGTCCAAACATGTCGAAATGCGAGTCGGAAATCTGCCCAAAATTCCTAAAGATTTTATCGGAAAAATCTTTGTGTATCAAGGAGCTTACATTTTCCTTTTCAAAATGCACATTGTCCGAAATTATTTTTTTTGGAGACTTATCCAAAGGAGGTAGGTTTTTATTTGAAGCTATCCGGAACTAGGAAAAATCCGGAACTAGGAGAACGACTGTACATACTAACAAAAACCCGTTCAATTACCAGATGTCGTTTCTGGAAGGGATGCTCCTGGACTGGTAGTTGGTATTGGATTTGCGGTTGTTTCTAGAAAAGATTGAGATCAAGAGATTCAGGATTATGCAAAATGGTCTACTTTCCACTTTCCTTTATCACAGAGATGAAACTGGCCTTGGCCAAAAAAATCTGAAATTGGACCTTGGGTCTGAGCTGCCACAGCGTCGCGCAGTGCAGTGCAGCACATCAACGTGGGACCCTGTTAATTTGTCCATGTCATAGGTCAGTATGTAACCTTTTCTCCAGCCAGAAAAGGATCTGATCAGCATTGGTCTAGGTGTTTCTACCGTAGAATCACTCCATTCACGACTGGTAAAAGATATTAAAACTACTACACTTGTGAACATTTTTACATGCAGTTTTCATCGACTTTTCATGGACTTTTTTTTGGGAAATTAGAATGAAAAACAAAAATTGTGGAAAAATCATAAAATAATAATTTTTGTGGGATCGTTAAAAAATCTGAAATTTCATTGGAAAGGTTTTAAAAATCTGATTTCAGATTAAAATCTGAAAAGTTTCATCTCTGTTATCATTAATAGAGTTTTGCATAATTTCTTAGGCTGTAAACAATCCGTGGAACAAAAATTTTTTTTCTGTGACTGCTTCTATTTGTATACAAGACCCTTGTCAATATAACCAAAAAGTATTCAACTCTTTCTTGCTCTTAATGGCACATTATAAATGCTTCCTTTCGCACATTATATCAAATCGAACCTGTAGAAGTCGATTTCGAAGTCACTATTGAAGTCAAACCTGCAGTTGTCGTTTTGGAAGTCGCTGCTGGAGTCGCAGCAGATCGCTGAGGGGTCGTTGATGGAATGCCTGTTTAACGGTAAAAAAGAAAGATGATTTTAAAATTAACACTGGCAACATCACAAATGTATTACATGCATTATGTGGATCTATTAAAATAAAATGCATTAGAAAAGGCAAACCTGCAGGAGAGGTGGCCGACCGATATGTCGTTGAAGCTGCAGTCGACATCGGAGCAGTCGGTGATGGCGCTTCTATTGTAAAGTAACACAAAGGATATCGAGGAGCAAATTCAGCAACATTGATTTATCGTCACTGCGGGAGTCATACGACCAGCATCGTACACGCTCAATAATTATTAAACATGTTAATTGGAGAAAGAGGTAAAAAGAAAAGAAGGTCTGCAAGAAGCCAGGGGATGCGGGCAGGACAGACATCAATGGAAGCAGAGCGTGGTGGCCTTATGTGCACTCCCTAACCTAGCTTACAGGGTACGAAGAGGATAGACAGGTAAGGTAATCACCATGAACCACATGAAAGGAATACCACTCTTCTAACTCGATAAACTTAAAAAAATTAATTAATTGGTTTCCAAGACAACAGTTATGACTAGGTCGAAACATAATCGGGAAACACTTATATAACATGTGCCTCCTGTTACTGTTATATGGGATCCGTCAATCGCAGACTAAACAGGCCACAGCAGGGTTTTTTTCTTTCAGGGAATGCAATCGATAATAAAACCGTCTATCTAACGCCTCAAACCTGCGGTAGTGCTCTTCGGGGGATAAGTTGTTGTTGAAGCTGCAGTTGAGACAGCAGCCATAGTTGCAGGTATTTCTGTGAAAAAAAATAACATAACAAAAACAATGAGGGCAATATTAGTGACATCTCCTTTGGGTAATAGAGTACATGTATCTCCGATTGCCCTTGATGTCGAAGAGTTTGTTACTTATTTTTACTAACACGTTTTTCAATTTGCCCGGTAGGTTTATAGTACACGTTACCAGTGGCGTCATTCCGATAGACGAACAACACATCATACAAACTTATTTGCTTTGTGAATGCTTTTTCTCCACATTACACAGTAAATTCAACATTTTGAAGCAATATCAAGAGTTATACACGCAGTGCAGAAGAGTGCAGGCATCATGCGACCACATCCGATTTTGGTAAACATATGAATGACATGGTTGTTCAAAAGGCACCTGCTAAGATAGAAAGTATTTCGACCAAAAAAACCCCGCATTTTCCGGCATGTACTTTAACACCTACCGATGCACCGTCTGCCATCCTCGTGCAGTAAATATCCAGGATTGCAACTGCACGTGAAGTTCAAGAGGATGTTGTCACAGTTTTGATCACAGCCTGGTCCGCCACTGCTAGCTGTTTGGTTTCTGTACAACTCACACTCGTTGATATCTACAGATACATATCAAGACAGTGGACAAAAACAAATACTGTCTCATTCATTGGTGATGACATACAGAATTAAGGAAACAATTTTTTTTCATGTTTACGAAATGCATTCATTGAGTGTTGTTTCTAATCATTGGGGCCTTCAGATTCATACCATCACCTCCAGGTCTCAGAGGATCGGTCTTGTCATATTGGCAAAGAGCTTGCCTTTGATATCTACCCCTTGTTCGATAATATTAGTGAAGCCCGATACCTCATTCAGAGAATGCCCAGAAATGGGTCTATGTCCGAATGTCCAAAAAAAAAAAAGCATGGGGCTTTCAAAATCCCAGACCATCCACCATTCTATATGAACAAACAAGGGAGTTGAGCCGAGTGTCTTGGGTCGTTGCTAGATACAGACTTGAACATTTAAGCGGGGAATGCTAAAGCTTGAAAGCTTCCATGGGGAACATATGGAAAGTCATTAAGAGTGATCTCCACCCTGTTTATCTTTGCCAATGTGACCACTGAGCTAACCATGCGAAAACACAAAGACCTTACAAAGTAGTTGGCGTGTTGTTACCAAAACCTGGCTTTAAATGCCAGCAGCAGCAGCAGTAATAGTACTAGTAGATGATGGCGACGAGGCCAACGAAGACAAATAACAGACAGATAGATCATTTACCATTTACTCCCATTTTGATATTAATGTCAAGACTTATACCTTGGCAGCTCCTGCCGTCTCCCTCGAGTCCTTCAGGGCAAAGTCCGCAGGTGCTGTTGTACGATGGCGGGGCCTCATCAGTGCAAGCCACACCCGTGAAACAAGGGTTGTCGGCGCAGGCGTCATAATCCATATCGCAAGACTCACCAGTGAAGCCCATCTGACACTCACACAACACCACCTGATGAAGATTATTCATAGTCCCTTCATTTGTATGCCGACCTAATTGCTTAGTTATAAGTATTGCGCCAATATATGGGTCAAAATAAGCTCATTGGTTTGCCATACATATCTTGAGGCCAAATTGTCATACTTTAGTATCGGTGTTTAATATAATTATGCAGCAGATTTCTAAGTGGCGCTTTATAGCATATGCAAGGCGTTTGGGCCTGTATTTGCATGTTGAAACCAGATTGTAAAATGCCCTAACTGTCAGAAACTTAAAGGGGCTTAAACAGCTTATACACATAGGTAGCAGTTTTGTCCTGTTAAAAGACCAACGATTACCACAAGCTTTATAATCATCCACACTCATAATACAAGGATTAATCTTTTTTTTTTTTTTACGAAACGACATGTTATTGATGGACAGCAGTTGCAAACAGCTTGCCACTGAGAGTCAGAAGTCGCAAACGGCTTGCCATTGGGGGCTACCAGTTGTAAACAGCTTGCCATTGGGCTACCAGTTGTAAACAGCTTGCCATTGAGGACTGCTAGTTGCTAAAAGCTTGCCATAGAAGGTTACCAAATGCACACATCTTGACACTGATGGCTACTAATTGCTTGCCATACAGCAGCTTGCTGTTGAGGGCCAGCATTTAGAAACAGTTTACCTTGGAGGGCCAGCAGTTGTGAAAAGGTTGCCATTAAGGGCCACTAGTTGCAAAAAGCTTGGCACTGAGGCTATACCATTTTAGTTACACACATCTTGCCATTGAGGGCCATGCAGCAATTGCTTGACATTGAGGGCTACCAGTTACACACGTACACACATCTTGGTACTGAGGGCCAGCAATCGCATGACACTGAGGGAATTAGCATTGGCAAACAGCTTGAAATTGAGGGCCAGCAGTTGCGAACAGCTTGCCGGAGGGCTACCAGTTGCAAAAAGCTTGCCATTGAGGGCTACCAGTTGCACACACCTTGACATTGGGGCTAACAGCTGCACACATCTTGCCACTGAGGGCCAGCAATTGCTTGTCATAGGGGGCTAGCAGTTGCAAACAGCTTGCCATTGAGGGTTACTGTTAAAAGCAGCTTGCCATTAGACCTATAACAGTTGCACACATCTTGCCACTGAGAGCCAGCAATTGTTTGCCATTATATTGAGGGCTAGCAGTTGCAAACAGCTTGCCATTGAGGGCTACCAACTGCAACAGCCCGCCACTAATGGTTAGCAGGCCTGGACCTTTAGCTCATTTCAGTTCATACTGTCGAATGCTCTTCAACAAGAAACATCAGGTTTACTGCATCAGCACATTCATGAAATTACGGACAACTGGTTGAAGAATGTTTTGTAATGAGAACTTACCCCGAAGCGATCCTCCACAAGGTTGGTTCCACTAACGAACTGATCAAACAGACATGTGCCATCATTCTCACAATCACAAAGCTTCACAATGGGTTCAAGCGTTGCATTGGCTCTACCGTCTGTGGCTAGGAAACCAATCGAGACCTTGGACCTGTTTGTAGGAGTCCATGTGAAAAGACCGCCTGGGAAAAGGGGCAAAGATAAAAATTAAAATATATCACAGATGTTAAAGGGGACAGAAGTTTGAGCTCCCTTGTAAAGAAGAGATCAAGCATTTGCGTTCAAATAATAAGACAAAGGTGTAGATTTGAATCAAAGATAGGAATGATATGGGAAAAACCTGTAGCTTTTTCGGAATTTGTTTATCTCCATTTCTTTATTCACATTGTTTCAATCACGACTTCGTTTATTATGGTCACGCTGAAGGACATCAGGGTCTGAATCTGTTTTCGTTCAGCACAAATATCTCGAGAATGATCCTAGCAGAGGTTAAAGGTAATCTTAGTTGATCATGCATGTAACATATGACTTATTACAATGATCTGTGGTATCCATGTTACAAAACCGTATAATTAAGTAGGCTTTGGTATGAAAAAGTGGTAGACGTTGGCAAACGTCCCAAATGAAGGTTCAACCATTGCCAGTAAAAAGCATTGCAATATCAGACGGAGTATATAGTTGTCAAAATCCACCCATGCACACATAATTATTGAGACACAACTGGATGGTATTGGATCTTACTTACCATCTGATGAAATTGATGCCCCTTCTACCGTCTGAAGCAGGTGGTATGTGATATTATCTCCATCTGGATCAGCTGCTTCTAACTGCAAGGTAAAGGTCTGCCCTACAACAACCGCGATGGTCTCCACAAGCGTCAGATTCGGCGGGAAGTTGGCTGTAAGTATATTTCATGCATAAAAGGCTTCAAGTTATAACAAGAGGGGACGCTTTTACATGTAACTTCAACTTCTTTGCTTGGTTGCACTTGAAAATTTGACAACAATGCATAATAACATTCATGAATTTTGTATTTTCACTTTGTTTACTACTTTAAAATACAAGCTGGTCGCTCGATTTTTCGGATTTTAATTTTGTTACTGAGTCGCTTTGCCCGACACAGAAGTAGATAGAATGATCTATCAGAGTAAGCTAAGTACCGCCTACACCTCCGAATAATGATTGCACCAAATGAAGATGGACAAGCCAAAGTTCAGAAGAGAATGTGAAAATAACCCAAATATTTGCTGTTAAATGTTACCTTGTAAACAATATGACTCTGTATGCAAAAGAAATTATCTCCTGAAAGCTGACGTTTGACTTACTTGACAACGCCATGTTAATGGTGTTCATCTCATTGAGTACTAATGTAGCCATACCGATGCTTGTATCATTCAGGGCCAAGGAATCGTACAGACACGCTTTGCTGGACCCGCAGACTGCTTTGGCCTCGTCGATTTTGTCCTGCGGTAATCTGTCAAGCAAATCTTGCAGAAAGTCTGGATTGAAGTTAGGGTCGTTCAAGGAGTCGTAGCTTTCATTAGGAAGCAGGTAGTAGAACAGGGAGTCGGCATCAGTAATGCGCCCTGAAACAGATCACATTATTTACTTGAATTTACTTTGAGTTTCTTTCTAAGATTTATCACAGCTGCGATTAAAGTTTGTTTCCTCAAATGTTCTTTGAAATATAATACTATTTTCTGATTTCGCCGTATAGCATTGACTGCTGAAATTATTATTAAAATAATATTGCAGTTATAACGACCAACAAAGGTGAAAACGTAGGTGGTGGTGAAGAGTTGTTTTTTTCTCTATGACAGTAAACACTTGATGAAAGGGTTTATAACTGGCTTAATTTTATATACAGTTATCTTATTGATAGAAAATGAAACAAGGAATCAGCCAATAAAGAGTGAAAATTATTCAAATGTAGGATTTAAATACTTTGCAAAAGAATCACTCTAGTGAGAATTATTTAAGACAGTTTAAAGCCGATTTTTGTCTTTTCGATTAAAGGCTTATTTCACTCTGAAGCTCCTGCATGTCCCCAATGTCAGTCGGTGGGGTTAATTTTTACTCCATGGAATTTTCGCTCTTTTGCAAAAAAAGAAAACAAGTGCGAATATTGTCTTACACGTTTCGCCAAATTCAAAGAAATCAATCTCCAGCAACTCTCCATTGTCACCAGAGGCTGATTGCAATGTGCCATCACGCCTCAAAGTGTCATTGCTTGGGTCATCATCCCACACACCTAAAGGATGACACATCGGTAAAAATTATTAGCAATAATTCAGCTACTTCCAAATTGAAATCTTGTTACAGCTCAACATTCATTTGAAAATGCCTACAGTGCCTCGTCTTCTGTCATTGACAACTAAATCATACAATAACATTTTCCTGTAAATTACCATTAAAGAGACACGTTTTTCTAAAAAAACCAAAAACAAACGTTATGCACCTTTTAGGAAGACAAGGCAGATTAGGAAGACATTTGAATGTCTGTCTAATGTTCCAAGTTCTGTTTCTAGGCACAATTTACTGTTGCACATAGTCTCAATCGTTTCCGGCTGATGTATAACCCAAATTTAGTAAGTTTGTTGAAGGCAGGGTTTGGGTCACTAAAGTTAGGAATTTGTAAGCACATATCTATGGGAGTGCTTCTATTTGTGCTTGCTTCTGCGTGTATGCTGTACACAACACCCTGTTGACTATCTTGGTACAGTGGGATAGTCCAACAGGGCATCTCTCCCAAAGATACCAGTTCCGTATCATAACATGGAAACATTAGACCAGCGAATTTATCCCCCAGTGTTGGAATTAACAGAGACAGACCATAGAGCAAGGCACGTACATTTTGTAAAAAAAGCTAGAAAAGGTAACATCTGGTGAAGAACAGATACCCACCTAGAAGTCCCTTAGTTCTGCCTCTGAAGTCCTGGTTGAAGAGGATGGTTATGTCGGCCATGCTGTTGTTAACCCTAACAGTAAAGGTGACATATTCCGCGTATATGACGCTCACTTCGATGGGATTATCCGACCTCGTTAGACGAAGACTGTTGAACAGCAATCCTTACGGAGAGAAAAAAAAGGAAATCATATTGGTTCAGGAAACAGAGCCAAAAAGTACCATATTGCCGCACACTATCTGTACAACCTGTATACGGCAATAAGAAGAAGGTCTTACCTTCAGCTGTAGGTGTGACAATATCACCATTGACAGTCGTCACTAAATCCATGGCATCATTACTTAATTTGATCTCAACCTGTATTGAATAACAAAAAAAAAAAATCAAATTAGACCCAGGTGTCAAAATATTTTGATGAACTAATACCATATTTTCGTAGTCACAGAACAAATCATATCTTGACCAACTTAAAATCAAGGATCAGCCTTATTAGGGCATGCCCATATCAAAATGTGATAAAAGTGAATTGTTGTAATGTGATGGAATTTTTTGTTGGGAGGAAATAAAATTTGAACATAGGGTGTTGCCCTTCTTCGATGTATCTTTATAAGCACATGTATATTCAGTGTTGTGCGAATTTTGAAAGGAAAACTGGACAGAAACACGTGACTATGCTATTTTTGCAAAATATCGGACAGCACTGATTACCCCCCAGAGAGTACGATTCCTCGGTGACGTCAAAACCTAATTTAGAGGCCGATTTCAAACATTCGCCATTCTATTTCACTTTTACTTTAATGCCAACGGCACCAGATACAATTAGAGGTTTCTTTTTCATTAACCGTCAATCAAATTAGCTTTTCCTGATATCAATTTGGAAAAGGTATGCTTGCGTAAATGAATGCACAGGTAGGCCTAACGTAATTGGCCGTCTGTTTCTCAAAACCGAATGCACGGACAATGAAAACGATTGAACTTTCGTTGAATTGAAGTGGGATTAAAGACGTGCATTCAAATTCAGACGAAAATGAAAGACCGATTTTCAAAAGTGAATGAACATTTCAGGAAATTGGCCGGGGAAATACTATATTTAAATATTGATATTGTGGAATATTTATTGTAAAAAATAACCGAAATTGGTCTGCAGAAGCATTGCAAGACTGCTTTTCTTTAAATTTATACAGACCCTTCCTTGTCCTGTGTACTCTGCAGCGAAACCAGAGTAGACAGTGGCCTGGCTAAGTTGTCCTGTCTCTGTATCCACGGCCTGTCGTGTACGACCTTGCAGCTCAAAGACTCGTTGTCCATCACCATCTTCGATGAGTACCAGTGTATATTCTCCCAGACCATTGAAGGAGTACTCCAATCCATCGATGGTAACGATATGGGGGTCTCCCCAGCCCCACACTATTTGTAATGAGTAAACAATTTCAAAATAAATTAAAATAGCAGATGTAGACTAGCTGCATTTTGAAGAATTTGTTTTAGATTAGGCCTAATGTTTTTTTTTTCTCTCCTGAAGACGGTCAGAGCATACTGACCGGAACGTCGAGTTTATACCTCTGGTTCTTTTCAGAACCATTCTCTTAGTTGAGAAATTATTCGCACATGGTGTTTCCGCAAACCTTTCATTATTTAGTATCTCCACCATGCAAAGCCTCAAATATTACTTGGTTTTTTTTCGTTTAATTTCGGATTCTTAGAAATCCCTCATAACAGTTTAACGACAAGAAGTAGGAAGAAGAAAGTACAGTAAAAACTTTTTTTATTTTTTTCTACCGAAAGATCATGTTTGTTTTTTTCAACATTCTGCAAAAAGTAAAAAACTATCACAATTCAAAATAATGACCAGATAAGTTGACCAAACTAGGACCCAAAAAGTGGCGTAAGTAGGGTCCAATTTGCAGGGGAGAACGTCAGGGTATAATTTTCTGTAGGGGGGTTTACAGAAGACATCTTACAAATAGCTATACACAAGGTTTACAAAGGTCATTTACCTCTCAAGATGTCACCAGAGGACAGGTGAATTGTACCCACATCTTATCAAAATTTTCATTGTGGACTTGGGTCATAAGAAATTGAAGTTTTGAAGAATAATTGCTAAACAAAGAATATGAAAAGGTCATTGACGTCTCAAAGTTCACAGAGGTCAAATATGACATTCCTCTATATCTGACAAAAAATATATGACATGAAGAACCATCATGCAATATTCATGCTATTATCACAAAGTGCACAATTCTTGGAAATATTGGGACTATGCCGCTCCAGTATAAGAACAGCGTGTAAACAACAACCTTCGATGTTCCCTTTTTAAAACTTTGCTTTGATTTGAAATGCCAACATTACCCCAGGCAAGAGGACGGTACGACCAACAAAACATGGGAGGGCGCCACTCTCTGTACAGATGGCAAAGATCTGATCGCCCACAGCAATAATAGCGAGCCCACACCTCCTCGTCTGAAAAATAAAATGAAATGAATAATTATTTCTTATGGATTTATGAACATCCAAGTTTCTTTTCTATACCTAGTCATACCAGGGCCAGATTAAGTGTTTCGTAGGCCCTTGGCACCAGTGTTCCCAATGCCCTACATTGCCCTATGTACCAGTGCTAATTGCATGTTGATGCTAGGGTATATTAATACTCCAGTAAGTATTGACAAGCCCCTTGACATTTTAGTTAACAGGCAACTTTTGGTGGAAATGTGTTTATTGGGGCCCACAAATCGACTCAAAATGTATAAAGAAAACCGAAGTGACATACACCCAATATGCAGTGCTAAAGCCGCAATTGTTCTTCAATGGGAAGGATTTGTTTGGTCATTGCTAAAATGAAGTGAAGTTTTTTTTATGTAAAGTTTGTAGGGACTATGCCCGACATTGCCCTTTGTACCAGTACTAATTGCATGTTGATGCTAATTGCTATATTAATACTCCAGTAAGAATTGACAAGGCCCCTGATATCTTAGTGAACAGGCAACTTTTGGTGGCAATGTGTATATTGGAACTCACAAATCGACAAAAAATGTATAAAGAAAACCTCCATTGTTCTTCAATGGGAAAGATGTGTTTGGTCATTGTTAAAATGAAGTGAAGTTTTTAATCTAAGGTTTGTAGGATGTTAAAAATCAAACTGTGTCTGGTATTTTCTATCTCCTAGATGCTAAACTCGATTTTAAATTTTTATTTCTACAGTAATCTCTCTGAACCGAGTTAGTAGGATACCCCTACTCCCATTTTTAGTAACATTTCCATGGCAGACAAAACTGGTAATACACCTCTGTGAAAATACGTGACAAAATTCAGAGTAGCATTTCAAACAGAAATACAAAAACTTAAAAAGTTTCTTAAATACTTAAAATCTGGAAAGGGAGATGTTGACAGCAACTTAATCTGTCTGGCTATTATAAAATCAAATTGATATTGATTCGATTAAACTAAATGCATAACTGAGTATGTGGTCATGCAGTTACTACTAATAATTTGCTACGTGCGTTTCAAATGTGTTTTTTTTCCAGGAAGCTGCCATCCTCTCTTCCCGTTTTGGAATCTGATCAACTCAGGTTCACCCTGCATTGGCTAAGCATATGTTCCATTGTTCCAACATGGGCATCTGTAATTGGGTCACAGTAAATTTCGATTTTTTAAGAACTTAAACATTATAGTTCCCCAATGACAAAATCAGTTGAAATTTGTGTGTGTTCATTGCAACCATAAATGATTTTTTTAAAGTGAAAATTTGGTGTTAACTAAAATGTTAAGGTCGGGTACTTCTTACTGGACTATAAGCAAGCCATTCCACACTGATATTTTTGTGGGCCCTCAAGTTGTTCGTAGGCCCCCGAATTTTCCGCAGGCCCTAGGCACAGTGCCTACTGTGCATATTGGATAAACCGGGCCTGTCACAAACCCAGACAGAAATGTACAGTGCGCATGATTTTGCATACCTAGCCACTGTTGGTACAAGTCCTCTGTGTAAAACGCTGGGCTGAGTGGGTAGCGCTCGAAGACTGAAGCGATTCTTGGGCTCCTTACATCGTACAGGAGATCGCAGGTAAAGGTATTGTAGCAACACCGAGGACCTGGAGTTCCAGGCACTTGGAACAGACGCACGAAACAAACAACAGCTGAAATGAGTCAAAGAATAATGAATATCTTTGTCAGTGTCAATGAATTTCTTTGTGGGTAAAAGTGTAGTCGATGACCCTGTTCCGCATAAGGGAACAACAAGACTCGCACGTCTCTAACTGCTAAAACAAAGTCGCCTTTTTTAATCAATAGTTGATCTAAATGAAAAAGTCTGCACGGTTGAGGCTGCAACAGTAATTTCGGAATGGAGTCTTTTGCAAAAATCATTTTTAAAAAGAATTAGTAAAATATAAATGAGGCGTCCTCAATTACACTTTTAGAAGTATGTTCGATAAAGGGTTGAACCATTTGTTGGCCCCAGTGGATATTTGGCCTGCCCGGCTTTTGTTTAGCAGGTGTAAATGTATTTGTTACGGAGGTTTTCTCTGATTGATTCATATAGAATTAAGTCATATTGAAAGTAACGTTATTTGAGGTCGTCCTTTATTCCGCCAGTAAACTACCGTTCACTAAAAGAAAGCCGGCTGAGCCGATATGACGTAGGTTCTCATTATATATCAGCCAATCAGAAACAGCCTCGGTAAAAATAACTTTAATTAACGGCGGCAGCCAACTATCCCATGCATTCATTTTTCTGCAGATCATGGGTCAGAATCGATCATTACATGAGCACATTCATAATTATGCTTTCCTTTTCAATGTCTTTCCTATCGTCAAAATCGTTTTGCTTATATTGCCTGTACCTGACTCATAGGTACAGAATAGAATATGCAATTTCAATTCCGATATAAAAATACAGCCACTCCAACAAAATACATGTACAGTGAATGGGAGGTTTGCGGTAACACCATGTGAAAGATATCTCTCAGTAAGTTGTGTGGTTCTGAGAAGAACCAGTTGGTTTAACTCGACGTTTCAAACAGTATGCTCTGCTGGTCATACAAGTAGGTATATTACATTGAAGGCAATGAGGCAATTTTGTCCATGACAATTGGAAAGAGGAGCTACTTACGGAATCCCGAGTCAAATTGTAGTTCCCAAGGCACATTGTAGGCTGGAACCTCTATGAATCGCCTGTCAAACGAGGCACTCTGCAGACTGCAAGGGCAAATGTCCTGGAAACTAGGAAAGTAGTCATCAAATAAAGGGTAAGGTGACTGGCGATGGTACCAATCGTGGCACTCAAGACGTGGATTGACGAAGCCCGGGCTTGGTGTGTTGAGGCGGAACATCCAACGTCCTGTCTGACCCGTATTGCCTTCGATGTTACCGGGGCGGTACAGCGATTCACTTGGTATGTCCACGTAGACAGACTGAGCGAAAGTCCCTCTGCAGGTAAAGCCCTGGATGACATTCCTGTTTAGTAGGAAACTGAAGTCCCAGTTGGTGCCGCAGGGATCGTAATTGAATATCACAAAGCCATGGATTCCATCCGTTGCCAGCACAGCTTGGAATGTGTTTGTCCCCTGAAATTTACACACAAGTTAATAGTAAAGGTGGTTCAAACAATGCGGTTTATTGTATCGTACCAAATCTCATAGAAATGATTTGTCATTGTGAATTTATGATTTGATATTGGATACCAGACCAAAACTGCCCCTCCCACCGCGGTTGTATGCGTGGCCAAAAGAAACCCGGTTTTAGTGTTAACCAATACGAAATTCCAACACTATCAACCATACCTTTTCTTTCTAAATATTGTCAATGCACTTATATTTCCACAAAATGAATGGTCTGTCTTGAACCGTACAAATCATCAAAATTTGAAGTCTTGTTATTTCTTACATCCGATAACGTAGACGCTAATTTAACGTTACTCCAGGTGACTACGAGTGCCCAGTTTGCTGAAAATGTGCCAAATTTGGTCGACACAGCAGCGCTGATGCTGTCCAACTTGTCCTGGTTGACATTTTCGTCGTACTGATCATACACCTGTCAAAATGAAAAAGACCACAAAAGTAGGGTTATCAATCAATAAAAAATGAAAAGTTGATTCTGTTTGAAACTCTTGAAAATAATCCCTCTTCCGTTTAGAGGGAAAAGATGCTCTAATTACCAGTTTAAAATTTTAGACAACAAATACACATATATTGTTTAATTTACTACAACCTTGTTATGGACCGGCCGTGTACTATGGATTTTTTAAAAATTATTTATCCATGTTGTTTTTATTGCAAAATTTATAAAATCCATGTTACACTACAAAAACACATGTACCCCTATATAAACCTTTTATGTGATGAGTATAGTTGTAGCTACGAAAGCGTATGCACACTTTCATTCTAGCTAGTCGTTTTAAGTGCTACCTTATTTTTCCATTTAATACTACAAAAACAGAAGTATTACATTTAACAAGGTGGTATCTTTATTGGACTACCAGTGCACAGCATTTCCACCAGTCCTATATAGTTCCAGTGCTCCAATAGTGTTAGATTCGACCCACAATATTTGCAGTGTAGTGACAAGTGTTCAAATTTTACCTGCTTAGCTGGGCGCATAGCATACACCTACATGGACACACAAATTGCTGTGCGCGAAGATATATCATAAATAATTTCCTTTAACGGCACTTTAAGCATTCGTGTTTTGCAAACTTTTGAAGACAGTTTAGAACGTTTCTTTTCGTTTTTCAAGTCAGACTGAAGTATAATGGCAAAAAAATCAAGCCAAAAACACTATTAATAAAGGAAAGCAGACCGTAAACAGGACACGTTGATAAAAAATTACCTGCCAGAAAACGTTACTGGTCGGGGTAAAGGCATCGCCTTTAACATCGGCCCAAAATGGCGTTATCATTGCCTCATCGCCAGTGAAGAAAGGAAGTGTAGCACTCGAGAATGCACGTTTGTCCAGACGTCGATCGTTTGAGAGAACAATCACGCCATTGTCAGTGAACTGCAAATGCACAAGATTAGAGTCAGTAATGTTGATTCAGTGGTCCTTGCCAAAAAATTGCCTACGCCAGCCAAATCGCAAATGTTCTTGTAATAGAGAGTTTTGTGGCCCTGCATTTGACAGTTTGTGTCAATGAAGGATCACACTTCTGCATCGGTCCTTGAATTTATTTCAGAGAAATTAGGGATGAAAGGGATCTGAATGTCGCTCTGTTTTGCAATGGAATGGAGGATCATTTTCGACATTGCGACGGACTTCTAGACTACTTTGAGGGTTGAACTTTGAAGGAGAAACTCTCCAAAATGTCCGGTTAACTTTCAACAAGTCGCACTGCAGAAAGTGAAAGAGGGTGAATTAAAGCTTTAATTTGATGGATATCTTAAACACTTGTAAGAGTTGTGAGTATTTTCCCCCGACTTTTTAAAGTGTCATTTATCATTGGTGTCTCTGTGATGTTGTTTACTTCTCTGTACCTCTATACATGTTTTGCCGTGGGTCATGCTCAGAAAGACTGGCACTACATCATGTTTCTCACAGTTCATGATTTGCTAGGTGTGAGTGATGCGTCTGGTACCCAGAAGAACATGTTAACAACATGGTAATAAGATGGGCAAATTACAATGCTGTATGTTTATCATGTTTTACACTATTCTGTGCAATATGGTATCAATCAAAAGAAACAACCAACAAGATCACCATAAACCAATATATAAATATATGGAAATATTAGCTATGGTTATACTTACATACAGTTTCTCATAAAGTTCTTGGCAGAAGGGGAAGAAATTTGGTGGGGAGATGGTGGGTGATATCAAGTCTTTACTTGACAATTGTGGCTGCAAGACAAACGTGAGGAAAAAGATTCAAAATGGTCAGAATGGAGAAAACAATATATCAACTTCAAATGACAAAAAGTCCGCTGATTATTAAAAAAAAACCAAGAAATGTTGTTATTAACAAAGAAATTGACTGGACTGGGCCGAGGTTTCGGCCTGTGACCTCTGGATCACCCGTGCTCTACCAACTGAGGTATCAAGCTCTATGCTGGCGGTTCCCCATTTTGTCAGTGTCTTTGTACAAGGGGCGCTGGTCAGAAGCCATAAACCCGTACATGCCTGCAGCCAGAGAGCATGCCCAGAGTCATGATGCTAGCAACATTAGCAATGCTGCAAACCTTGAAAATAGATAATGTTGATCATTCAAGTCCCGCTCTAGTGAACTCCGATTTTCAACTTTAAATTATAATGCAAGTGGTTTCCCTTTGTGGTTTTTTTGAAGATTTGTATTACCTCTGATGACTGATGACTTGTTTTTATTGACTTATATCAACTTGTCTTTTTCATTATTATGTGATCAGATGGGACTTTTAGCAAGCCATTTGCCTACTCATTAGCTTATTATCTTCTAAAACTGAAATTATTCAGGCCAAGTTATCATTTTTTCCGAGATAAAATGTTTGCACTAAACCAAAACTCTCATAATGGAACCTAGCGAGAAACCACTCGAAAAGAATCGTCCATGCTCTTTAATAGAGTGGAAGTTTCTCTCTTTGAGAGTAAAGTTTTTATCTTCTAGACTGGTTATTCACCATTATGCATTGTGAAAAACTAATCTAAAAACGTAAAACTCCCACTCTTATAATGAGCCATATGGCGGACGACTCGTTTTGAGTAGTTTTTTACTCTTTCGCATTTAGCGAGAATTGGTAAAACATAGTAAATTTGACCTACCTGCTGGGGTACATTTGACAGGAGGAAATCACCAACCTCGGCACCAAACGTGAACAGATGATTCTCTATAAAAAAAAAAAACCAACAGAAAAGTGGTTCAACATCCTCAACTAAGTAAAGTTTGAATGGATTTACATTCAGGCATACTGATATCAGAATACGTAAATACGTAACCAATACCAAACATTGTTCTTCAATGCAATACAATGTATGCATTTGACTTACTCAAAACAGCTCTTTTGCATAAACAACCAACTATACAGCCTAGATCCTATTGAATGCTTTTTCAATGCTTGTATATTTGGGATCCTTAAGGCAATATGTGATTTGTTCCCTGAAAACAGGCTCTTGTCGGCAAAAACTATTTTACAAATCTGGATGACGGTAAAGAGGGCTAGTTCCAGTTGTAAATGGGTAGCCTTCAGGAAAGGTTTTACGCACAGGGGAAAAACATCGCCCATTGACTTGAACCGCTGACACGTAATCCACGCACTATTTTCAATCATGAGAGGTTCTCAGCTCGAAATATGTGTTTACGTGAACAATGAATACCCTACAGAATTAATGTCAATATTAACATCTTTCGGAAAATGATAAGCAAATCTGGTAGGGCCTAATTCTGCAGCAGAGACATTTGCGTACGTTTTCATCGACCCGTACCGTTTTTTTTTGTCGTCGTTGTAAAAAATATAACAGTAAAAACCAGTCATAAAAAGTGTTTACATGTTTGTACCTAAGCTTCTGTGTGGTACAAAAAGGGTCGTACTTTGCGCAAAATTTAACCAGGACAGCAAGAACTGATCCTTACTGTATAGAGTGAAGGTGAAGTTCTTCGAGGTCACACAGCCAACGTCATTGGTAACGATACAGGTGATGGTATAGTTCCCCACTCCAAATACACCTCCTGTAAGATCGACACCGATGCCATCACCAGAATCTGTGCAATCGATGGTGACTTCCCCAGCGTCCATGGCATAAACCTCACTCCATGTCACTGTAGCTGTGTCCATGCCTGGGTCCGTACACTGAGCACCCACTTCCGGTACTGCGAGTCTTGGATATGCTGTATAGGCAAATTTAGTTAATGTTTCGTGAAAATACCTAGTAAAATCTGTTAAAGACTACTCAAGGAGCGCACTTTTAATTACAGGTCGCCAACCACTGCCATTTTTTTTTAAATTAATGGACAAAAGGTATCTGTTCAGATTTTGCTTGAAATGAAATAAATTCTGATCAGCAGGATTCTTGCGAGACGTTCAAGAGCAAAACACATTGAGGGATGACAAGCTGTAATACAATCAACATTATGCCAATTCCGTGCTTCTAAATTATATTGCTATAAAATACTAACTTTTAGCAACATGATGAGCGGCTTAAACAAATGAAATCAAACGGTTCAGAATTCGAGTGCCACTATCTGCCAACATTCATTAAGAGTACATGGGATCACTTGCTTGTCGTGAATGTTTGTGTTGGAAGCCGCTTGCTTAAAGGGAAGATACAACATTTGCAAACATCACAAAACGAAATGATCAAATAATCACGAAATACCTCACTAGATCATTAGGGAATGACAGTCTAAAGCATCCTGTAAAATTGTGGCTCCTGGTGTGCTGACATTTTCAAGAAAAATTGTATTTTTTCAATGCTGGTCGGCCGACCAGCGTTGGAGAAAACTGGCTGTTTTCAAAAACTGATTCTAACTTGTCATAATTAGTTATTCCGCGTTACCTTTACAATTGATTACACACCTGTGAAGGGGTACAAGCCTGCTAGACTAATTCTCTGACCTTACAATTTCCCAAAGTCTTGATTGCTTGGTTTCATCTTAAGTGGGGTCAGGGAACCAGACTACAAGAACATGATTGGTTTTCATGGTTTTTCCAGCATCTACAAGCCCAAACGTGAAACAGGTCATTTCAACAATATTTGCTATAACATACTAATCCTCCAAATCCATTTATTTCTGAAAATTGCAGCATAAACAAATGTTGTACATTCCCTTTAAAGTCTTTTTATAGAGTGCATATTGCAGCTTTATGGATACTGTATATATCAAGAAAATGGAAACAACCTATTTTCTCGTAAGTTTTTATTACAAGCACTCGGGACCGAATTCTTATTAATTCAATTAATGTATTTGAAGTCGAGAACCAAGTGGATGTGTATAATCCTCGCTGTATTCAATGATTAAAAACATACATTTTCAATATCACCTTTGAAGATTATTAACTTCCGAAGGATAGTTAAGAAGCCCTTTTTTCTGTCTTTAAGCCACCAACGGTACCAGTATATATAGGCACAGTCTGGTTTGCGGTTGCGCTGAACTGGTTTCCTTTGTCTGGCCAATAGCACACGCCCAGAAACAGGTGCTATCAGCCAGAAGTTTCTTTTATTTCTTTACGCGGGAAGGATTTGGCCATACGACGGGGCGGGCAATGTAATACATTGTATTTAGGTAAAGTCTGATGGAGTTGCTGAGAAGTCAGCTTTTTCTTTAGTTCGAGAGTTGTTGGCTGAGGAATAAAACAATTTTTATTCTGAGAGTTGGAAATCCTGTGTCTCCGTCTCTCCCGTTAGCGTTTCGCTCCACACAGAGACAAAAAAAACTCACTTTAGTTCACGATACAATACCATTTACGGCGGAATTACATCACAATGTATATGGTACCAGTCCTAAACTCACATCGTGTCAGGAAATGTTTTATTCTCATTAAATCAGTAGGTTCATTTTGGGTTATGTTACCACGTGCATTTAAATGCTAACAACATTTTCTACTCTTTGCATTTTTATGCCTTCACGTAAAAGCTACACCTGGTTCCTTCATAGTAAATCAAAATCATTGTTTTATTTCGACAACCAATACTCATTACAAAATTCACTTACATGAAACACTGAACGAAATGAGGCAATCTGCAAAGGCACCAGCATTTGACGAGCAAACCACGTGGTGTGGCCCTATTCCAAACACTCCACCTGTGATATTCACTGTGGCTCCATCAGTCAAGTCTCTACAAGTAATATCATCCGAACTTGGGTCTAAGTCTGCCGATAGTGTCCAACCGACTGACACTGATGAAACCCCTTCGTCAAGACACGTGTTACCAACCTCGGGACACTGAACTGTGCTGTCTGTTTGATTAAAATAACAACAAAACATTAATTTTTACTTCAAACATTTTCCTGACCATCTGTTATAAGAAATTTCCCACAGCGGGATTTGAACCGGCAACCCCCAGAGCAACGTAGTGGCGTTATAGAGGAATCTGAGCACGTACTCTACACTGCCTCCTTCAATGGCGAAAGCTTCAGTTTGTGCCAGTTAGTGTGTAAATATACTGCCCCATGACGGATTATCCGAACAATAGCTAAGTCAAGGATTTTGCCATTGTTATAAAAATGACAGCGTGCCTGGATTGGTTTACATCTACTGATGAGCTACAGAGCCCTATGTTGGCGGTCGCCAAAAGTTATCAATGTCTCATTTCAATGTTTCATTTCATTTCATCCACAAAGCATCGTGTATTTTGCTTATTTAAATGATGTACAGAGTGTTAAGTATTCTGATTGTTCACTTTACAATGTTGTACAGACCTTTGACCTTTACTGATTGCTCTTGAACCTAAGTGTTTTGTTCAATACTTGCCATGGACAAGTCTAGGCTTATTATGGGTTTTAAACAATAGTATTAGTTATATGTTTAGTCTGTTCCTACTTTTTCTTTTGCTTCTTTTTCCTGCAAATGTTTTTTTATTTTTTCTTTGATTTCTCTCAATGTACACGCTTCTCGATTTTATTTAGGTTTTGCTTCAATAGAAATAATTAATTAAATTGAATATATGCCTTGTAGCTAAGGATTACGCCCAAAGTCACAAAGCTAGCTGCAAATAAAACCAAACAAACTTGTCTGTGTGTAACGGAGAGAGGAATATAATCACGAAAAAAAATTAGACAATACCTTTTGAAATGCAAATCTAAACAAAAACCAAAAGAACTTAAAACAAAGTTAAATGTTGTCATTGTTTGAGAAAACAATCATTAAAAGCCTAGAAAATCTGACAAGTAACCACATCCAGAGAATGCTGTCCAACTCCATTTTTCCGTGCTTTCAGTGATTCGTGGTTTTTCAGTATATGACAGTAAGACAATGATAAAACTAATATACACAATTGATTTCAATAAGCAGAATTTAGGGCTATAAAATTTGAAGAGAGCAACCCTAATCTGAACAGCGTGTTCCTAAAGTGACATAAAAGCAACAGCGCCCCTCAGTTGTCAGGAAAAGCTGACAATTTTTTAATCTTTACAAATTAAAGTGTTCTTTGCAAAAATTTATACCAAAAATTGATGCCTCCTCTTTTTTTATTTGATTCGCTATATTTGCTAGAAAATATGCTCCAGTGTAAAATTCATTCGATGGACAATTTAAAAAATCGCACTAAACTCACCGGCTTCACAGCGTGGCCCCGAGTGCCCTGGATTGCACTCATCAATGTCTGTGCAATTAGGATAGGGCACAGCTGGACCAGTGCACTCAACTCCCTCGGCTGACTCTGTTCAACAAAGTGGACACATTGCGTTACACATTGAAAACATAATTTCCCCAATCTTATTTGTAAAATCAAATAAACATGTGTGTATGAACATGTATTTTGACTATATTTGTCCCGAAGGTCGGAGTTGAGTTTAAAGTTTCAATGCAAGTTATCATGAGGGCGTTGTTTGATACCATTTGCCAAACAATAAAAGTATCACAAAACAGGAATTTTATAAACTTTACTTCAGTCCAAATTTAAAGTCAGAAAAAACAACAACATTTTTCTTTTTTTTTTAAATTAAAGCAAGACACAAACGTGCGAAGGTGACGTCTGAAATGGCGACATCGCAGGGATCTAACTGGCTCAAATGTATGGCCTTTTAAAATAAGGGACTAAATGTGTGCTTCGCCGGTTTTAAACAGTTTGCTTAAGTTAGGTATTAAGTCTGGACACTGATATTGACCCAGGCCGAAGGGAAGTGTTTAAGACCAAGCCGGTATTTTATCAATCGTTTAAGACCGGCCACGTGACAGGCTCTCAACCAATCTGAAAGGGTAAACTACTGTGTTAGGTATTAATTTTATGAATCAAGATTAAAATTTGATTCTCTTTCCCACGTTTGTCATTTTCAAAAGGCAAAAGCTACATTTTTTTAAGTGTCAACTTACGAGAACAATCATGTCCACAGTACCCCGACGAGCAATTGCAATACGGTGCGTGCTGGGGCAGACATATGCAGTTCGTGGGGTTGCCCGTGGCAGTACAAAATGAAGCATCTGTTTATATGGAAACAAAACCGTCATTATAGACACAACTATGTTTGATGAGGCATTTTATCCGTAACCTATCACATGCTTTGCTTGCAGAACTTCATTGTTTGTGGCTGTAAATATTGTATACATGGAATCTATGTCTAGGTCTAAGAATTCAAGTGTCAGAGAGTCACACTTAACACAGCAAATCATCCACCCTGGATACTGCAAAAAATCATGATCGAGCAAAAATCAACAGAAACAAACAACAGCCTTTTCGTTCATAGGTGGATGTATGGAGTTGGCCATTGCAAGACACGTCTGCCCAACCCCTCAAAGAATAGCAGGACAAGGCAAGTCTAGTGAAGTCGGTCCATATATAGCTAAATATATATTACTGGCTATTCACTGGAAGTCTTTCATGCATTTGTGTACGCCGAATTTCATGCATCTGTGTTGGCCGAATGTAGCGCGTCCATTGACTTTACCAGGTAATCCTATACAAAAAGACTGCCCGGCTCCAAGTGACGACACAACGCTGGCCTCTTTGTGACCAGGAAAAAGAAGGTATCCTCTTATTTTTATGGGTCTCCTTTTCACAGCAACAGCGCTAGTTTTCCAAACGCTTGAATGCTTTGTAACAAACAAAACTGTACAAAAAAGCTTGTATTAAATTAAATCGCTCCTGTCTATCATCGCTTCATCATTATGCAATTTAAACATCATAATGTGAACATAAAAGTGGAGAACCTGGTTCATCAGCAACTGTGATGCTCATTTCACACTCTGCATAATTGGCGGACTCATCAGTAGCAGTGTAGCGCAGCAAATGAGGTGAGGCCGAGAGGTCGAGGCTGACGGTGACGGAAGCCTGATAAGCAGACCCGTCCACATCAATCGAGATGGAATATACTCCTGAGTTGTCCGAAGCAAAATCTGCGTCCGGTAGTGACACTGTTGAATAGGTCTTGCGACAGTTTGTGTAAACTGTCTGGTTAGCGGGACATGTGATGTTTGGCGACTGGACATCTGAAGAAAAAAAAACCAGTACAATTGAAATTTTTTTTTAACAATTCAGTGCAAACCTACTAAATGTGTAGAAACAGCCTTTCAGATAAATACTGTTAGGATGGTCACATACTAGTACTGGAATGATGGTGCTCTCTAAATAAGTCTGAGAATTGCTCTCAGTTTGGACTAGAATTACAGCAAAGATCTATCCAATGTACCAATGGATGTTGATTTATAAGCAGCCAGGGCCCGGCAGCGATTTCAACTTGGGGACCGTCACGCATAAGGCTCTCACACGAGTCGCGCGGTTCATGCATGCTACCAAAGATATATGTATATGGCCAAAAAACAAAAGTCTCCGGTTTCTGGTATGGAGCTTGCCCAAAAAGTGGTGCGGCGACGCGGCTTTTTTTTTTTTTACCTGATTTTTTTGCTTCATATGTCGGCTGATGACTGAAAATGGTGCCCGACTAAACTTAGCGCAAATATATGGGAGTCCAGAGAGGCCACATAAAGCTTATTCTCGACCATAACCCAATCTAAAAACACGTTAAAATTGTGCAGCAGCAGGATTCCAGTCAAACCAGTGAGTTTGCCGGTTTTGAGACATCATCTTTCATTGAAAAAAAAACCTTTTTTCATTTTGCCGACGCGCATGGCTACGACGACGCGCGCGCATACCAGAAACCGGAGACTTTTTTTTTTGGCCTATAGAATTTACTTGTTCCAATCTCATGTTCCTCACCTGTACAAAATGTGCCGTTCCCAGCATATCCAGCCGAGCAAGTGCAGATGAAACTATAACGCGTGTCGCTACAAATGGCATTCACATCGCAGTTATGTGACGGCGAAGCTGGATCGCATTCGTCGATAACTGAAATAAGAAATGGAAATACATTCTGTCTTCAGTTATAACCGGCAAAATAACACTAATCACAAATGACTTTAATAAAGTACTCAAGGAATTCACTTGACTATAAACCAAACTTTCAAATCGAAAACTTTTCAATATGTCCAGAATGCATTATGCAATCTGATAGGAAATTATATAAGGGCATTTAATCACCCTTTTCAGCTGACTCTGCTGCACAGACACTGCAAAGTAAATTTAAACTTTAAATGTTGTAGCTGCATGGGCCGCTCCCGGGAATTGTCGCTACTGTAACAGCGTCGACAATCAACCGAATGTTAACATTGCCAGTTACCAATGTTAACATTACCAATGTTAACATTACCAATGTTAACATTACCAATGTTAACATTACCAATGTACCGTCAAATGGGGTAACTTCGGTCATTTTTTAGACATATTTAACTATTGCTTTTTTTTAACAAACAAGGTGAATTGGATTTTCCCAAACATTTAGAACATTTCGACTAAACTCTCTACATTTTGGTTTTGTTTGGTTTCAAAAATAGTATTTAACAAGGGGATGGGGCCCCCCCCCAAAAAAAGATGTGACCAAAGTTGCCTCCGTCCATGGCAACATTAGCCAGCCCTAACAATTGCTATGGACAAAAAATGTCACATTTTTAAAATCGTTTCCTTCCAGGTGAAAAGTAGATAAAATTACCATTTGACCCTTGATTCCTAAACAAAAACCCAATTGTTTCCCCCCAAAGGCCTCCTTAATGCCATTTGCCATTTGACCTTCTTTTTCCTTGACCTCTGACCTCTTGAAATTTGACCTAACATAATTATCCACTTCAAATCCACAAGTGCATTAAACTTTGCATTGGCATTATTCTGAAACTAATCATATATAATTTACTGAGGAAATGTTGTTTTACAAAGAGTTATCTATTTACGTATTACTAAAATATAGGTGCTGACCAAAGTTATCCTACTGACCAAAGATCTTATGGTAAAGTCTCTGACGACACTTCTGTGTTCAGAAAATAGATACCTGCAGCCACACATTGTGGTCAAACATTTTAACGCTGATTTCGATGTTGAATTTTAATATAGCCTTTATTTTTTACTAATAGTCGTCACTTTTCAGGCACTTTTTATTTATAATTCACTCGCTCATAAGCCGCTCCAAACATTTGTTTTTTAACATTACTCTCTCTCTCTCTTTTCAGAGGGAGTTTCTCTTTAACTCCCCAAAATATTATTCAAATGAGTAAATTTTACATTTGCATAATTTTTAGCCTACAGCTATATAGTACCTGGAGGTGTTGTACAGTTGACACCTGTGTATCCATTGACGCATAAGCAAGTGTACATTCTAAAACCATCAGCACATATCCCACCATTCTCACAAGGGTCGGGGTCACAATCGTCAGGGTCTGTGTTTGAAATACAAATTCCAATCATGAAAACAGAGAACATACATAAGAATTACTGAACTATATATTAAAAAAAATACAGTTATCAACAAACCACGTGCATTACAGGGTTGATCAGTAAAGAGGATAAAGAGATTTTTATTACCGCTTCATATGTACCCAAATGATGCAGTTAATTCGAAAATTCAGAAGCACATGTGCAATTGTTCTTTCCATTACATACCGGTATGAACATCTTCATCCCTTAAAAATTCATTAAAAGTCCATTTCTCTATGAAAAGAATCTTTAAGAGATGTTTCACGGACATTTACATGGGGCTTTTATAGGACTAATCCTGTAAGGGTATTTTCACGTTTTTTTAATGACCCTGGCCACTGAGGATTATCATTGGTTAAACATAACGGTACACTGGGTCTATCTCCATGGGTAAACAAAGGACCTTCTTAAGGGTGTTTTTACGGACTCCTAATCTGGCTGAATATGTTGAAAAATCCGTGAAAATTTAGTTAACTGTAATTTCAAGGGAAAATGGCTCTTTAACAAATTTTTAAGGGATGAAGATGTTCATAGTGTTAAGAACTGACTTATTGGAGGATAAAATCATAGCGTACTTAAAAATGTATCAAACACAATACATACCGTGCAATATCTCGCATCCTTGATCGATTTCGCTGATACTGTCAATGCGAAACAAAAAGCGCCCTCTAGTGCCGATGTTTGTCTGTAGGTCAACGTCAACGATCGCATCCGTTCTGGATTCGGGAAGACTGCAGTAATTGACGCCGTCACCACCATTGAATCCAACCTACAATTATTAAATTTAGAGTTCATTGAACAAAATATACAAACATTTATTCTAAAATTTAAATTAAAAAAAATCGTTGGAGAGCCGAACTTTTCGATATACAGCAGAAACGATATGTAGCAGGAAATTAGTCAAAGACAAAGTTGAAATCCACTTTTTATCAGGAAAATTGCTGACGTAAGAACGGCAAGAAAATTCTCCAAACGTTGCTCGGGGAAGTAATCCTTTTGAGCAAGGGGCATGAATCTTTGACAGCATGAATATCAAGTTCCCATTGACGACTATTAGATGTAATGTTAAGCTGCAAAGTTACCATTATTACCGTACACTAATAATAATTACCCTGGATTGGATATTTTGGAGACATCCCCATAGATTTGAGCACAAAATTTTTTAAACTTCAATGTGCCCTAACCCAATATTCCCTTGTCCTTTTTCCACGAATTTCGATATGTTAACTAATTAGACCACGATCAACAAACATAACCTAATACGGGCGATTCACAATAGTGCGCCTCCAAGAGTTTGCAACGCGTTGGCCAATCACAAGGCGCAAAATCTGTTGACCCAATGCGCGTTTGGAAAAGGTCGACTGATTTCGCGCACGGTGATTGGCCAACGCGTTGCAAACTCTTGGAGGCGCACTATTGTGAATCGCCCGTATTGCGACGGCAAAATTGTTACTCTAAAGGGAGCTGTGACATTAGGGAGACATGAAACTGCTACCTAATGAGAGATGTCTCCCATCGTTCGAATAAATTACGATAACGTATACTCCATGTACATGTAGTATACTTTATACCTGAGCTGGGGTACCGCCCCGTCCAGTGGAGCTGCTTCCACCGCTTGCTGTGCCGGTTGTCCAGCGAATGTCCTCATAGTTGTAAATGGCAAAGGAAAGGCTGCCATCGGTCACGAGCACAGCCTGAAATGTGTTGGTCTATGGGAACAAAAATTGTAATAATGGCTTCACATTGTCTTCAAACGCAAGTGCTTAAATGACATTTTAACACATTTTAATTTCATTCACTGAAATAAAATACATGTCATAAAATAGGTATACATATCAATGCCAAAATTCAGGCTATTGATCGGTTTTGTATAGAGCGATATCTGAATCGTAGAGACCTCAACATTGAGGAAAGCTCTAAGGGGCTCCCTTTTACCTGTGCCGTCTGGGTTTAATCGAATAAGAATGCAGGTATCAGATGACTTTGTATCATTACATGTTTGTTAGTTAATTTCAGAAAAGCCCAGAGTTGAATTCATCACTTTATAACTCTGCGGGTCGTCATGATTCTTTGGCTGTACAAGAAGCAAGTGTGGATGAAAGTGGCTCCACAATCCCGTTTTTACAAACCAGTACGTCAAAGTTAACTTCCTGCTTAAATTCACGGCTATTAGAGTGGCCCGTGAGACTAACACCCCTGTGACTAGTTGTTAATAGTATAAACTTGGAAGACTATTATTTCTTATTTAGAAGTATCAACAAAAAAGGGATGTCTGCTATGTCCCGAGTTTTAAATTTATCTAACAGACCAAAGTAAATTTACAGAAAGCTTTCTCTTTTCATATCTTTCTATACAGAAACGTTCAATCAACTGGGCCTACCACAGAAAGTTTACATGAAAAAACTCGCTAAAGTTAGATACAACTGACAGATTCGTTTAGTAAACTGTTGTGTTTTGCTCTGTTCAAAAATATCTCTGTTAAGTCTTCCTTCTCATACGTAGCTTCTTAAATTTACTTACTATTTCACGTCCTGCAGCATTGGCTCCATAAAAAGGTACTTTGTTCCACGTCGCGATGAACATCGAAGATGCTGAAAACCGAGAATAGTCGCTTGAAGCCTGTCTGACGATAGTTTCTGACCAGTTAAATAGCTCCTGGGTGCTGATATTACGATGAAGTTCACGGTAAGACACGCTGCCCCCATACCTGATATCCACGTCTCCCCAGAATACCGCCACCAAGCGTCTGTCTCCGTCCAGCGGGAATGGTAACGGGGTAAACGTCGAGACTTCGACCAGGAAGGAAATCACACCATTTGTGTTCACCTGGAGATCAAACAAAAGTATAGTCATCTTTTTACCTGACAGACTCACCGAATCACTGTCACTGCGAGCTAGGTATACGCAAGCAGTGCTATCATATAGGTGTTGGCGGGATTACGTCAGCTGGTGAAAGCATCTTGCAGTTGCACACTAGTTTTTACCGGTTGCGGTGAGTTACCATTCAACACTCCAGGCTACAGATTATCAAGTTTTAAGTAAAAAGGTATTGGAACTAGCTAGATAAGGCAATGTAAGAAGCTCCCCGATGTTCGCACTCACCAATGGGAATACCCCCTAACGCCAATGATTGGGCTAAATCTGGCCCACTGGGTACACAGATATATGAAATACTTCCGTGTGAATGGCCACTCTGAATCAGAGTTGTAATGAGTCACTGATTTCCTGATATACGCTATCTGGTTTGGCTTTGGGTCTAAAAATGTTTTCCCTGATCGCTGACAACATCAAAACCAAATTGCATTTTTCAAAACTGTTTCTGATTATTTAAAAGTGGGCATGTATCAATTAATTTTTTAAAAGAACAGTCGACATTTAGTCGACATGAAGAGCTTTATAAGAAATCGCCCAAAGCCAATGATGAAAGTCGAGTCGAGTATACTGAAGGGGGCTCGAGTCGAATCGAGTCATTTGCTCGCAGTGACTCGAGTCGAATCAAGTCATTTACTCTTAGGGACTCCAGTCGAGTCACCAAATTTGTGACTCGAGTCGGACTCGAGTCATTAGAACTCTGGTTTAGTGGGGCAGGTACGGGAAATATTTGGGGGAATCGTGCCTTTAATGATACAAGTATGGAATTTGGCACACAGTCAGACTATGTCATGAGAAAGATATTTGGCTATAGGGCCATCGCAGATTTGTCTCTTGAAAGATAAAAATAGGTAGAATAACAAGCAATTTTCACAATTTTCAAACTGGCTGCCATTGCTTGTTTTTCTGCCTATATTTTATTTTGTTTGTCTTGTCTTGTTTTCAAAAGAAGACATCAAACAGAAAAAACATACAAAAGTGGAATTTCAAGTGGGGAATTGTGCATAAAAATCGGAGCAAAATAAGAGAAACATGGCACTAGTTTGCAAAAAAGGAAACAATCCACTAATTTATTACCATACTTACAAAAAGAGAGTTATGGTTGTAATTGTACAAAGGAAAGCTTGAAGATAAAGGAATAGTTCCAGAACTCCTATCGTCATTGGGTGGAAGAAATGTGTCTCCTTCCACGACTCCAAAGGGAAACAAAATCCCTGTCAGGTGAAGCAAAGTCACAATGATACTTAACGATTAAGTTACTCATGGCTTCTTCACTATTTTAACAAAAGTGACATTTATTTAAACATCTTTTTTAGATAGCTCAAGTGCATAAAACTGTTACAGACAATAAATGGTGAGCAACAGGGTGACCGTAAGGTAACAGGCAAAAGCCTGCAAGATGCACTTCACAAATCTGCTAGATTCAACAAAAATCTGCTAAATTGCTAAAACATCTGCAGATGTTATACAATTCCTTCAACAACAACATAAATCATAAATTTCCTTTAAAAAAAATTAATTAAGGCCCCCCCCAAAAATATTCGGTCTCTGGTCAGACCAAAGTTCCGGAATTGACGCGGCCACGCGGCTTTTTTTTTTTTTTTTCAAGCTTGGATTGTACAGACAAGGTGGGGTACTATTTTGCCTTTTTGGTGTCCTCATGTACATTGGTGTCCTCCACATTTTGCCTTGGTGCTTTCGATCATTTGCCTTTGTGCAATTTCCCATTCCATGAGGAGGTGCGGAAATAGAGGGCGCTGTTGGAGCTACCGCGGAACATTTTGGAAAAAAAAAAGATCGACGCGCATGATTAAAATCGACGCGCGTGCTGACCAGAGACCGACTTATTTTTTTTTTTGGCTTAAGATATGTTTTTAAAAAATTGCACGTGTATATAGCCTGGCTTGCAATGGTCTAAAGTACTTTACTGTGTACCAATAAAACAGTCAGGGAACCTCAACTTGAAGCTTTTTTCAAAACTAATCTGCCATATTTTTCTGTCAGATCACCAATTTTACAGAATTCGTCGAGAAATTTGCTAAAAGAATTAATTCTGCTTAGTTTTCTGTCCAACTCGTATTTTGTTCGAAAAATTCTGCAAAATTTTGCCGAAATTCGGCTCAAACGGTAATCCAGATGAGCAAAGAAAGCAAACGTAACCAAACGAATAAATTACTGGTCCTTTATCTTAAAAATGTGACCCTGGATAGTCCTACGTAAGTTGGGCATCCCAATTACGAGGCAAAGGCCACTCAAAGGTGTGGATCTATGGACTACAAACTAAGAAGAACAGCTATGAAAAGAAAAAAGTCACAGTGAAAGAAGGCATCTATTCAAATTTCGCTTAAATTGTGAAAGATTAAAAGTTGAAGGCATAGCATGAGACATTTCCAAAGCAATTAAGGACACGGGGAACTAGAGCAACATTCCAATGCCAGCTTTATTGAGACTGAATACGACTATATAGTTTGGACGATTCCAACTATATAGTTGGGACGAAGCAATAGTTGGATCGCAACCAATCGTCTTACCAGGGTTGGTGGTGTTCATGGAGGTTTGTACCGGAAATGTTGTTGACAATGGGCTGGTTGTTGGTTGTTGTCCTGATGTTGGTTGTCCTGATGTTGGTTGTCCTGATGTTGGTTGTCCGGATGTTGGTTGTCCGGATGGTGGTTGTCCGGATGGTGGTTGTCCGGATGTTGGTAGTCCGGATGGTGGTTGTCCTGATGTTGGTTGTCCGGATGGTGGTTGTTGCGTAGGTGGTAGTTGTGTAGATTGTGTTACAGTGATGATCTGTTCTGAAGTGCTGGTTAATTCTTCAGTTGTAGCTGGAATCGCTGTAAAAATAAGAAGCCACTATTGCAGTCATTCTATTTTTGTGGTTTAAGTTGTAATTTGCAGTTATCTTTATCCCATAATAGCAGCGCTATGGGTTACTTTTCGCATTGTAAAGTCTGCTTTATAAATAATTTTGAAGGTCAAAAATTTTCTCATAAAAAATATACTCCCTCTCCCTCTCTTTCTAGTTACAGTTTCTCTTTAACTCCCCAAAATATTAACAAGAGTAGATTTTTCAGTTGTATAATTTTCAGCTACAGTACCTGGAGGTGTTGTACAGTTGACACCAGTGTATCCATCGATGCAAAAGCAAATGTAGCTTCTGAATCTATCAACACATATCCCACCATTCTCACAAGGGTTGGGGGCACAATCGTCAGGGTCTGTGATTAAAGTACAAGGTTCAATCATGAAAAGAAAGTACATTCACGGGGAGTCCGCTGTGACCCGCCTGGGTGACAGTCCCTACCTTATTCCATGGGTTTTCCTCAGAATATTCCTCTGGGCTTTTCCTCCCACCACTTAAACTGTAATTTCTTCTCATTGTTTTCTCTCTACAGGTTTCTTCAGGCTTTCGGCCTACAGTGCCTTGGGAACTTTTGAGGGATATCCTTGGTTTCATCACCAGAAAGAAATAAACTACATGAAAGCGCTGAACATTGCGAAAACCATTCCACAGCTATTATCAACAAATGCAAGACAGGGTTAGTCAGTGAAATTGATCGAGAAAACAGTGTGTAAGCATGAGGGACTTCCCAGTCACGTAACATTAGAGCTATATTTGCATATGGCATTTTGACCCACACGTACTGAATAGCAATGTTCTCGATGACACTCCCGTCGGCCGGATATGGCTTACATTGTATACATTGCACTTGCAAAGTCTTGCACGTTTTTGGAGACCGTTCCCACGCCTGATATGGCCTTTGGGGTTGCCCTTTCTCTTTCTATAATTTTTGACAAAATGATATCTAACCGTATTCACCCCTAAGAAACATTCAGGTTGGCAACCAAAAAATGATGAGAAATCAGTTGGAAATGGGTAAAAACTAATTTATTTACGACATTTCACATCCAGATGTTCATTCCTATGTCTCCCTGATTGATCACGTGTTTTCAAATCGCGTAAAATGCGTGACAACAAAAATAATAACGACGCGAAGATTTACATACCTCCATCTGATGGATTCTATGTTTACTCGGGCTTGTGTGAATCATGCTTGAATACAGTTCCTATCAACGGTCTTTTTAGATTTGTTTGAAACTGAAAATCATTTTTTCAAGTTTGTTAATTCAAAATTGTGTGTTTCAGAAGACATTTTAGTCTCCTATTTAAGTTAAAAATTTTATACGATGACCGTAACAATATTAGTTCACAAATTTTCATCTTTGTTATTTTGTACGAGTCTACCGAGCTCCACTAGGCCACATGCTTTTTAGATTTTCGGAAGTGAGAGGCCAATTTTTGTCACTATATTGCGTTTTCATGTCATGCGATTGTTCAGTTTCATAAATTGAGATGCAACTAGCAATTTGACAATGGCCTTTTGTGAGGCTGATTTTCTTAAGAAATCAATGTACTAAAAATAATTACAAAAGAAATCCGTTCCAGGGATCCGGAAGCGCGCCACCCTGTGGCGCAACCAAGGCGATTTGTTTTTTAACTCCTAAACAATTTGAAAAAAATATGTGAGCCCCCTCCAAATCCCAAATCCTGGGTGCGCCACTGGCGCCACCATGCAGGAGTCAACTTTCAGGCTACATACCGTGCAACATCTCGCATCCTTGGCCTTCACTGATTTCGCTAGTACTGTCGATACGAAACAGAAAGCGCCCTCTTTTGCCGATGTTCGTCTGTAGGTCAACGTCAACGATGGCATCCGTTCTGGATTCGGGAAGACTGCAGTACTTGAAGCCGTCACCACTATTGAATCCAACCTAAAATTATTCGATTACAATTTATTTATTCAAAATTAAAACCCAAGATGAATATTTCAGAAAAATCACATGGTTTTTCACGGAGTTGCTTGGAACAAGCCACCACGCCCAAATTCGACATGTAGTCCAGCGGATATATGACAAAATAGCGATGAATTGTACACTTCTTCATAAAAGCGTGAAACTTGGCACAGATGTTTATAATCATGCCAGAAAATGTTTGAGATGTGGAGCCATCGCAAATTTACCGTTTTAGGGGTTGGACAGCCATTTAAAAAAGGGGGGATCGACTCATCATGCCCGCAGTGAAAATGGTTGTTCCCACTTGTCACTTAAGCAGGAAACTACACAGAGACATAAGTATATAGATTATACATGTTTCAGATGTGGAGCCACCACATAAGCACCTTTTGTGGGGGCGTGGAGGCCATTTTAAAAAAGGGGGATTTACTTATTATGCCCACCTTGGAAAAAATTGTGCCCACATTTCATAAACGAATGAAACTTTCCACAGACATTTATATTCATGAGAGAAAAATCCAGATGTGGAGCCATCTCGAAAACACCCTTTTAGGGGCGTGGCAACCGTATTAGAAAAAAGGGGCGGGGTTTTCATTATGCCCGGCCACCATGGAAAAATTGTTCTCACATTCATTGAGAAATGAAACTTCCCACGGACATCGACATTCATGAGAAAAAAAATCGAGATGTGGAGCCATCGCGAACACACCCTTTTAGGGGCGTGGCAGCCATTTTGAAAAGGGAGGGGGTCTGGGTTCACATTATGCCCACCATGGAAAAATATTTGCCCACATCTCATAAACAAACGAAGCCTCCCACAGACGTTTATATTCACAAGAACAAAAATCAGACGTGGAGCCATTGCAAACACCCCTTTTAGGGGCGTGACCGCCATATTAAAATGGGGGGGGTGTATCATATAAACATATGTGCCAATTTTCACGCTTTTATGAAAAAGTGCAATATTTTGTCACATATCCGCTGGACTAATGGATCTGTTTTATAGCTGTCCATTTATGATGATCGCAGGGGCCCATAGTGTCCTCATGCATCTCCGCCCCCTGACTGACTATAACTTAGTGTCCATTGTGAATTAGACTGGTTATCTATATCATTGACTGTCACTTGTGAATTAGACTGGTCACTTATCTCACTGAATGACTGTCACGTGTGAATTAGACTGGTTACCTATCTCACTGATTGACTGTCACTTCTGAACATGGTTAGCTATCTCAATGAATGACTGTCACTAATTGTGAATTAGACTGGTTACCTATCTCATTGATTGACTGTCACTTCTGAACATGGTTACTTAATCTCAATGACTGACTGTCGCTTGTAAATTAGACTGGTGATCGATGACCTATCTCATTAACTGAATGACGCTTGTGACACAGAGTGGATACCAGCTTACCGACTGACTGACATTTGTGAGTTAGACTGGTTCCCTATCTCAATGACAGAATGTCGCTTGTAAATTAGACTGGCTACCTATCTCACTAACTGACTGATGCACTTCCAGCACATATCATCCTCCACCGTCGTAACCATTCTCTATACCAACAACCAAGCTCCAATGTCGATGCCTATGCCTACTCTTTCTATCCAAGAACCATCAGGATATGGAACAGACTTCCAGAAGCAGCCGTGTGACTGCATGCACCCTCCATCCGTGCCTTCAAGCCCATAGCACTAAACACCATCAGTGCTATGTCGCCACCGGCCAGCCTGAGGACCCTCTAAACCAGTCTGCTTGATTTTTTTTACTCGCAACTAAGTTTTGATGTACAGCACCATATTTGTTTGCCCCGCACCGACTGTGAGGTCACAGTCACCGATCCAGTTTAGCTCAGAGAGCTGGTATTAGGAAGTCAACCACTGAAGACTGAAGACTGAAGTGACACACAGTGGATACCCATCTCACTGACTGACTGACATTTGTGAATTAAACTGGTTACCTGTGACCGACGAATGACAATCAGTCCCAACTGAGTGGCTGTCACTTGTAAGTGCTGACTTGAGGATTGTAAACAACAGAGACCAATTCAGAATATAAGGGAAAACTTACAAAAACAAAAGTATGTCGGTATCAACCAGCAGGTTAGTTGTGATGCCGCTATATTAAGGATTTTGCGAGTTTTGGCTGCTTTGACCGAAACAAGCACAAAACGACAACGATTATACCTACCCTTAAAAGCTGCATAGCTATCGCACTGCGTAAATTAAACTTCATACCTGAGCTGGGGTACCGCCCAGTCCAGTGGAGCTACTTCCACCCAAATATGCGCCGGACGTCCAACGAATGTCCTCATAGTTGTAAATGGCAAAGGAAAGGCTACCATCGGTCACAAGTACAACCTGAAATGTGTTGGTCTATAGAAACAAATAAAAGGAGTCATATTGGCTTCATATTGTCTCCAAATTCATGTGTTTATAATATATGACATTTGAACACAGTTTAATGAAGTTCACGGCAATAAAATACACATCAGAGATGGGACGGTATATACACTCAGCCAAAAAGGAAAGTCTCTCCACTTAATACTTTTTGGCTAACTCAAAACCTACTTGGCACATCTTGCTCAAATTACAACTGACCAGTACAGAAATTCCTTAGCAATCAAGCCATACTCTTTGTTTGGCCCAATTAACAGTGATAATGTATACAAAATTATGCAATTTAGGACAAATGGTACGGAAACAAAGTTGCACTTTTGTATACGTGCAAGGTGAGTGTGAACCACAACTTGCATGTATACAAACGTGCAACTGTTTTCGGTACCATTTGTCATAAATTGCATAAATTCTAAGGATGAGTCGTTATTTGAGCGAGGGGTGCTAAAGTAGGTTTTGAGTTAGACAAAAAAGTATTGCAAGGGGGACTTTCTTTTTTTGGTTGAGTGTAGTAAGAGATATGAATGCACAAACGATGTTGATCAGTTTGTATAGAATGATATGTCTGAAGAGATGCATCCCTGCGCTATTTTCGAGCTTTTCGTGCTATTTTTAGCAATACGAATTTCGTATCGGCCCTAGTTTAGTTATTGCATATAAATATTACTTTTCAATTTCCATTTTTTGGCTGACAGACTAGAATTATCTTTCTCGGACAGGCTGGTTTCCGCCCCACAATCGGTATCGATCGATGCCAGTGTGCTCGCAAAGATGATCTTCCAAAAGAGGTTTACAGAACTCAAAAAAAGGGGAAAGTGAGGTTTGTTGGTTGGGAAAAATTAATTTGAAAATGTATTAACAGAAAAAAAATTTGAAATTGCTGAAGAGCATGCGGAATCAACTTTAAAGGGGAGATACAACATTTGCAAACATCAAAAAACGAAATGATAAAATTATCACGAATTACCTTACTGGATTGTAAGGGAATGACAGACTAAAGCAGCCTGTAAATTTGTGGCTCCTGGTAAGCTAACATTTTCAAGAAAAAAAATATTTTTCCAACGCTGGTTGGCCAACCAGCATTGGAGAAAACTGGCTTTTTCAAAAACTGCCTTGAAATTTTCATATTTAGTTATTTCGCATTTTCTTTGCAATTGATTACACACTCATGGAAAAGGTACAAGCCTGCTAGACTGATTCTCTGACCTAACAATTCCCCAAAGCCTATGAATTGCTCCGTTTCATCTTAAGTGGGGTCTTGGTTTTTCCAGTATCTACAAGCCCAAAACGTGGAACAAGTCAGTTTAGCAATATTTTCTATGACATACTAATCCTCCAAATCCATTTTTGTCGGAAAATTGCAGCAAAAGCAAATGTTGTACATTCCCTTTAATCATAGCGGCTTGTGCATTGAGGACAGCTCCAACGTGCTAATAACCTGTGAGGCATGGATTTAATCGAATTAATCGCACGACTTTTGTATGATGAGAACTTTGGTGTGTTTTCTTAGTTTTGGAAAGCATAGAGTTGACATCATCACTTTATAACTCTACGGGTGGTCTTGATTCTTTTGATTGCACAACAAGCATGACAAGAAGCAAGTGTGGATGAAAATGGCTCCAGAATTCTATTCTCATAAAGGAATGTATACAAATCAATATAGGCCAAGTGGGCTTGACAGCGAAATTAACGGCTACTTTGTGGGGCCCGTGAGATTGAAGTCGTTGTACCTAGCTTTTGGTACTTTTGGTTTTGGAGTATCAACAAAAAGGGATATCTGTCAGGTGCTGAGATTTAAATTTATCCAACCTACCATAGCAACACTAGAAAGCAGAAATGTTGAATCAATGATAAAAAACACGAAGCTACCGTTACATGTTGATGCAAGCCTTGAGATTCATGTAGTTAACTGTTGTGTTTTGTCCTGTGAAAAGACTCCTTATTTAATCTTCCTACCCTCAGGTAGTCCAAGTAACTTGGACCCAACTTATCGCCTTTTTAACATTTGGACGTGGTCTGGCGATAGTAAGGTCCAAGCTAATAATAGTTCGAGCTGGACAACATCATCCTGTCACTGTCCCAAAAACCAACATTTTCCAAACAAAAAACATCAGATTTCACCCTCAAAACGGCCTCCAAATTACTAGATATGCCACCTGAGGTACAAGTAGACATCGATGATTAAGATGGTTGTACTGAAGTTTACTTACGATCCGGAAGAAAAGTGAAATTTCCCGTTCAATTCTGAGAGCTCCCCTCGTGATCTTGAACACGTATCGATACGGGGACCATCGAATGTACGCTGGGCATGAAGAAGAAATCGCGACGTTCAAACATTAACACGAGTCGGAAATTTAACGTGTTCAAGATCGCGAGGGGAGCTCTCAGAATTGAACGGGAAATTCCACTTTTCTTCCGGATCGTAAGTAAACTTCAGTACAACCATCTTAATCATCGATGTCTACTTGTACCTCAGGTGGCAAATCTAGTAATTTGGAGGCCGTTTTGAGGGTGAAATCTGATGTTTTTTGTTTGAAAATGTTGGTTTTTGGGACAGTGACAGGATGATGTTGTCCAGCTCGCACTATTAGCTTGGACCTTACTATCGCCAGACCATGTTAAAAAGGAGATAAGTTTGGTCCAAGTTACTCCGACTAACCCTCAGGTAACTTCCAAAATCTGCTTACTATTTCACGTCCTACAGCATTGGCTCCATAAAATGGAACTTTGTCCCACGTCGCGATGAACATCGACGATGCTGAAAACTGAGAATAGTTGCCTGAAGCCTGTCTGGTGATATTATCTGACCGATCGAATAGCTCCTCGGTGCTGGTATTACGATGAAGTTCACGGTAGGACACGGTTCCCCCATAGTTGGTATTCACGTCCCCCCAGAATACCGCCACCAAGCGTCTGTTACCACCCAGCGGGAATGGTGACGTGGTAAACCCTGAGACTTGGACCAGGAAGGAAATCAAACCATTTGTGTTCACCTGGAGATCAAACAAAAGCATTGTCATCTTTGTACCTGAATGACAGACTCACCGAATCACTGTCACTTGTGAGCCGGGCAGTGCAATCGTATAGGTGTGGGCGGGATTATGTCAGAAGGTGAAAAGATCTATTCATTTGCACACAAGTTGCGATACTATTCAATACGAAGTCCGGTCCTACAGATCACACCGGACCCCCTCACAATATGTTTATTTATACAAATATCGCCTGGGTATCCTTATGTTTAAATTATGTTTAAGTTATGAAAAATATCTGCTGCCCTGTGAAATGAAATCATTGTTTCAGAGGCATACTATGATAACATAATACCAGATCAGCAGCTAAGTTTCACATCGGCAAGAACTACTTTATTTATTAACACTGCACGACATCAAGGCCCGTTGCTATGGAATAAAATCACTCTAGTACCTTACTTTAGAAGCATGCATGGTTTTTAAAAGTACCTAACTTATTTCCAGTGTAATACAGTTTTGTTTTATCCCCTAGCATTTAGTACATGTATTATATTTCTATCATTATTGTAGATATTACTGGAGTCATATTACTTAGAGTTTTTATTCTCGAGTTGTTCACGTTTTGCATTTAGTCCTTGTTATATTCTGGAATTCAGGTGTACTTTCAGTCAGTTACTTTTTGTATTTTTCCCCCCTTTTCTACCTTTATATAATTATAGGTGTACATGTATATTAATGTGTTTAAAGGGAATATACAACATTTGCAAACATCAAAAAATAAAACTACCAAGTTTTTACGTCTACCTTACTAGGATGTTGGTAAATGACAGTCTAAAGCATCCAGTAAAATTATGGCACCTGGTGTGAAGTCATTTTCAAGAAAATGGTACTTTGGTATACATTTCCAACGGTGGTCGGCCGACCACCGTTGGAAAAACCGTATTTTTCAACTACTCCTCCAACTTTACACTTTGTTCAGTCCAAATTTTGTTTGCTATTGGTTACATGTTCATGAACGGGTGTAGGCCAGCTAGACTGGTTCCCTTACCTTACAATTTTCCGGCATCTATAAATTGATCCATTTTATCTTTAGTGGAGTCAAGGAACCAGACTACTTGAACATTTTAGTTTTTCTTGGTTTTCCAGCATTTTCAAACACAAAACTTCAAACATGTCAGTGTAACAATATTTGATCTATTATACTAACCCCTCAAATAGTTCATTTCTGAAAATTACAGCAAAAGCCAATGATGTACATTCCCTTTAATAAGGAACCAGGCCACGTACAGGCGTGTACTGTTTGCCAGGTATCCACCATTAATCGACACCTGTGCATTTTGTTAACAGCTGTGCTACATTATCTATTGTGTGGTACATGTATTGAAATAAACAATACCATACGATTACCAAAAAGTATAGATAGGTATGGGAACTAGCCTGACAAGACACTGTAAGAAGCTCCCGGATGTCTGCGCTCACCAATAGGAATAGGCGTTTGTGAATGGGCTAAATCCACCCATATTGGGTAGGCATTACATTCACTGTGTGGACTTCCGAGCAAAAGAGGTCCACATAAACCAGGTAGAGGAGACGTTGTGTGGACTTGGGCAAGTCCACACAGTGTTTCCCCATTTCTGGAAAACAGGTTTAGAGGTATTTTTTGGTTAGGTTTATCTGTGGCAAAATGAAGAGAAACACTTAAGGGGATCATAGAAAAAAAATGGGCTGAAAGAGTTTTCACAGTTTGAGAAAAATTAGTTTTTTTCACTGTTTTTTTTCTTAACTACACGAAACCAAGGGAATGTCCACACTTGGTATGTAACGTAAACATGCGTGCGTCCACAGATGGAAGAAGTACTTCCGTGTGTGAATAACCACCTGAATTTTGTGGACCCCAAGACTAGTTTATTTTGTTTATCTTGTCTTGTTTTCAAAAGAAGACATCAAACAGAACAAAAATACAAGAGTGGAATTTCAAGTGGGGAATTGTGCTTATATTTTCGGAGCAAAATAAGAGAAACATCGTGCTATTAAAGCTTGAAAAAAGGAAGGGGAACCACCCATTATTTTACCATACTTACAAAGAGAGAGTTATGGCTGTAATCGTAAAAAGGGAAGCTTGAAGATAAAGGAATGCTTCCGGTGCTTCCATCGTCACTGGGTGGAAGAAACGTGTCTCCTTCCACGACTCCAAATGGAAACAAAACCCCTGTCAAGTGAAGCACAGTCAAAGTGATATTTACGATTCACTTACTCATTAAATTGCTCATTGTTTTTTTACAAAATGTTAAGCAATGTCGCATACACTTGAATAATCATTTTGAATTACATGGTTTAAGTGTGTAAAACTCCCACATACAATGTGAAAAGGTGACCCTCAAAGAAAGAGAGGAAACTAAAAAAAAACGATTCTCGTTGTTCATCTTAAAAACTGTCACGACCCGAATATGGCAATGGCCCTTTAGACCTTTATCAAGCTGCCACCATTTCTTTGCAAAAAGGAAACAGATTTTTTTCCTTCCAGCATCACTTTGGTTACGTTGATGTTACGTTAATTGGGACAAAATCAAGATGGCCGCAACTAGACAATGGTCTATAAACATTTATCATGCTGCCACCGTCATGTTCCCTGTATTCAAATAACAGAACTGAGTGATAATGTGTTTTTGGGCAAAAAAGAACAGACCATTTTCCCCTTCCATCCTCGCTTTGGTTATGTTGATTTAAATGGGGAAAAAATCAAGATGGCCGCGACATGATAATGGTCTATAAACATTTATCATTCTGCCACCATTTCAGTCATGTTCCCTGCATCCCAATCACAGTACTGAATGATAATTTTTGTGTGTGCAAAAAGAAACAAGACTATTTTTTCCTTCAAGCTTCCCCTTGGTTATGTTGATTTGAATGGAAATAAAAAATCAAAATGGCAACATTTTCATGGTCCATAGACCTTTATCATTCTGCCACCATTTCATTTAAATGCTCCCTGTATCAAAGAACAGTTACTGAATGAAAAAAAAAATTGTATGTTTTCCTTCCAGCCTCGCTTTAGTTGTGTTGATTTGAATGGGAAAAAAATATGATAATGGTCTATAGTTGGGACCAATGTCCCAACTTAGTAATCGGGACGATGCCTTAGTTGGGGGCGTAACAAAACCAATTTTGTATTACCAGGGTTGGTAGCGGTTGGCACCGGAATCGTCGGCCGAGTAAAATTAGAATCACCGTACAAAGCCTGAATGCCGGCGATATCATCTTCGTGGAGACTGAAGTTTGGATCGTACCCAGGGTAATACGGATACATCACCGCATCCGTAATGTTACTATGCAGCAGACCCAGGCTATGGCCAAACTCGTGCACTGCTACAAACAACAGGTCGATTCCTGTTTCAAATCGAAAATAATAATAATAATTACCCTGGATTGGACATTTGGGAGACATCCCTATAGATTTGTGCACAAATTGTTTCAAACTTAAATATGCCCTATACTAACCCAATATTCCCTAGTCCTTTTCCACGAAATTCGGTATGTTTACTAAGTAGACCACGAACAACAATAATATATTAATTGCAACGGAAAAAATTGTGCCTCTAAAGGGGGGCTGTGACATTTGGGAGACATGAAAATGTCTCCCTAATGGCCGGTGTCTCCCATCGTGCGAAAAAATTACGATAACGTGTCTCCTTAGTGTATATACCTTTACACGTATATAATAATAACTGTATTTTTATACATGTAGCGCCTTTTTCCAGAGGATACAAAGCGCTGGGGAGAATGCAACCAAAGACAGGTAAATGAAGTATATGAACATATAAGACCCATTATGTAGCACATTTTTGCTAGATCGTTACTATCAATAGTATACTGCTCCTTTTCTCACTTTGAAAGTAAGTTGCTAAATTATTTCGAAAGTCTCAATTATAAAAACGAACAAAATCATTACTCGTGTAAGAAAACAGAATGACCAAAACAGAATGACCAAAACGTGTTGGCGCACGGAGCCCATTAGGCTAGAAGCTCAACTTTGAATGAAACATCGAATGTTTACCTTTGGTGTAATTACTTAACAAAATTTCGAAGTATTTGCCGGCTGACAATCATTCAGTTCTCGCTGGGTGCACTTGTTCTCCCTCCCCCCACCCCTTCAGTATTAACTCTACTCGTAGGGCGTATCTGCGTTATAACTGGAGCTTTTTCAATTGGTTTCAGACGCCTAAATATAAAAGGTATTTTTTTGGTATTGCATAAAGTATTTATCCATTTACCTGGCAGGGGCGATTCATTGATGCTCCAGGTTTCATTGTCATCAAAAAATGATCTACCATCCTCAGGCAAATAGGCGAAAGCCAGAACCCCTCCTGCCCCATCGGACTCTATGTCTAAATCATGGCCCTCTCCATAGAAGTTAATCACGAAGTCGGCAGCTTCGTCCCAAGATGCATTGGTAAATGTCAGTGACGAGACTTCAGCCCAAACCTTAGAGGCAACAATGACAAAATTGAATACCAAATTGCAGGAGATAAGTGGTAAGAGACTGAGGAGTGCATTTATTTTCCATTAACATATGGGGTGCATATGATTCGGCATGTACCGGGTCAGATGTGATCCATAGCCGGGTTTTATTGGCTCTGGTGTATTATATATTTGCCCACTTTTGAAGGTTTCTGCCTCCTTCGGTTGCGGACGGATATACAGACTGACTGGGCTAATACCGCTACATACAGGGTGGGAAAAAAAGAAACCCGTCGGGAACATTGTTTTAGTGAAGTGCTACATGTAGCACTTTCAAACTCTAGGATGTGAAAGCCCAATTCATAAGCTTTCTTTTAGTACACGAATCATTCAAATCACTTATGTACTTTTCAAGTTACGAAATGTTAAACACAACCACCGTCCACGGATCACAAGAAGGTGTTCTTTCGGCAAAACGAAAACAAATCATACAGGGATGTTTGTAAATTGTTTTCGTTTTGCTGAAAGAACGCACACAATTTTTGAGATCCATGGACACAACTTTAAAACGGTGCTTGTGCCTAAAATTCCGTAACTTGAAAAGTACACGAGTGATTTGAATGATTCTTGTACTTAAAGAAAGCTTACGAATTGGGCTTTCATATCCTAGATTTTGAAAGTGCTGCATGCACAATTTTACCAAAACAATAGTCCCGATATTGGGGTTTCACTTTTTTTTGACTCAACCTATATAGCTGATATTATTCTACGTCGTTTCGTTGTCTATCCCCATACCTTTTCCTTATCGCAGACGCCATATAATTTTCAGGGTTTTTCAGCGTCCCTATAGTACATGTACTCACTCGAAGGGCATTGGCAAAAGTGTCTTTCACATGTGATGGGTCGGGAATATCTGGTGTCACGGAGTCGATGCGATAGGTCAAGTCCGTCTTGGACCATTTTGTATGAAACAGCACGTAGCGTTTCCTTCTCTTTGCGTCCATATCGTCATCGAAATCTGGGAAACCACATCGAGGCTTGTTCATCATCGCCTTCGTTGCTGCATCACACTCGCCTGTTTTAAAAGTAAAACGAGATATAGAAAGTTTAAATTTTAATTATCATTCTGATATTGTTTTTGTAAAGCAATATGCAAGGGCTCTGATTAAACAAAATCGATGTTAATTGTTGGCTTTTTTTATCATTTCTTTCTTCTTTTTGGGGCTTGATGATTTTAGTTTCTTTTTCTGTTCGGGTGTTTTTTGTTTGTTTATTTGTAGGTTGTTTGTTTGTTGGTTGGTTTATCGGGGTATTGAGTTGATTCTTTGTTTGTTTGTTGTGTTGGGGTGTTTGTTTATTTGTCTGTTGGGGTGTTGCGTGTTTGTTTGTCAGTTTGTTGGGGTGTTTGTTTGTTTGTTTTGTTTTTCCATGGTTAGACAAGACTACTATCCGATTTTTTCTTAAATAACTTTTGCCTGATTGTAAAGATTCAAGAACGAAATAAAGCGGCACGATATTATCACGTTCAAATAATCACACCTATAATGGGTGCACAATTAAATATGCTAAAATGAATATACAACAAAATGATACAGACCCAACTGTTTATAGAAACCTTTCAAAATATTTCCTCCTTTAGCAGTTGCTCAAGTAATTCAAGATCGAGGGGTTTCAGTCCGATGTCTTATAATTCGTGGAATAATATGTGGGTCAAACCTTTCAGAATAGACCAATTCTGCCTGAGGATATTAAAGTATTTGCAAGCTCGGTAAGCACGTATACTCTTTGTTACTGGTTAACAATAGTACAACCTGGCGCCACGGACAGCCTATAGTGGCGACAGTTTTCTCACAACCCAGCTATAATTACACGCCAAAAATAAAGTCTGATAAATTGATAAGACGTTAGTACGTGCCCCATGGTTTGGATTCGTTCTTTGTCATAATAAGGGAATTTCTATGACCAATTTCACGGCAACAGGTTCGTCGGCCGGCCAACCGACGGATCAAGTAAGTGGACAATGAGACCCTTCAAGGTGTTTGGACGATAAGCCCTAACGCACAATGTTTCATTAATTTTCTTGCCGAATTATTCTCCGAGGCGTTTGGATGAACTTGGATGAACTTGAAGCTTGGCACAAACAACCCTAATGCCCAGGTGTGCATATTACCCCCAACGAGAAGCCATAAGGTATCAAATTACCGGCGCCGTTTATTTCGTAAAAAGATAACTGATGAAACGAAGCCTGTTTTTATGATTCTCATTCTGACTGACAATATCTTCATAAACATATATTTGGAAAGTCATTTCACCTTAACCTCCGGAGTTAACGGAAGGACGAATTAATTGAAATTGAAACTAAAAGCCTCAAATCAAACTCAAAATTTCTTCCAAACGGGTACATGGAATGAACATGAAACACGGTACGAACATAACTCTGATCTGTGACGTCATACCGTGTCGTCCTAAATAATTTTATTTTAAATGTACAAGCAATATAGAACAAGCCATCTCCCCTTCGGTGCGCCAATGCTCGTTATGAGCTGAAAAAAAGTTTTTTTTTCAGACTTAAACGGTAGGTTGACAATGTTACCTTTATTTTTCATCATACCCGGGCAAGGCCGAATTTTTAAGTATAGTGGGTATTCGAAATTGCGCAGCTAAAACAATTTGAATTCGGGTTGGCGACATTATTGCTACTATAGACAAACAACCACCATAATACACTGTACCATTATTCAACAAGAATATTACAGATATATTGAATACAGGGGGAGTTAAAAGAAAAATTCGAAACCAAAATGTCGGGACTATTGTTTTAGTGAAGTTTTGCATGTAGCACTTTCAAAATCTAGGATATGAAAGCCCAATTCATAACTTTGTTGTAGTACAAGAATCATTCATATCAAGTATGCACTTTTTACGTTACGGAATTTTAAACACAACCATCGTTTTAAGGTTCTGTCCATGAATCACTAAAAATTCAGTGTTCTTTCAGCAAAACGAAAACAAATCACTTAGGGATGTGTGTGAATTGTTTTCGTTCTGCTGAAAGAACACACACCTTTTTATGATCCGTGGGCAGAACTTTAAAACGGTGGTTGCGTTTAAAATTCCGTAACTTGAAAAGTACATTATATGAATGATTCTTGTACTAAAGGAAATCGTATGAATTGGGCTTTTATATCCTTGATTCTCAAAGTGCTGCATGAAGAACGTCACTAAATAGATAGTCCCGACATTTGGGTTTCGGTTTTTTTACTCACCGTGTAGAGTTCGTATATCGCACGACGAAGAGAAATTTCGGGTTTTCCTAAATCCTCAAGATGTAATGTCAGTGCTCTTTTTTGTTCTCCTAACAAGTTTTCAACATGTTTTTTACCCCCCCCCCAAAAAAAAGAAACCCTACCTCTTTTCATTTTGGTCGACAGTGCAACAATTAGGAAAAAAACCTTTATTTTGGGTTGCTTTTGCAACATGCATTTTCCGCATTGCGAGTAGACTGGCTTCCGTATCCTACACTCATCGATTCGGATAATGGGACGGTAACCAGTCTACCCTGCAAGGACACAGTTTTTGTTTGGCCTTAAAATGTCTCATTCAAAAGAAAATCAATTTTGTAGATTGCTAGAAAAAAAAAATATATATATCATTTCAAAAGGAATTCAATTTTCGGGATTAAAAACGGATATAAGATCATTTGCCATTGATGAGTTTTGCTCATTTCCAATACATAACACCACTCAAACTCCAATGGAGCATGTTCAACACCAAATCCGTTGAGGTTTTAGGCAAGCTGGTATAAAACTTTTTATGGAAGTTTCTGTTCATCACTCTTTTAGAGGTTTTTTGTCATTAGGCCAATAAAAGTGGGGGGAAATAAATCATGTATACCACAAAATCTAAAATGAAAGCTTCCACGCATTTGTAGAGCCATTATGGTGGACAACTCTTTTCACTCTTTTACATTCCTGATATTGTAAGGCCGCCTCTGGATCAATAAGGTAAGTTCGCCTCTGGCAGTCAGGATATTGCAAAGTTTGCAATTAGGGAAAAAGGACGTAGACCCTATAGACTCTTTGTTACCGCTTCACAATGGTGACGCCGACTCTGCACGTGGGCCATTGTGGGCGTAACTTTATCTTCTGGAAATATTAGGGTCATTACCGTGAAACCAGACAAAACTAGGTCGAAAAGAATGCATTCAAAAACAGACTTTACAGTAGACTCCGGAGGTTCTCATGGGTTTGGCATTTTGTTCTGTCATAATACCGGATTTGGCCCATACAAATTTCAAAGGAAAACTATTGCCAATGAACTTTACGTGACAAGTTAGTAAGTTCCTGACGCAGGACAGTGAAGGGATTTTCGGTGTTTTTTTTTATTTCACTTGTAACCAGGATTGAAGCAAGCATTTTGCATGTTACCTTTAGGGGATATAATAATTATGGACGAAAGCACATAGTTTAGGTAAAATTGAATAAGTACAAATTTACCCCAACCAAATACATACAGTATAGCTAAAATCAATGGCAAATATTCAATTGACGCTACTTGCATACTTAAAGGGAAGATACAACATTTGCAAACATCACAAAACGAAATGATAAAATTATCTCAAAATACCTTACTGGACTGTTAGGATATGACAGTCTAAAGCATCTTGTAAAATAAATCGTGGCTCCTGGTGTGCTGACATTTTCAAGAAAAATGGTATTTTTCCAACGCTGGTCGGCCGACCAGCGTTTGAGAAAACTGGCTTTTTTTCAAAAACTGCTCCTATTTCTTCATAATTAGTTATTTCGTGTTTTCTTTGCAATTGATTACACAACTGTGAAGGGGTACAAGCCTGCTGGACTGATTCTCTGACCTTACAATTCCCCAAAGTCTATAAATTCTCCGTTTCATCTTAAGTGGGGTCAGGGATTCAGACTACAAGAACATGAATGATTTTCTTGGTTTTTCTAGCATCTACAAGCCCAAAACGTAAAACAAGTCATTTTAACAATATTTGCTGTACCATACTAATCCTCCAAATCCATTTATTTCTGAAAATTGCAGCAAAAGCAAATGTTGTACATTCCCTTTAAATAACACAGTTTAAAACAATCATAATAGCCTCACGTAGACCGTGTATGAGGCGTATTTGGAGGTAAATGCCTCTGAGTGCGTTCGATTACTTCCCCCTCGCTTACTCGTGCAAGCGCGACAGCGTTAAATCGAACGCTGTCGCGCTTGCCTCACGTGACTTCTCGCGCTTTCACGAGCCTGGCCCATGTAACCGACTCGCCGAGCCAGTTACTTGGGTAAGTATTCCATAAGGTAGCAGACCAGTAAATAAACTTCCATAGACCCCAATGGTAAATGCTCCCACTTCAAAAATTCGGGAAAAATACTCACAACTCTCCAAGGTGTTCGAGACACACATCAAATTAAAGCTTATTTCATCATCTTTCATTTTCTTTTCAATTTTCGGGGAGTCAACTGATGACTTTTTGGAGAAATTTCCATCTGAAGATGATCACCCCTGAAAATAGTCCTGAAGCCCATCGCCATTTTGAAAAACGATGCCTACACTCCATTGCAAAATAGAGCGCTTTTAGGGTCCAAATTACATCAAAATTACACAGAACTGCAAGCTCCCAGTCCTGTGCACGGCTTCCACCCATATTTTTTACAATCCCTCAAGTTCATGTCCCACAGCATGCTCAAATACCGAAGATTTTGAGGGCATGCAAATCGTGATTTGGCCGGCGCAGGCAATTTCGGACCGATTTACTGGTCTGCACCCTATAGAGAAGCGAGGTTTTGAAAAATTTACCCAAACAACTTGTACGGCACGAGGAAGGATGGATGACTCATATTTCATCAAAAAATTGCAAGAAAAAAAATCTCTGACTGCGATTTCTGGCCTGAAAACAAACCCTCTGTTTGCGGCTACCTTACTGCAGGGCGCCCCCAACGGGCGTTAATTGAGTTTTTGCTCCTTCCGACCCCAAATTACCCCCCCCCCCCCTTGTTCGCTCGAAATTGCTGTGATCGGACGACGGTCCATCGGCCCTATTCAGATTTTGG